TACGACCAAACAGACGGCCCACTTTGGCAAAGGTTTTACTGTGGGTTTGAAAAAGACCAATATAATTATATTGAAAGCTTTTAAAAATGGTGAAACAGATACTCAGTCCAACATAAATACAAGACAATATTTGTTGACATACATTTTCCATTCAACAGAAACGTTCCTGTTGCATGGTATTAATTGTATACAAATTTACTGGTTATTTGTAGCCTCTAATTTTAGTTCTTAAGGATGTTTTTGTCAGATATTAGGAATCCTCTGGTTTTATCCATGTTGTGCCATTAATACTTTTGCCCATTAGCCCTTACTTCTCTTTCCATAATTTGATAACATATAGTTTAAAATGTCATTTTTAAAAATCTTATAAAATCCTTGTTATTTTTTCATCGTTTTTGAAAGAATAATGGTGCCAATGATAAGTGTATGAAAAATCTAGAGAGAATTATTTCCCGCCAAATTTTCAATTGCTTATATCTCGAAAACAAGCACACAGACCCTTCATTGTTTTCTGCTTTTCTAGTTTCTTTATCTGTATACTATCAATCTATAACAGTCTTTAAAAAAGCTTGTTATTTTGAAACAGTAGAAAACATCCTTAACCATTCCCATTCTATACCTACAGTAATGTAATTAATATAAGACATTTCCTGTTTATTTAGGTATTTCACTATCGAGAAATTTTAGTTTACAACTAATGGCTACATGCATTTGGCATGCAAATGACCGAGAAAAGATAACAATGGAGGAATTGCAGGCCATACAAAAACTAGAAAAATACATTTATAAAGTAGCACAAAACAAAGGTTTCCTACACATGTCAGTTATTTACAAATACTGGGATGAGACTAGCAGCATACATTTTGTAATGTATTGTTTATTGACAGGTCTGTTAATTATTTTTAAATGTTCCTATACCCTATCGTCAACATGAATAAGCTCATCATTGACGCTCGAATCAAAAATGTTAAAGAGGCCAAATAAGGTACAAACTAAAAGAGCATTGAGGACTCAAATCCGAAAAGTTTTGCCAAATACAGCAAAGGTAATCTATTCCTCGGATAGAAAATCCTTAGTATTTCGAAAAATCATTAATTCATAATTATGGCCATATCAATGATAATTCATGTCAATATATAAGTGATGACTGCTGGGCTGGTGATACCATTGGGGAAGAAACCTCCACCAGCAATAGCGTCGACCATAATTTCATTCATGTCCAGTGCACATTTTTTTTTTTTTTTTTTATTATAAGTGTTATTTCATAACTGAATAAAATTTGCTTGTAATTTGACAAATATTGCCTATCTACCTTTAAGAACACTATATATGTGTTAAGTGCAGGATCTCCTTACCCTTCTGGGGCACCTGAGATCGACCCCAGTTTTTTTCAATAATAACCTTTTGAGATGCGGCAACCATTTCAATAACCTATAACTCCCACAATTGTGTATGTTGTTAGAAACATAATTATCACATGGACTGAGATCTGTCTAACGATAAACGGGAGACCACTAAAAATTGATACAAGATTCTTAAATAGTTTTCAAAGTTATTTCGAGTAATTGTTCCTAGTACTTGCATTTAATTCTGCATCATCGAGAGTGGATAAAAAGTAAAATTCAAATTAACGTGTACATAAAATACTGGACTTATTCAGTTACACACGTAAAGAAATAAAACAATGTCAGCTAGTTCACACACATTAAATAACCTTGCTAATATGACAACACATAATCAGATATCACACGTAAAGCAAATTAACACTTACGGCTAGTTCACAGACAGTAAATAACCTCGCTTATATGACAACACTTAATCAGATATCACAAGCAAAAAATTAAAAAATTTCAGCTAGTTCACAGACACAAAATAACCTTGCTAAAAGATAGCACTTAATCAGATACCACACGTAAAGAAAATTAAACACTTTCAGCTAGTTCACAGACACTAAATAACCTTGAGAATATGACAACATTTAATCGGATATCACACGTGAAGAAATTCAACACTTTAAGCTAGTTCACAGACACTCACTTAATAACCTTGCTAATATGACAGCACTTAATCAAATATCAAACGTAAAGAAACTAAACACTTTCGGTTAGTTCATAGACACTAAATTTCATTGCTAATATGACATCACTTAATCGGATATAAGAAGTAAAAATATTAAACACTTTCAGCTAGTTCACTGACACTAAATAACCTTGGAAATATACCAATACTGAATTAGATATCAAACGTAAAGAAATTAAACACTTTCAGCTAGTTTTTGACACTAAATAAACTTAAAAATATGACAGCACTTAATCAAATATCAAACGTAAAGAAACTAAACACTTTTGGCTAGTTCACAGACAGTAAATAACCTCGCTAATATGACAACACTTAATCAGATATCACAAGCAAACACATAAACAATTCCAGCTAGTTCACAGACACTAAATAACCTTGCTAAAAGATAGCACTTGATCAGATATCACACGTAAAGAAATTAAACACTTTCAGCTAGTTCACAGACACTTAATAACCTTGAGAATATGACAACATTTAATCGGATAACACACTTAAAGAAATTCAACACTTTAAGCTAGTTCACAGACACTCACTTAATAACCTTGCTAATATGACAGCACTTAATCAAATATCGAACGTAAAGAAACTAAACACTTTCGGCTAGTTCATAGACACTAAATTACATTTCTAATATGACATCACTTAATCAGATATAAGACGTAAAAATATTAAACACTTTCAGCTAGTTCACTGACACTAAATAACCTTCGAAATATATCAATACTTAATTAGATATCAAACGTAAAGAAATTAAACACTTTCAGCTAGTTCACAGGCACTAAATAGTCTTACTATTATGACAACACTTAATCAAATATCACACGTAAAGAAATTAAACACTTTCAGCTAGTTCATACACATTAGATAAATTTAAAAATATGACAACACTTAATCAGATATCAAACGTAAAGAAATTATACACTTTCAGCTAGTTCACAGGCACTAAATAATCTTGCTATTATGACAACACTTAATCAAATATCACAGGTAAAGAAATTAAACACTTTCAGCTAGTTCATACACATTAGATAAACTTAAAAATATGACAACACTTAATCAGATATCAAACGTAAAGAAATTATAAACACTTTCAGCTAGTTCACAGGCACTAAATAATCTTGCTATGATGACAACACTTAATCAAATATCACACGTAAAGAAATTAAACACTTTCAGCTAGTTCATAGACATTAGATAAACTTAAAAATATGACAACACTTAATCAGATATCAAACGTAAAGAAATTAAACACTTTTGGCTAGTTCATAGACACTGAATAACCTTGCAAATATGACAACACTTAATCAGATATCACAGGTAAAGAAATTAAACACTTTCGGTTAGTTCACAGACACTAAATAACCTTGCTAATATGCATGCAACGTAAGTTCTACTATTTTCAGAAGAAAAATAAGGAATAGGTACATGAATTATCTTTGGTATCGTGCTCAAAGCTCTAAAATTACTCAAACTACATGTCTCAACTCCAAAAATACCAAATATCGTATCAAAATAGACATCTTTATAATTACACAAATCTTAAAATTTTTTGTTTAAAGATAGAAAATGCAATGTAGAATGATATTATATAGGCTTTAAATAGTACCTGGCTATGGTTTCAGATTTAATTTAATTGTTTATAGTGTCCTTGATATAATGTCAACTATATAACAAAAACACTTTCGACTAGTTTTTGCTTGCTATAATACAACTTCTGACACCCCTTTTTAACTAGAGAGTGCCTCAGCACTAACTCTTCATATCATTATAATAATGGAAGTATAAAAAGATAACTCTGAAAATGTTATCAACAATTATTGGCATTTAAGTAAGTAGGGGTATATACCAGAGGTGACGGCATGCTAAAAACCAGAAGTGACGGCATGCTAGAAAACCAGAGGTGACGGCATACTATATACCAGAGGTGACGGCATGCTAAAAACCAGAGGTGACGGCATGCTAGAAAACAAGAGGTGACGGCATACTATATACCAGAGGTGACGGCATGCTAAAAACCAGAGGTGACGGCATGCTAAAAACAGAGGTGACGGCATGCCAAAAAAACAGAGGTGACGGGATACTATATACCAGAGGTGACGGTATGCTAAAAACTAGAGGTGACGGCATGCTAAAAACCAGAAGTGACGGCATGCTAAAAACCAGAGGTGACGGCATACTATATACCAGAGGTGACGGCATGCTAAAAACCAGAGGTGACGGCATGCTAAAAAACCAGAGGTGACGGCATACTATATACCAGAGGTGACGGCATGCTAAAAACCAGAGGTGACGGCATGCTAAAAACCAGAGGTGACGGCATACTATATACCAGAGGTGACGGCATGCTAAAAACCAGAGGTGACGGCATGCTAAAAACCAGAGGTGACGGCATGCTAAAAACAGAGGTGACGGCATGCCAAAAAAACAGAGGTGACGGCATACTATATACCAGAGGCGACGGCATGCTAAAAACTAGAGGTGACGGCATGCTAAAAACCAGAAGTGACGGCATGCTTAAAACCAGAGGTGACGGCATACTATATACCAGAGGTGACGGCATGCTAAAAACCAGAGGTGACGGCATGCTAAAAAACCAGAGGTGACGGCATACTATATACCAGAGGTGACGGCATGCTAAAAACCAGAGGTGACGACATGCTAAAAACCAGAGGTGACGGCATACTATATACCAGAGGTGACGGCATGCTAAAAACCAGAGGTGACGGCATGCTAAAAACCAGAAGTGACGGCATGTGCCACGGAAGAGTCAGCAGTTCCTGCTTCACTCGTAAAACCCGCCATGTTAAATTAATAGACGAGTTCATGTTGCCTCTTTGACACATTCCCCGTTTCCATTCTCAATTTTATAAAATGAATAACAAAGTATATATGTATTGTGTTTAGTATTTTTAGAACACCGCTGAAATTGATTACTTTATTAACCAAATGTTTACAGCATATAGGTTTACATGTTGGAGTCATTCACTTATTGTGAATCTCTTTTTGTCAATACCTTCCGATGATCCTTTATATCGAATAACGAACTTCCCACCTACTTCAAATACATTCACTTTCTCCTGTGTAACACTGTACATAATGAATTTGATCAACATGTGTTCCCTTTTTTAGAAAGTACATGTAACCTATGCAGGTCATTTTCTATTGTATCGTACAGCTATAGGGCAATATTTTTTTATAAATGATAATTCAATTGTTTTACAATTATTATTTAACTTTCTTGTTTGCAATATGATTTGATTATTATCACAATAAAATATTATTTATATAGTAACTTAATAACTTAACACAAACAAAAACAAACTATGTGTCTGATACTTACTGTGAGAAATCATATTATTACTTATATTTTTCCCTGTGTGACTTATATAGAATGCTTAGCACTAGCTGTATAACATGTATAAATTGTAGATTAATGATTGTGTTGTATAAACCAAAATGTCTTATTCCATGACTTATAAAACACAAGACATTAAAGTTAACATATATAAATGCAATTGTAGTACTTAAAATGCCATTAAAGAAATATGTCCTATTCTGAATCTAAGTGTTGTTAGGGTATATTACTGAATCTAAGTGTTGTTATGGTATATTACTAACATTTGATTGTAAATATTGCAGTTTAACTGACACCACATAGACCTGTTTTAATCTGGCGCTTTTATATTTCAGACATGCGCCATGACAGTGTCGGAAGTTAAATTCATTTTACAGCGACGTATCCTCTTTATCTTCTTCGTCAGCCTTCTCTAAAATTTTCCTTAATCTGGTTCCAGATTCTATATAGTTCCCTGCTTTGCGCCGCTCACTTGCTATTTCAGCCAGATTCAGTTCGGCATCTTCTAATTTATGCCATAATTTCCCAACAAATATTTCTGAGTTCGTAATATTATGCACATGTCTTCGATGAAAATGACCTTCGGACGTCACCACAGTACAGTCTATGTCCTTTTTGTGGACCCGCCATTCTAGAAAATGTGCTAACTTTTTCAGCGTAGCAGGTAAATTAGTTTTTAAATCCTCATAGTAAAGTAAAAACACGGGTCTCTCGGCTTCTAACCATTCGGTGTAATAACGCTCCCAGAGTGTTGTATGGTCTCGCACAAATTCATACCATCCTGTGAAATAAAATGTTTATCTAAGCAAATAATTATAACTAGAAAACAAAATCAACTCAAAATCAACTGACTATAAACATCCCCTCATTGTATAACTCTTCTATCTTATAACTGGAAAACAAAATCAATTCAAAATCAACTGACTATAAAAATCCCCTCATTGTATAACTCTTCTATCTTATAACTAGAAAACAAAATCAATTCAAAATCAACTGACTATAAAAATCCCCTCATTGTATAACTCTTCTATCTTATAACTGGAAAACAAAATCAATTCAAAATCAACTGACTATAAAAATCCCCTCATTGTATAACTCTTCTATCTTATAACTGGAAAACAAAATCAATTCAAAATCAACTGACTATAAAAATCCCCTCATTGTATAACTCTTCTATCTTATAACTGGAAAACAAAATCAATTCAAAATCAACTGACTATAAAAATCCCCTCATTGTATAACTCTTCTATCTTATAACTGGAAAACAAAATCAATTCAAAATCAACTGACTATAAAAATCCCCTCATTGTATAACTCTTCTATCTTATAACTGGAAAACAAAATCAATTCAAAATCAACTGACTATAAAAATCCCCTCATTGTATAACTCTTCTATCTTATAACTGGAAAACAAAATCAATTCAAAATCAACTGACTATAAAAATCCCCTCATTGTATAACTCTTCTATCTTATAACTGGAAAACAAAATCATTTCAAAATCAACTGACTATAAACATCCCCTCATTGTATAACTCTTCTATCTTATAACTGGAAAACAAAATCAATTCAAAATCAACTGACTATAAAAATCCCCTCATTGTATAACTCTTCTATCTTATAACTGGAAAACAAAATCAATTCAAAATCAACTGACTATAAAAATCCCCTCATTGTATAACTCTTCTATCTTATAACTGGAAAACAAAATCAATTCAAAATCAACTGACTATAAAAATCCCCTCATTGTATAACTCTTCTATCTTATAACTGGAAAACAAAATCAATTCAAAATCAACTGACTATAAAAATCCCCTCATTGTATAACTCTTCTTTCTTATAACTGGAAAAAAAAATCATTTCAAAATCAACTGACTATAAACATCCCCTCATTGTATAACTCTTCTATCTTATAACTGGAAAACAAAATCAATTCAAAATCAACTGACTATAAAAATCCCCTCATTGTATAACTCTTCTATCTTATAACTGGAAAACAAAATCAATTCAAAATCAACTGACTATAAACATCCCCTCATTGTATAACTCTTCTATCTTATAACTGGAAAACAAAATCAATTCAAAATCAACTGACTATAAATTAAACATCTCCTCATTGTATAACTCTTCTATCTTATAACTTATGTCTCAAGTTTACATACTACAATAAACAAATTTAGTAATATACACTGTCATTAGCTGGACAAAACTATGTATTATATTACCCTATTTACATGTATATATACAATATATGTGCATTGCATTGTCGTAGGAGCCAGGGCAAGAGGGGATACTTACTAACTACTAGACTATAGAAGTTTTTTTATTGTTGATTTTGTTTTTTGGGGAGGGGGTTTGCTAATCGCTTTCAGAAGTTTGCCCACTTTTCACTTTTTAGTCCAATCCTACGACTATACATTATCGAAAAATATAAATGTGATTGTACAAGCTTCAGAAACAGGACGTAATGCGAGGCTAGCCGAGTACAAACAAATCTTATACGTCCCTACAATGTTCATATATTGTTATTATCCTACAATTTAACCTTGCCACTTTCACGTTAAGTTTTTTAATTCCAAATTGTTTTATTTGGTTTTGATAGAAATCGACATGATTAAATGTTGACCGCGTAGAGGACCCAAAAAATAAATGATATGTAAATAGTAGTGTAAACATTACCGTTCGCTCAAAATGGAAAACTTTATGTGTACGTGTGTCATAAATAATGGAGTATTTGAAATATGCCACCTTTAGTGTATTGGTGAGGTATTTCATCATCTTTTTTAATTTAAATTGCTATAATGAAAGTAGTTCTCTCTTACCAAAGTTTATTTGCATTAACCAAATGTCTTAAAATATTGTGAATTATTGAATAATGATGTTCTTGATATTGTTATCAAAATCGTTAAATTTCGTAAGATTATTCCATCAGTGATTTATTCATGTTATTCAAAATATTTGTCTTAACAAAGTTATCGTTAAATGAAGGTAGACAATGTACATTGTATCTGAAAATTCCATGTATATGTATTTATAGTATAGATCAGTTTACTTTTGAGTAATAAAATTTCATGTACAAATAAATTGAAAAGATATTTGGATATGAGTTATCTGTACAATAGTTGGCAGGGGACTTATAAGCCGAGATGAAAAGAAGTTTAGGAAGCCAATATATAGGATGCACCTTCAAATGTTCAATGGAGGCCTTAAACTGAGGGTTAGTAGTGATATGATTGTCTGGTATATGATTCTATGTGGGGCACATTGCCTTGAATACAGAACAATTCATTAATCATGCAAACGTAAGCACCACACCAGATAAGAACAAAGTCGTATGTCGTGAAAGCATTAAGATTTGCATAGGTCAGTTATATAATATTTTATGTGGTTAGAGCATTGGTTGCTATGAAATTCTTATTACATACACGTACCTCTGACATTAAAAATTTCTGAATCAACAGATTCAGAATGTCCCGGATGTTTCGAACTATAAACTGATCTGAGAGTGTCAAAAGGGTCTCTGTACAAAATAATAAGTTTGGCAAATCTTTTCTCAAACTTTTTGTGTCTGTATCTGTCGTTCGAGTTAATTACAATGACCTTGCCGTTGTTAACACATTCCCCTACTGCGAATGATTTGGAAGTCTTCAACTTCCTTCTACAAGCAGGAGATCCAGTAGCTATACCTGTAAGTAGAAATAATAGAGATTATAAGAGAGAATTGTAAAGCATCCTGCATCAGGCTCTGACTGGGGTTTACATGATAGAGAATCATTTACCAATATTCGGGGGTTAAGGGGAAAGGGGTGGGGTAATGAAAAAAAAAAGAAAATAGAAAATAGAAAAATGGACCAAAAACTATAAAATAGAGAATAATGGGATACTAAAGATTAATGAATAGAGAATAATGCATACCCTGTAAATGTCGTTTGTTGGTTTGGTTCATAGGTGTTTCTCGTTTCTCGTTTTTATATAGATTAGACCGTTGTTTTTCCTGTTTGAATTGTTTTACACTAGTCATTTTGTGGCCCTTTATAGCTTGCAGTTCGGTATGAGCCAAGGCTCCGTGTTGAAGGCCGTACTTTGACCTATAATTGTTTACTTTTTATACATTGTGACTTGAATGGAGAGTTGTCTCATTGGCACTCATACCACATCTTCTTATTTATAATAAATAAACATAAGAAAATAATGGCCTGAAAATTAAAGAATACAGAAATGAATACTCCCATCCAGACCATCACACATATGTATGGTTCCCTCCGTTTAAGTAGAATTGAGAATGGAAACTTCCTGTTAATTGTTGACTGATTGTGTGCATGTTTACTTGTCTACCTACCTGTAAGTTATTGACTGTTTGTGTGCATGTTTACTTGTCTATCTACCTGCAAGTTGTTGTCTGTTTGTGTGCATGTTTACTTGTCTATCTACCTGCAAGTTGTTGTCTGTTTGTGTGCATGTTTACTTGTCTATCTACCTGTAAGTTATTGTCTGTTTGTGTGCATGTTTACTTGTCTACCTATCTGTAAGTTGTTGTCTGTTTGTGTGCATGTTTACTTGTCTATCTACCTGCAAGTTGTTGTCTGTTTGTGTGCATGTTTACTTGTCTATCTACCTGCAAGTTGTTGTCTGTTTGTGTGCATGTTTACTTGTCTATCTACCTGTAAGCTGTTGTCTGTTTGTGTGCATGTTTACTTGTCTATCTATCTGTAAGTTATTGTCTCTTTGTGTGCATGTTTACTTGTCTACCTACCTGTAAGTTGTTGTCTGTTTGTGTGCATGTTTACTTGTCTATCTACCTGCAAGTTGTTGTATGTTTGTGTGCATGTTTACTTGTCTATCTACCTGCAAGTTGTTGTCTGTTTGTGTGCATGTTTACTTGTCTATCTTCCTGTAAGTTGTTGTCTGTTTGTGTGCATGTTTACTTGTCTATCTCCATGTAAGTTGTTAACTTTCGTGTCTATGTTTACTTGTCTACCTACTTGTAAGTTGTTGACAGTTTGTGTGCATGTTTACTTGTCTATCTATCTGTACGTTGTTGTCTGTTTGTGTGTGTGTTTATTTGTATACCTACCTGTAAGTTATTGACTGTTTGTGTGGATGTTAACTTGTCTACCTACCTGTAAGTTGTTGAACTAAATGCCTCACCCAGGTACTTCCTGAACCTGGGTAACTAATCAAAGCTGTTAATGGAAGATTATACTTGTGCAACACTGGTCGTTTTTCTTTACATGTACTATTCTGTGGAATTTTCATCTTGTAATATGGAGATGCTATCCTCAGTGGATCCATGTCAATATCTGATGTCCTATAGACTTTTGGCTTTCGTCCAGTGAAAGACCGAACATTTTGTATAGGAATTGTTTTAGACAAGGACCGTTTCGTCAATCCACCGTGAGTTCGAAGAAACACTATGACCATGGCTATGCATCCTGCAATTAACAGTAATACTAGTCCTTTTGGAAGTTTTCTGCATGTTTTAAACATGAGCTTATTTGGTACATGATATTTTATTTCTTCGTATTTTATCATTGTGTATTCGCAAAACAGATTCTAATACTTAGTATCGTATGGAGCTAACTGCTTCCAAACTTCTGGCTATAAAAGTATATCCTTCGTATGGAGGGTTTTGACTTCCAACTCCAGGACTATAAGAATATGTTCTTTGTATTCAGTTTACCTCTGGAAGACTCCTAGACTATAAGAGTGTGTCCTGTGAATGGGGCTTTCTGCTGGCTTCTTGTCTATAATAGAAAGTCCTTTGAAACTATGACACTAAATTTCACTAATTTAACCAGACCAAACTAAATGATCCAAATATAAAGCTGTAATATTTTATATGCCCATATCTCCATTTGGTCAAATTAAGTTGATCCTTAATAGTCTCCATTTCAAAACATATGGTCGAATTAATAAGTCATGGTGTAAGCTCTGTTATGTACGTTGATTGATACATTACCAAAAATCTAGTATGCTTATTAGAAGAAGTCCACACGTAATGTCACGATACTCAAGAAAGATTTACTTCACAACCATCCGTTTGATGAAAGCACAACATCCATATTATAATGTTATAATCCGTGTTTATAGTTTTACAATGTATGTTAAGGTGCATGATGAATTAATAAAGGAGACGACAGCTTGAGAATGCATGTGACATGGGACTGACATTAGTATGTACAGTATAATATACCTACGGGGCATTATATCAAATCATTGTCATTGTAGTTCTACTAATTGTCAAATTGTGTATTACATTTACATTGTTTTATTTTAATTTGATCAACCGGATTTATCTCAAGCTTATAGCTTTTCTCAGTTAAGATTCTTAAAATGTAAAACTTGTCACTTAATATACAATTTTAACATTGAGAGATTTATCGATATATTAAAATGTTATCACACATGATTAAGCGCTACATATATTTTATTCTTTCTTGAAACACTCATTTAAAAAAAATATATATTAAAAAATATGCACTTTTTACATATATATGATTATTATTTCTCTTAATTTCGTTTAACCTTTTTTGCTCAATTTAAACATCATGTCAGAGATGTATAATCTCTCTGATTAGATAAATGTTAAATTTTGAAAGTCTTACATTCTTATGTACCGTACACGAAAATAAAAAACAATCGGATGTGACCAGGGAACAATAGCAATCAATAAACCACGTATGACCATGGGACAGTACCAATAAATAAACCACGTGTAACAAAACACTTGTTGTTAACTGTAAATGTAAATGTCAGTGATAGATTTCTCAAGTGTACGAAATCTCATTAGACACGTTTTCAGTAATTACGTTTACAATCGTCCGATTGAGCGACATTTCAAAAACAGAACCCATGACTAAGTTAACTTGATGGAGTAGCATTTAAAAAAGATTGTTTGTAGACAATTTTAATTCCTTTCAATTATTCGTTGCGTTGCGAATGTGAGGTATTTGTGTGTATGGTTGAAAAGTTTAAATATAGAGTCATAATTAATAGAGCGCTCCCGGCAATATGTAAAAATATATATTCAGTTGTTGACGGTACTCTACGTAATGATCACGTGACGTAAGAAAAAAATGATTTCATTATAGGGTGCTACTATTAATTAACATAATAAATGTAATAAAGATCATATGCCAAGACGGAATTACATAAACCAGTATTTTCTAAGCCTATCACTAAAACTAAAAATTCAAAGCACTGTGAGCGCTATATGCAGTTAACCAAAAACCAAGGCAAATGTAATTATGAAAACTGTGGCAGTGTTGCTTCATTTTTTTTAAAGATTTGAAAGAACAAACATTAAACTTTCGTATATTGTACATGTATGTTTATTAAATGAATTGATTATTAAGGCAAATTAATTAATATTTTATCAAGATTTTCAAAAGCAATGCATATATCAATGTATATTTTTAATGATGAGTTTGCAGTGGTACAAGTTCGCAATGATTGCAGTTGTTCTATTTGGTAGTTAACGTTGGTACCAGTTGACTTTTAGTGGTACAAGTTGACGTAGTACGAGTTTGTAATAGTATGAATGGACTTGCTTCCCTGACAGGAACACTGAGTTTAGGTTCTACAGTACAAAAGTTATGAGACACAAATCAGCCGAAGGTTTACTACTACAGGGATCAAAGGTGAGGTCTGATTGACCTGTCCATAGTAAATGTAAATGAACCTTACCTTCACCAAGTCCATGATGTCACTCCATCCCAAGTTTGGAATAAAATGACAGGTTATTCTAAAACAGTTGGTCAAACATTCTTGGGCTTTACACTGCTTGAAAGATTTATATGTCTTCTTTAAAATGAGCCATAAATGAAAACTTTTATAGGCCCAGAAATAATTAAAAAAATAAATAAAGTAAATTCAATTAACCTAGACTTATTTTTGCATCAATTAAATTTTATAATAAACAAGAAATAATTGTAACAGGATGCTGTTACGAAGTCTTCCAAACAGAGCTCCCATACATCGTCATTCCCATGGTCGCCTGACATTGGGCAAAGTCCAGTACAAATTGGTTAGGTCTAGTAAAGTGATATGCATATGTGACGCCTAGGAGATTAAACCTGTATGTCACTCAAATCTTCTTGAAATGACGAACAGGAATAAATATGGTTTAGGGGTGGGTATCTCACCGTTTACAAGTTCTCAAAAGGGGGGGGGGTGATCCCCAGGGGACTCACTCTTTATTTCTTTGATTTAGTTTATTGTCCCATACAAGAATATATATGGTTTTGTGGTGGGGATCTCAACCGTTTACAAGTTTTCAAAAAGAAGGGGGTGGGGATGACCCCGTGGACTCCCCTATATTTGATTTGATTTGATTTATTGTCCCATATCAGAATATATGTGGTGTAGGGGTGGGGATCTCGATAATAAAGAAAAGAATTTAAATGTGCATTCATTTAATTGAAATCAATTAAATAATCACAATCTTCTTAAACATGTTAAACGAAAAGAACATCATGATTAACAAAACTTACTTTATAACATCAGAATACTTATTAGCTTACGAACTTACGGTTCGTGTAAGTTGAAATTACCGCCAACTTTATTTCCTCTATCATAGTGATTTGGTGTACATGAACAATATTCCTGCACCTTTGGCCATTTGGGAAATGTAAACGACTTGTAATTAGAGATTTTCGGCGATGAAATATTTCATACAATTGTTCTTTGACATCTTAGCCAAAAGCACATGGGATAATACACTACGTACGGATTTCTTTTGATCACTACTTCCTATGTGCAACTTCAAAAATTTTGGGTAGTTCGACGATCATTTAAGGTTTTTCTGGTCATATTTTTTGTATTCCAGAATTGAAAGTATGAAAAAAGTGCCCAATTAGTTATAAATAACATATAAGCCAGTTAGATAAAAACAATAGCACTTTTTACACCATTCATTAGGAAGAACACAAATCTAGGGTGGTAGCATAATGCAGCTTAACTGCATAAAAACCTCTTCTTTTCCAGACAAGCACAATTAAGTTCATTAACAAAATAATAAAATATTTTTGATTAAAGTAACTGTATTGCGAGTCATATCAATTTGTCAATCAATTATCTCATCAGTTTCAATATTTGTTCTTAAGCTTCATTCTGACATTTCTGCATCAAAAGAAATACAGATGAAAAGCTACAAGAAATAACTTTGGGTTTTATCTATGACGACTGCAGTTACTGTAGATAGTACGAAAATGTGTAATCAGTAGAATCGAAAATGCATGTCCTCTTTAAATGATATTTTAAACGACAAATTTTATTTCATTTCCGACTATACATTTTATGAATATGCCCACAGTATAAGAGAACAGTAAGTAAGATCACTAGAGGAAAGTATGGCCTCAATTGTATGGTTTTCTTGCAATCAGATGAATACAATCATTAGTTTATGATGTTACACCACTTTCTCAGGTTAGGGGAGGGTTGAGATCCCCGAAACCCCGCCACATTCTTTATGTCACTGTGCCAACTCAGGGGCCTGTCATTCAGTGGTTGTCGTTTGTTGTTGTATAGCGGGTTATTTTCGCGGGTGTAAAATTTCGCGATTTTCATTGAATAAGGTATACGAAATATTTTGGCGGTTATTATTTTGGCGGATTCAAAACGTTTATCGATACCTTTGCATGTACACTTTTAAATTGGCGGAATTTATTTTGGCGATTTTGTACTATCCGCGAAAATTTACACCCTGCGAAAATAACCCGCTATACGGTATTATGTTTGTTTTTCGCTAATTGCTTTGAACATAAATCGTTAGATTTTTGGTTTACATTGTTTTACATTGTCATCTCGGGCCTTTTATAGCTTGTAGTAGGATATATGGGTTTTGCTCATTGTTGAAGGCCGTACGGTATCCTATAGTTGCTAACTTTCACGTCATTTGATCTCTGATGGGGAGTTGTCTCATTGGCAATCATATCACATCTACTTATATTTAAACCGAAATCATTTCATTGGTAAAAAAAACTATGGACAAAAATAATTCCTTTAGTCTGAGTGGGAACGAATTTAAATTTGAAAAAGAAGTTGAATAAGAGTATCTGCTGATCTCGAATCAAAATTTAATGTTCCTATGTCAAACATTTGCATTAAAGCTTCGAGGCAGCTATTTAATATCTTAAAAAAGACTTGGTTGCTTAAAAGTACTTCGTTTAGTCTTTTAATCAGTAGGTAATTGTCTCATTGTCAATAATACCGCATCTTCTCATTTTCATATTGGTGAATATTTATACAGACTGTGTAAACTAACAATTTGTCATTCGATTATCTCATCAAATATTTGTCATTTATCCTGACAAAAGAAATACAGATAAAATCGAAAGATTACAAGAAAGAGCTTTGTGCTTTATCTGTGGTGACTGCAGTTGCTCATACAAAAAATATAATTAGAATCGAAAATCCCTATGCTGACAGACCGACGTATTTGCACAATAGATATTGAAGTTTATAGAATTATTCAAGGAGAGAAAGCCCTTTATACTTACATTACATATTTTAAATTAAAACAAGAATGTGTCCATAGTACACGGATGCCCCACTCGCACTATCATTTTCTATGTTCAGTGGACCGTGAAATTGGGTCCAAAGCTCTAATTTGGCATTAAATTAGAAAGATCATATCATAGGAAACATTGTACTAAGTTTCAAGTTGATAGGACTTCAACTTCATCAACATCTACCTTGACCAAAAACTTTAACCTGACACTGGACAGACGAACGGACGGACACACAGACCAGAAAACATAATGCCCCTACTACTATCGTAGGCGGGGCATAAAAACATTGTTTTAGATACCAGAATTTAGCTAAGCAGTTATACACTTAGTATAAGAACTGGTGCTATATTATGTACACTAAATTTTAGAACTGGTGCTATATTATGAACACTAAATATAAGAACTGGTGCTATATTATGTACACTAAATATAAGAACTGGTGCTATATTATGTACACTAAGTATAAGAACTGGTGCTATAGTATGGAACAAGGTATCAAACCATTTTTAACTGACATATTCAAGCAATTTACGTTTGATAAATTCTTTGTATGGTGACTTGTGCCACTGCAATGCCTGCTGTGAACTAACGATGTACAATACTCAATTAGTTTGTTACTACTTCAACTTTGAATGCTTATGTAATGATGTCTGTACAATTTGAAGACTTTCTAACAAATTGTATATGAATAGATTACCCTAGCTGTATTGAGCAAAACTTCTGGTCCTCATTGCTCAGGAACTTCGTTCTTTATTTGGCCGTTTTATCTGTTTAGATCCAAGCGTCCTGCTGAGTTTGTGAAGACGAAACGAACGTCTAGCGTACAAAATTTTGTGATATCTATGATGAGTTTTTTTTTCTGATTGTGCTTACATAGATTAGCTATTCAAACTTGTTTTATGTAAATTTTAATTGTTTCAAGTGTCTTGCATGCATTGAATGTATTGCGTATATTCACTATTGTATTATATGTTTAATATGCTATTGACGGTTTTAAAAGCTGTATTGTATTGTATTGTATTTTGTATTGTATTGTATTGTATTGTATTGTATTGTATTGTATTGTATTGTATTGTATTGTATTGTATTGTATTGTATTGTATTGTATTGTATTGTATTGTATACAGTAAAGAACAGGTGCTTGCATAAATTAATAAAATGCTCCGCAGGGCGCAGTTTGATACGACCGCAGAGGAGGAACCCTGAACAGTTGGGGCAAGTATGGACACAACATTCAAGCTTGATACAGCGCTGAATTTGGATTGTGATTAAATATTTGACACAGCATAGGTTTCTGACACAGAATGAATGTGGTCTAAGAACTTAAAAATTTTAAATAGGACAATCACCTATTATGGTCCAATATCCAAAATCTAAATACATGGTTAGATTCAGCATATCAAAGAACCCCAAGAATTCAATTTTTGATGAAATCAAACAAAGTTTAATTTTGGACCCTTTTGACCTCAATGTGGAAAAAGTTGATAACGGGGCCCATAAATCAAAAATCTAAATACATGGTTAGATTCAGCATATCAAAGAACCCCATATATTCAATTTTTGTTGAAATCAAACAAAGTTTAATTTGGGACCTCGATTTGGACCAACTTGAAAACTGGGCCCATAATCAAAAATCTAAATACATGTTCAGATTCAGCATATCAAAGAACCCTAAAAATTCAATTTTTGTTAAAATCAAACTTAGTTTAATTTTGGACCCTTTGGACCTTAATGTACACCAATTTGAAAACGGAACCAAAAATTAAGAATCTAAATACACGGTTAGATTCGGCATATCAAAGAACCCCAATAATTCAATTTTTGATGAAATCAAACAAAGTTAAATTTTGGACCCTTTGGACCTCAATGTGGACCAATTTAAAAACGGGGCCCAAAATCCAAAAACTTAATACACGGTTAGATTCAGCATATTAAAAAAACCCAAGAATTCAAGAATAAAACCCCATTGAAATTGATCAAGAAATAAGCAATTTATACGAAGTATCTTCTTTTGCACAATACTGTGCAATTGAATATTTCTTGCTATTGCGCAATACTGTACAATTGACAATTTCTTGCTATTGTGCAATATTGTGCCATTGGATATTTCTTGCTATTGCGCAATACTGTGCAATTGAAGATTTCTTGCTATTGCGCAATACTGTGCAATTGAAGATTTCTTGCTATTGTGCAATACTGTGCAATTGAAAATTTCTTGCTATTGCACAATACTTATTATATAATAATTTACACATCCTGTTTGGTGTGTATCTCCTACCATATCATTATTATTTGCTTTTAAATATAAATCAGAAATAACCAACTTAAAATGGAAAATTTTAAAAGAAAAAAAAAAGGAAAAAAAAAGAAAAAAAAAAAAAAAAAATCCCCCCCCCAAATTTTTTGAACCCCATTATGATTCATTACCCCTAAACTCAATCCAAGCCTTCCCTTTGTGGTATGGTACCTTGTAGTACAATTTCAGAGAGATCCATACACTTGAACACAAGTTATTGTCTGGAAACTAGAAAAATTCTTATTTTTGGCCCCCAATTCCTAAACGTTTCGGGCAATTACACCCAAACTCAATTCCAGCTTTCCCTTTGTGATGTGGAACCTTGTAGTACAATTTCAGAAATATCCAAACACTTACACACAAGTTATTGTCATGAAACTAGAAAAATGCTTGTTTTTTGCCCCTTTTTTGGCCCCTAATTCCTAAAATTTTGAGGCAATTACCCCCAAAATCAATTACAGCCTTCCCTTTGTGATATGGGACCTTGTGGTACAATGTCAGAGAGATCCATACACTTACACACAAGTTATTGTCTGGAAGTTACAAAAATGCTTATTTTTGGCCCCTTTTTGGCCCCTAATTCCTTAATTGTTGGTACCATAACCCCCAAAATCAATCCCAACCTTCCTTTCGTGGTATTGAACCTTATGGTAAAATTTCATGGAGATCCATTCACTTAAACTAAAGTTAGAGTGCGAAAACCAATGTGTCTTCGGACAACGCAGGACGACGCCGGACGACGACGACGACGCCAAAGTCATACCAATATACGACCAAAAATTTTTTAATTTTTGCGGTCGTATAAAAATATGGACATTTGTGTCCTTCCAGCACAATCAGTGTGGACACATGTCACGCCAGAAGCAAGAATGTTTAGTGAACTTATACTTTAGCTTGACCTTAATCATCAATTCAAAATGAAAATGAACCATTCTCTCATCGTGGAAGTGGTGAATTTAGGTTTGATATTAATTGATAAAGAAACCAGTGTCACATTGGCTATATTAAGACCTAAAGTCTTTATAAATAAGAAGATGTGGTATGAGTGCCAATGATACAACTATCCTTCCAAGTCACAAGGTGTAAAAAGTGTCACATTGGCTATATACACCTTATCGCTATTCCCGGCTGACCCGAGAATCTGTCCCGCTTGAACTTTTGACGTCATACAACAATCACTTTTCCATTGTGGCGTCAGATATTTTGTATTGTGACGTCAAAATTTTACGGGAACCTGTGTGATGTCCAATAATGGCGGACAAATAGCGATAAGGTGTATTAAGACCTAAAGTCTTTATAAATAAGAAGATGTGGTATGAGTGCCAATGAGACAACTATCCATCCAAGTCACAAGGTGTAAAAAGTAAACAATTATAGGTCAAAGTATGGCCTTCAACACGGAGCCTTGGCTCACATCGAACAGCAAGCTATAAAGGGCCCCAAAAAGACTAGTGTAAAACAATTCAAACAGGAAAACACCTACTGAGTTTGAAAACTGATTTCCAGACCTTTGGAGAGGGTTATTTTTAAGCAATACATAAGAGTGTGGATGGGGATTTACAGAATAGAGAATAATGGGCAAAAATAATAAAGAATAGAAAAAAGGGACCAAAAAAATAAAGAATAGAGAATAATGAGGTGCTAAATATAAAGAATAGAGAAAAATGGCCTAAAAATTAAGGACCCCTATCAAGACCCTCATACATAATATAACCATTTATGCTATAAAGAATTAGATACTAATTTTGTGTGGTGTGTAGCATTTTGCTATATAAGCAATGTAATAAGCATTATGGTATCTCCATTGATTGTTCTGGATGTAGTAATGAACTAAAGTACCTTGAGTGGGCAAGCTCCCATACCCATACCCTCCAATATAAAACGGAAAAGCTTATATTGACCTGGTGGCACTGGTGGCATAGTTTTTCCTGTTTACTTTAAGAAATCATTCTTTACAGTTATGATTTCAGACAGTTATGTTACACATATCTATTTTGAATTACCATTACCTTAACCATATAGACCTAGTGACTTAAAAATTCAATGGGGATCTTCCTCTTTACTTATTATATTTGATTTGGAATCTGGAAACCACTTTTCTGCACAAATTATCTTTTAGTATGACATTGGCTGCTTTTGTGGAAATCTCTCAATATTAATATGGGATTTTCATCCTAACATATGCGACCATATATCCAAGTAAGGTGAAAATCCCATATCATTGGCAGATCCAGGGGGGGGGGGGGGGGTCTGGGGGTTGGAACCCCCCTTTTTTTTGGGACGATCAATGCATTTGAATGTGGACATATAGTTGGAACCCCACCCCCCCCCCCCCCCCCCCCTTATCCTGGGTTAGGAACCTCCCTTTTATAAATGGCTGGATCCACCCCTGCATTATAAGTATTTGATTTAGCCTCCAGAAACCAAATTTCAGCATAATTTTAGTCTAAATATCTACTAACTATGACCTTGATCTTAGATGTAACAACCTTAAAATTAATAGCGTTCTGTCTCTTATTTTATATGACCATATATAAAAGTAATTTTGCAATCCAATTTGTATTATTTGATTTAGCAACCAAAAACCATTTTCTTAAACAATCTAAATCTTATTTAAGTAACATTGACCTTTACCTTTGACATGGTGACCTAAATATCAATAGGGTTCTTCCTCATATTATATTTGACAATATACACCAGTATGGTTGCAATCTGATCTAAAAAAAATTGGGAGTAAGTTTCTGTAAGGGAAAAATATGTGACAGACTGACAGACATACAGACTGAAGGATGGGTCAAAAACTATATAACCATTGCTACTTTGTTGTGTGGTGTATAATTAATCAATAGTAGTTAACCAAGAAACAAATGTAATTAAAACTTCAATGACCATCAAAGAAATTGAAGGTACAATGACACCATGATTCAACCCACCACTGTCATTTGAAGGTGTCTGAATCAAATCAGGACTATTATAGTCAGTTGTCTTCTGTCAACATCAGTATTGTTGGAAAATATGTTTTCCTGAATCTACTCACTATACAGGGACAATGAATTTTCAGGATATTAATGGAAGTTTAGTATATGTATAATTACATGTACCTATTACTAGCACAGGTAACATGTTATTCAGGTGAGTGCTCATTGTAGAGGACATAAATGGTCCAACAGATGTCTACTTTTGAAGTGTTATGCAATAGGTAATTACTATGTAGATCTATCTAATCATTAAAACACGAAATCAAACTAAAAACATTTATTATTATCACAGTCTTACACAATTCACTAACATAAACAGTTCAGACAAATTTTCTACTTTTTAGTTACAAACACTTCTAGATAATATTTTAGTACTATAAATCAATACTAGTAATTACAGATAACTACTTCATAGTTCTGATTCTTACTTCTGTTCCCTGATAAGACATTGATTGACAACTCCATGTTTGTCTCTCAAGTAGGAAATCACATTAGGTTCCTTCTTATATTAAACATCATTTAGAGAACCTTTTGGTTGTATAGTTTATAATACATTCTCCTGCGATGTTTTTACTTGTGTCATTGGACTAAACTAACTTTCTCATTCATTATTTTTTTACTCTTTCTGACTAAAATTTTTCTAAGAAAAAAAAACGACCAAAAAAAAAATAGCTGCCATACTTGTTTTAAAATATCATAAGAAGTCAGATACAAATATAATGGACAATATTTATGAAAAATAAATGAAAGACTAACTACTAATTGAGAGGAAGTGAGTTGAGGGAGGCTATAACAGGATCGATTGTATGTGAGACCCTAAATAGAACCACCTCAAGCCTTAATTTGTTCCTCTCAAAATTAATCAAGGTTGATAAAAAAATGGAACCCCTTTAGGAGTTAAACAAATGACATTCATCACCATGGTTATGAAATTGGTTTTGTTGAAATACACTATTTATAATACAAATTAGATAAAGATAATTATTCATGCAATAGGATATGGATATTTATATTTTCAATTTAAATTAATGTCATCTTCAACAGTGACAAATGTACTTGTCTGTTATAACATTGTTTCCCTATAAATTATTTGAAGGATGTAAATTAATTACAGTAAAAACAAGTTCATTTATTCTTTTAACAGACAAAAGGTGTTGTTTTCTGTGATAATAAACATGACGATGAATTTTAAAACAGCAAATTTATACTGCTATAGTGTACTGAGATAAAATTGAAAATAATGATCATCATTAACATTTACACAAATCTCTAATGTACTGTTTCTTTTTTACTACCATATTATACTTTTCAAATATTATTTGCTAGTTATAATGATATTTTTGTTTTAATTTAATGTATGTCTTTGAAGAAGCAGGATGATTAGTAAAGCCAGCAGTACATATTTGCCAGCAGAACATTTAACTTATCTTTGTCTTCAGTTATACATGAAAATAACAAAATTAACAAGAAATAAATCTAACAAAATAAATAATTATAATCTTATAAGAGCATTATAAAAATGATCAACCATTTGTGAATAAACAAGTAGAACAATGAGCTATAGCTCACTAACGATACCCCTGCTTTAATTATTCGGTAAACAGGAAGTTGATGAGCAATAAATCTGAAACGGCATCACAGGGTAAAGCATGCTGACATGAAGCTTTATATCAAATTTCAGGAAGCTTTTATTTGTAATTCCTGAGAAAAATGTGACAGATATTTAATGGGACATAAAGGCTGATGAGAGAGACAAGAGTAACACAGTATACCTACTCAACCAGAGTGGGGGTATAAAAAATTATTTTCCTGCCATTTATATCAAAGTTATAAAAAAATGGACTTTCTTTAAAGGCATGTCTTAAATACAACAGTGCTTAAATAATGAAAAAAATTGCTTACCCTAAGATTTAAACCTCAAAATATTCAACCTCATTTGTAAACTACATTATACCAGAACTTTAACCCTAAAAGAAACAGACAAATGAATAGATGAACAGACCAGACAACATAATACCCTCTAGAGGTCTAATAGTTTGTTAATTACATGATTGTGTTGGTCATATCCCAATATTATGAGAATTTTGCTATGTAAACTCTATTAAAATTAATAAGTTTCTATATCCTATATCACTACACCATGACAACTAATTCTTCATGATAGTTTATATTTGTCTGTAGATAAACAAGTTCTCTGTATTAAACACTGCTCTAACCATTTCTCTGTTACTATCTGTGTATCAAGGTTCTCTAGTTTGATGCCCTGTAAGAAATTACACAAATTTCAAAGTACAAAACATCAATAAATGTTGCAAACCTAATAATAAAAAAATATTTAAAAAATAATATTTAAATGTCACTATGTATGTAGTATGAAAATAACAACTAATAGAAAAAAAAATTCCAAGAAAAAATAATCTTAAGCTATGAACTTTTAATGATTTTTTTTTTGTGAAAATAAATTGTAGCTCAGTGTATCGTTTAGAATAAAGGAGAACTTACTTTTGTATCAGCATCAGGATGGATCAATACAAGTTTTGTGGTTTCAGATATCACAGGGTGTATATCACCATCGTACGCTATGACATATCTTCTATAAGTCTTCAACTGATCAGCTGTAAACTTGTCAGGATGGATATATAAGGATAGATCAGAAAATAAATCCAACAGACCCAGACTGGACTTCACTGACGAATTTGAAGATTGATCAGAATGTTTTGGTTTCTTGACTGAAAAATATTTATTGAAAAAATAAGAGATGTTAGATATATGACTTTAAGACAGGTAGGCAGCAATAGTCGTGTCTTTACATTATATATAGCTATCAATCAACAAATGTAGAAAAACCAGTGATTATTTTTGTTTTTTGGTTGATGTCTCATTGACATTTATGGGAGAAGATACCAAGAGGGCTGTTTTCTGCTCTTTGGTCGGGTTGTTGTCTCTTTGACACATTCCCCATTTCCATTCTCAATTTTAACCAAAACCATAAGTAAAAAAAAACAACCAAAAATACCATAGCTTACACCAAAACAGAAAACTAACATGTGACCCATTTAAAATCTATTGTGAACTCAGGTGCTCTTGAAAGGTCAGCAGTTCCTGCTTCACTAGTGACATCTGGTGTGTTACTCCCGTAACAACATGTCCATGAGATGTATCCAAGATAAACCCTTATTCAATAGTAGATTGGTACATGTCTCTTGTCTAGGCCTAAGACAACACCAACATAGTAAACTATTGGTATATGTAAATTCTCTAACCCTAAAACTCTACCAAATGTCAAAGTTTGAAAGGAAAACATGGTATTTAGGACAAGAGATATTAAAAGAGTTGGGATTCAAGCAAAGTATAACAGTGCAGTGACATCCCTCTACATTTGTAACAAAAACTTGTTTCTACATTTACCTTGTGTATCACTGTCTGTACCTAGTGATGTTTTTCTTTTCAATAATGTCTGTCTTCTTGGGTAATAATAACTTATCTAGTTCAGGAAAATATTTGGAGATAAAACTCAGATTTTTTTATTGCTGTGTATTCAATCAGAAGTATATAAATAAGGACATGTGGTATGATTGTCAATTAGACAAATATCCACCAGAGACAAGAAAACAGTAGATATATGTATGACATTGTTACTTTTATGTTGAATTCTAGATATCTTTATGTTATTTGTGTTTGTTGTTGGGTTGCTGTCTCTTTCAAGTTTAACTAACATCACCTTTTATTCATATTACATTTTTTTAACCCGAAAAAAATTATTCATATTACATATTTTTAAACTCAAAACATTTAACTCAGTGAAATACTAAAAATGATTTAGATAAAAAATAAATGTGCACACATTTTTGTGCTAAACATATCCCCTTCTATTATAACATATTGGAAAAAAAAGGGGACTTACAGATAAACTAGACAAAGTGATTCCCCCGCACTCCACTCTGAAGTAACTGTATTATAACAAAGTCAATGTAGGACTTTCTTTGAGATATTATTATGCTGGGAGACACAAATGATGCCCCCACAGATGAAAAATGTTATTTTAAAATACACAAAAATGAGCATGGGAGCACAAAGGTCCAAAATGTAAAATCAGAAATTTTAAAAAATATATATAAACAATTCAACAAAGTTTCATAAAAATTGTAAAATCTCAAATTTATAATAATCGAAAGTCAGTAGATTCAGTAAAACAATTCGACAAAGTTACATGAAAATTGATTAAAGCGTTTTTGAGTTACTGTCCCACATGTTGACGATGGACGGACAGACAAACATCTGTATACCACAATACGTCCAGTAAATGGGCGTATAAAAATTAAAATCTATCTGCAAAAAGGAAGTATTTGTCTAACAGATCTGACCATCCCTGACCAACTTTGAAGTAATTCTGTTCAGTAGTACCTGAGAAAAGTGTGACCAAGTTATCTTTTGGAAGAAAAGATGGAAAATGGATGGATGGATGGAGGGACAAGGTTATTGCAACATAGCCCCCACTATTTCAAGAGTGTTGTATGATAAATGTACACTGACCATATCATATAATTATAAAAGATTATGTAAGTTTTTAATTGAAATCTTTATAAAGATACAAGATTGGAAGGACAAATGTACAAAATGGTAAGCACAAGCAATACAGATGATATTCTGATAGTTCTGACAAGGATACATGTATGTAGGAATTCCTTTAGATGCTAGATGTTTCTTTATCAGCCTTTCTGTACCATACCAGTTAAATCCTGGAGTGTCATATCCTATACGTGGTAAATGGACACTAGCTGGAAAAATTAAAAAATACAAAAAAGTTACACACATAAACCAATTAAATCCTGGAGTGTCATATCCTATACGCGGTAAATGTACACTAGATGCAAAAATAAAAAATGCACACAATTTACATTATAAACCAATTAAATCCTGGAGTGTGATATTCTATATGTGGTAAAAGGACACTTGCTGGAAAAATTAAAAAATACACAAAAGTGTTGGAGCATCATTTTATAAACATGGCAAAGAGGTAATAGCTGGAAAATGAAAATAAAAAGCAAAATTACATCATTTACCAGTAACATCCTGGATATATATCCAATACAGGTTATGTGGAAGCCATTTGGTAATGAAAATACATCTGAGCGTAGTTAACGTTAGCATGGTAAACAATGTATAAAATTTCACTGCTTTTCAAAGCATATTGTTGGAGAAATGGTGTTCCCAAATGAAAGATTGTAGACATTTTTCTGAGTTTTAAGGATTAAAGAAAAAAAACTCTTGTTCGTACATTCCAAAATTAGTTTCCGTTCTCAAACTTTAGTAAAAGTAAAGCGTTACAAAATTTCATCCAAAACAATCTTTGATAGATCTAGTGCCCACAAAAAAATGGGTTTTTTTTAAACTGAAGTACAATGTCTCTAGCAGGATCTATAAAAATTGTCAAAATACAACATAAAAACTGGTGCTTACAAAATTATTGAAGTTTTTGTGGATCAAAGTCCAGTAAATCTGTAGAATATTTGAGAAATTGTCAAAAAAAGATAAACACATGATTATTTTTCACCAACATGATTATTTTTCACCAACTGTGCAAAACTTATTTGCATCTCAAAGCATTTAATACTGTAGGACAAATAGATAAAATCTGGAAGGACAGATGATGAAAACTAAAGGCCATCAACATTATAGATGTGGAAAGCAATAAATTCATGTTTTCCCTCACAATAGAATCATAATAATATCTCTCAGTAAGATAATAATATTCCAACCTGATCTAGTTTTTGCAGCATAGTAAACAGCTTGTAGTCCTTCCCTTAAGGCAGGCAGTTTGATACCAGATAAGTTGTTCCTTTTATCTCTATGTTGAGCTATCAATAATGCTAGCTGTAAAATATACATACAGAAATCAATTGATCCCCAATTATTTAAATCTGACGCCCTGTGTAGGGAGAGTGCCATGTTTGCTGTATGATAATGAAACCTATCCAACAACTCTCTAAAGAATTGATTTCTGTTCTTATCAAACATATCCTCATTTTCCCAGCTAAAATTGTTCGCCCTTCTTCTCAGTCTATGAACTTTGAAAAACCTACACATTGTATTAATTTTTAATTTGTTCCTTTCCTTAATATGCATGAATTATTTGCCACCGAATATCAAGCAATCAATCAATTAATCTGTTATCAAAGGTTCACAATAATTAATGTACATTTAAAATTCTGAATGTACAAAATCCAATGGACACAAAGTTTCATAGATTTCACTTGGATCTATAGATTGATTGTTGTTTTCTTAACATCCAGTGGAAAATATTGCAAGTATGTTCAGGGCAAGAACAAATAAACAATTAATGCAATAGGTAGGTTGTGTAATAGGATGATATTTAACCTTTTCTTTTGAAAAAAAACCCAGGTCTTATTCATTCTTAATCTTTTATCTTTCAGACAAAATTGACTTAATCACTTTATGTAGTGTAGATTAAAAGTAAAAGCTAAATTATCAAATCAATCATTCCTATATATATCAAACATTCAACATTATAAATTTGTGTATTTGTTATTGAGGTCAATAATTGAGTAATTAGTTGTGTAATAAAGTGTCTACTTAATCATGTAAGATTGAAGTTAATAAGTAATTTGGTCTATAATGATTGACATTTAAGAGGGTTGGACATTTTAATTATTTTAACTGATCATGGCAGTTGTCAATCATACTGGTATTGTATCAGTACTCTTACCTAATAAAAATTTCTAAACTAGCCAGTAAATTGTCAAAAATAAAGACATAAACACTTGAATGAATTGCTCTGAAGATATAACCCAAATGTTTTACAGTTCACATGTTCATATGTTCACGGACATGATAATTATTAGAATTATTATTATATTTCAGTGTGTATAGATTAAGTAGCTAATCTGGCTACATTCTGTTTGGGAGGCTGGTGCCTTAGGAAAGAAATGGAACAATAGTTCCAATCATTAAAAAGAAATATAAGGTCAACCAAACAAGTAATATACTTCTTTAAACTTTCTTTGGATGTTTACTCAGAGACAAATCTTACCCAGTTTTTAGTTTTAGACAAACTTTCCTTGGATGTTTATACAGAAATAAATCTTACCCAGTTTTCAGTATCAACTTCATCCATATCTTCATCCAGTGGTATTAAGTGACAGTCTCCTAATGCTAAATCTAACAATAAAAACCTCATTGTCAAATCAACAACATAAAAAAACTCTAAAAATTGTCCCAAGTTTAAACAAACCATATATTTCAGACTACAATTCAAGTAAATTAATTTTTTAGAAATTTGGTACGCTCGTCATCTACTCTAGATCAACCTATATAAGTCTTTTTTTTTCTCTAAAATTTAGTTGCAAAGCTTAAAGTATAATAAAAATTGCAGACTATTGATAGTTTTATCAATGATAATTATGTAATATTTGTAAGCTTTGGATCGAGAAAAGCAGAATCAGTTTTACTATTCATTTAGGAATTTTTATTGTTTATATAAGCTAGATGCCAGCTTGTTTTCTTTCCCGTTTTTTTTTTTTTTTGTCCTATTCACAGCTTTAGTACTTATCTCTTGTAATTCTGGATATGATTTTTAAATTTTACATATGAATTTTTAACTTCATAGTAAAAAAATTAAAGAATAAAAAGTTGTATGTCCTTATAATTTTGTTTCACTAGTAAAAATGTTTCATCATGAACCATCTTTCTAAACCTACCTAATAAGTTACCAGCCAGTTCCTACAACCTACCTAATAAGTTACCAGCCAGTTCGTACAACCTACCTAATAAGTTACCAGCCAGTTCATACTGTTTTTCTGGAACCTCAGATCTTTTAGATATTGCTGTAAACACACCTCCTTTACCCCAGCCTCCAGAATCATCTAAAATAGATTTAATTAATTAATAATCAAGAGTTAATTGCATAAGAATGTTTCCTGTCATCTGATGATTGGTGAATACTATACTGTAAAGTAAAAAATCTTTGCAAAGTCTACCCCCTCCCCTTCCATTTTGCAATTAAGATAAAATTTTGAATAATCCATTGCATTAGAAATATATTTTCTGCTACAAGTTAAGGGGTTTTCAATAAGGCAATAGATTAAAGAATATAAATAGTCGTTCGTTTTTCTGATGAAATCTTATGAAAACTTTTTCTAAATTAAATAAGGAATATGTCAAATAACTGACAAGAAGATAGCTACAAGGACTATACTGTATGTTGAAAACTGTAGCATAATTTTGATTAACATTTAACTTCTTTGGCAATTTTCTGAAACAGCACACATATGGTATAATTCTGTACAACTTGAAAATTTGCTCAAAACTCCTTGTTTTATAACGTTCTGATGAAATTCTTAACGCCATATTCTCACTATGGTACAGATACTTTAATGTGACTATGATTGACTTCCCCTTATAAATAAAATATCCTTAAAGATAAAAAAAAACTGACCTGCACAATGTACTATAAAGTTTACTGATGACCCAGTATCCACAGGTTTCATGACATCACCACTGATGTAATGGATTGCCCGTGACTTTGGTTTGTTCTCGTCATCCTCCTGGTCAAAGTCAATTTGAGAAAGATCCTCTTCCTCATCCTCCTCATCGATAGGGACCTCTACACGGGCCGAGGTGTAACTGTTGTCCTTCCATAGCTCTTCTCTGAAAGGAACAGATAACTTAATATAATTAACAACTTTTACAATGATTGAGGTGTAACTGTTAGTCTTCCATAATTTCTCACTGAGAAGGAAAGATAACTCTTCACTACAGCCATCAAAGCAGACTGAAGTGTTACAGTTACCCTTCCATTGCTCTTTTCTGATAAGACAAGATAGTTAATCGTAACTTCTAAATGAGCCTTATCCTTAGCCTAAGATAGTTCCTATCTGACAAAGAGGCAAGAGAATTTAATACAGAGTAATGTTCACCTTCAAATATTTGGAAGATGACAATAATAAAACTTGACTTGTGATGGTCAGGTTAGCAAAAAATGAAACAAACACATTTGAAAAAAAACAGTTATTTACGCTGCAATACTAGAGTGATAGGAAAATACCCTACTTTTTCTTCCTTCTTTCCTGTGCTCTTCTGATTTCCTGTTCTTCCGCTAACTTTGCTCTCTTCTCTGCTGCTTCCTTTTTCTGTAAAGGAAAAAAAAGTGTTGTTTTTTTGTGTTGTTCTTTTGATATGGCATTCATCTATATCATCATGTCTCCTTTTACTCATATCTCCTTTTACTCATACATTATATAAATTTCATCAATGTATTTAGTATAATATTATATTTCTGCACTTGAGACTGTATTTGCAATTCTAAACATTCTAGGCCCTTTTAAATATCTTTTTATTTTACATTGGTTGCAATGAAATACCGTGATTTCTCAATACAATTAAATTAAATAATTTCCTTGTGAAATTAATCCCATAATTAAACTCCTCTGACATCATACAACAATGGGTGTTGTCAAGACATTGTCGATGGTGCTGCATCAAAACGATTTAAGAATGCAAAGAACAAAGATATAGTTCCTTGTATTTTCTACTTTATTCCATAATAAAAAGTTCATGGTCAATGTAATATAAAGAATAACTAATCAAAAAATTCAAATATCCCAAAATAATAAATTTTGTGACCTTACAACACTGCATGATATTCAAAATCATGGATAAAAAAAATTGGCTAAAAATCATAATTTTCAAGTCAGCAGCCTGTTGTTCAGAGGTTGTCGTTTATTGGTGTGGTTCATAAGTGTTTCTAGTTTCTTGTTTTTTATATAGATTAGACTGCTGGTTTTCCTGTTTGAATTGTTTCATACTAGTTATTTTGGGGCCCTTTATAGCTTGCTGTTCGGTGTGAGCCAAGGCTCCGTGTTGAAGGCTGTACTTTGACCTATAATTATTTACTTTTTACACATTGTGACTTGGATGGAGAGTTATCTCATTGGCACTCATACCACATCTTCTTATTTATATGTAGCGTAAAAATGTAATTATAAGAATTGAATGCTACTTTCTGTAATTTTATAGGGTTGTAAAAGTAAAGCCACCATTTTGAATTCCAAATTTTTTTTGGTGTGTAATTTCTCAAAAAAATAAACAAAAAAGTTACATTTTGTGCCTCAAAATCTTCTTTTTGTCAATATTTTAACCATTCAGAAGAGTATGAAAAGTATAATTAAGTGTAGTGTATATGTTTGACATAGGGAGTATACCAATGACATGACATTATGTAGATGCCAAAGACGATAATTCAGTTTCACTGACTTTTTAATTTATGGTATTTTTAAGCTACTCTTTGCTACGTTAACTCAATTCGCAGCAGTTTAATCTACATTTTATGAAGGCTAAGCTTAAAATACAATACACATGATACAATTATCTCCTATTTACCATTATTCTTATTCTATAGTAATTACCAAATTGTGTCTGTTGAATGAATTTATAGATTAACAAAAACATCACATGTTACTGCACATGCAGTTCTGGAAGGTAAATCAGGACTTTACCCCTCAAAATTATATGACAGTGTCAAATCAAAATTGCATAAGAATATCAAATTAACTGCTTTACTGTTAACCAACATATTTTCATAATCTATTTGATATTGCAAAATAGAAAAATAACATGATTAGAAATTGTTGCTTATGAGTTACACTTGGATTTTACACTTGGATCTTCTATTATATAAATACAACAAGAAATTAAAAGAATAAATAGAGCAAAGTCAGCTAGAAAAGGCTTAAACACCAAATTAATTATCTGTGAAAACGAAAAAACCCACTTTTCTCATTCTCTCCTCCAGCTCTTCAGGTGTTAGTTGTTTTCTTGGTTTTCTGCCACCTTCTGCTAGAGGTCCCATTAACAGTGAAGTTTTTCTCCGCAATGATCTCTCTCCTAAATCTTCCTCTAATACAACTCTAGAAGCTGCAAATCCAACAAATACTTGTTATTCTTTATATTATTATTTTTTAATTGTTAAATGTTGACACTAACCCTTTTCTAGAGCTGGTATCAAAATGTTTTTGAAATAAAACAGAAATTTACTGGGATGTGCAGATAATACGTATGAATTTTCTACTCCATGGAATATTATGCCACCACTGTATTGATTTAGATGCAACATTAATTAAAAAGAGACAGATAAATTTTTTAATTTCAAAAACTAAGGCCTTTCAGTCATTTCAAATGTATGAAATTTAAAGGTCAATAGTGGAGATATATGATATCCCACAAGATGCAGTGAAAGAATCTGTTTCTGTTATTATTTGTAGATGTTATGTAGGCAAAATTTCACTTTTTTCAATGGTCTAGCAATAATTATTTCCATTCTGTGAGACATGAGGCATGGTTGCCTTTTTTATTATTGATGTCACCATAGCAATTTTACAGGAGCACTGTATTACTGAATTTTCACCTGAAGAACAGGAATCAAGATAGCCACACGTTAATTGTTTAAAAAAAAAAAGTAATTGGCAAATTTCACGTATTTCTTATGGGCAAGCCTTTTTCATATACTTTAACAAAAACTTCATGTGATTTTAAACATCTCCCAAAAAAGTACATTTCATCTGATATTACAAAAACATAGGTAGAATGGAAGGAGTTCTATTTTACCAATGAAACAATTTGAATTTAATGTTTTTATATCAAAATGCTAAGAGAATTTAATTCAAATTGTTTCATTGTATTGAAAAATACCTTCTATTAATTCCTCGAATGCCTTTTGATCAGCAGTAGACGGTTCTTTTGAGTAATCTGTTCCCTCAAATACATACATACTCTGGGGTCCATGATCATCTGGCATCTGTCACAAATATATACAATATTTCAATAGTAGGTGTAAGATTAGCGTATGTATTCAAATGTTTCGGTATCAATCATATTCATGATTGTTGATAGACTAGTTTTATACTGAAAAAGTGCAATGATTTATAATACTGAAAAACAACACAAAAAAAATTCTTCTAAGGCAACTTTGAAATTAACTGTTAAAATCCTCTCCATAAAAAACTAGAAATGATACCAATAAGTTATACAATACTCCAAAAGTGTCAGTCTTTTATTTGATATAATGACCTGTTTCACTCTTGTCCAATCAGAATCTATATATCGTAATTTGTTCATTCTAATATATCATACTAATATATAATCATCAAAGTATTTACATGGTATTCAGCCATTATGGACTGATGATAAAATATTTACTACACAAAAGCATTTTTCTGGACATGGTGTTGTCTAATTCAGGTTATTTTTGGCAAATTATACCGCCCATAAAAAAGACCTACAACCCTAACTAACTTCCTCATCACTTTGGTCTGCCTCCTCTTCCTCGATAACTTCTTCTTTTAATTGCCATTCACCTCCCACCGTACAACCTAACAGTTACCTCCCCTACAACCCTAACTAACCTCCTCCTCACTTTAGTCTGCCTGCTCTTCCTCAATAACTTTTTCCTTGACTTGCCATTCACCTCCCACAGTAGGACCTAACAGTTACCTCCCCTACAACCCTAACTTACCTCCTCATCACTTTGGTCTGCCTCCTCTTCCTTGATACCTTCTTCTTTTACTTGCCATTCACCTCCCACAGTAGGACCTAATAGTAGGACCTAATAGTTACCTCCCCTACAACCCTAACTAACCTCTTCTTCACTTTGGTCTGCCTTCTCTTCCTCGATAACTTCTTCCTTGACCTGCCATTCACCTCCCACAGTAGGACCTAACAGTTCTGTGAAGTCCAGATCCAACTCAGAACTGTCATCATCTTTCAACAGATCATCTACTCCAAACTTCAGTATGTCTGTCAGCTGTAAATAAAGCGAGAATTAAAATAGTTCTTAAGCTATTTACCCTAAACTTCAGTGTTAGCTTGTCTTACAACAAAATGAAACACAATAACAACCTATAATTTCAGTATGATTGTCAGCTGAAATAATAATATGGTATCAGAAATTTCATAGGTGCTGATCTTTTCTGGTGAAATTTTAGCCATTTCCTGCTGATATACTATAAGTTGGTTTTTTCTCCACATTTTGTCCACAGGATAAATACTTCCATGTCCCATGATAATATACATTTTTTCTGGAGAAATTGAATTTGACTTAGTTTTTGTGGGGTTCTTGTTGTTTGATCTATATTTGTGTGTGTTTTGTTATAATTTTCTTCTATCTTCTTATGGCCAAAATTATAGCTATACTGTATCTTGGACTTACTATTTTTGTTTTTCCCTGCTAATTGGAAAAGTTAGTGAAATTCGGAAGAAAGTTTTAAATGTTAAAAAATTATCTTAGTATCAAAATAAATAATATAATACAAACATTAAAAGTAAACAGATCTATACAGAACAGCTAAAAACTATGGCTAGCCATACCTGAGGGCATTGTACCTTTACTTTTTAGGTTTGTTTCCAATTATTTCACAATGGACTGTTGTAACATTGTGTTCATTATTTAGGAGCCCCATACATACCTTAACTTTATCATCAGTAAATAATTTCTGTTTAGACAATCCCAGTGAGAATTCTCCTTCCTCTATAACTTTTTCTGTCAGTTTAAGTTTGTCCTCAGCTCTCTTCAGTATTATTTCCTCCACTGTGTTTTTACCAATAAGTCGAACTATCTTCACAGGTCTACAATAAAATATAAAATGAAGCCACATTAGAAGTAGCTAAATGAATGACACCAAAAGTAAAATAAACTACATATATTGACACCTTAGGGTTTTATTATTAACTGTTTACAAAATTCAAGATGCCTTTTTAAATTTTTTGCTTCATAGATCATGATTCCCATTGTCCTTTAGGTAGCCTACTTTCAATAGACTAGTGTCAGCATATGGACCTTATTCCTTTTGTTTATCAATCCAATTGACTATTTTTATTATTCTATGGACTTTATATTGTATGACCAATCCTACGAGGCCTTGCTACATCCTTACCTTGTTTGACCAATTGTATGAGCCCTTGCTTCAGTATATGTGTCTTACCTTGTTTGACCAATCCTATGAGCCCTTCTTTCAGTATATGCGTCTTACTTTGTTTGACCAATCCTATGAGCCCTTCTTTCAATATATGTGTCTTACTTTGTTTGACCAATCCTGAGCCCTTGCTTCAGTATGTGGGTCTTACCTTGTTTGACCAATCCTATGAGCCCTTGCTGCAGCTTGTAAATCATTCTGTGGGTTAAAATCACTATCTACAAATATCACAGTGTCTGCTGCCACCAAATTTAACCCCTGACCTCCTAAAGACAAATTTTATTTTTTAAATTATGATGCAATGTACAATATTCACCAAAAAGTCATTTTCAATACTGAGAATGAAAAAAAAAAACAACCAGGTTTTGGTAGTAAAACACAAAAACTTTTATAAATTACAAACAAATTAATAAATGTCCTTTTAGTTTATCAGAAAAATTTATATGTATTTTTTTTTAAAGTGACAAATTCTTGCCTGCTAAAAGAAAGGTTAAGCTATTTACCTGCTCTTGTACTAAGCAGAAATACAAAAGTATCTTCATTTTTGTTGAAGTTCTGAACAGCAATAAATCTTTCTTCTCCTCTGACAGATCCATCTAACCTTTCATAACTATAACCTACAATATACAAGAAAACTCTACAAACTACTCTAAATTAACGATAATGTTTTTCTTTTATTGGATGTTTTCACTATTTTCTCCTTTTTACATTTAATTTTTAATTTCCCCTCTACATCACCATTGATTTTTAAGAATCAAAATGTATTGGTATAAAACCTAACATAATCTTTCATATTTCTTTTTCTTGGACATTGCGCTGTCTTTGAAACTATTCCTTCATTCTAGAAATAAATAAATTACTTCTAAAATTAACATGTAAAGATTTTGTGTGACCTCACAATAAGTGAAATACAAAATATTAAAAGAACTTAGAATTTCCTCAGGATCATATATCCGAGTTTTTGACAGAAAACTTTAAATAAAAATGAAACATAATGAGAGCAGAAAGTAGCTGGAAAATAAATATCACACTGCATTGTGGGATACCATAGATGAGGTCATATTCGTTTGAGGTTTCTTGATTTACTTTTACTTTTACTTGTATTTTTCTACCTTGCAAAAATCTTTGATGAATTTAATAATCTACCATTTATACCATAATCTTTACACTTTTAAATAAACCAAAACGCCATACTAGATCGAATGCTTTTTCAATATTGAGGAATATTGCCAGTGGGAATTGTTTACATACTTTGGCTTTTTTCAAGTCTGTTTCGAGTCGCAATAGGTGGTTAATTGTAGAGCAACCTTCATGAAACCCACTTTGTTTTTCTTTTATAATATTTTTTTCGGTTAAAAGATATTTAAGCCTTACATTAATCATGCTTTCCATCAGTTTGCAAAAATTAGACGTAAGAGAAATAGGTCTGTAGGATTTAGGGTCAGATTTATTTTTATTAGGTTTTAGTATAGGACTACATTTCCAAGTTTCCAGCGGTGTGGTAGTTGACCAGTTACCCACACCTTATTGATTAATTGCAACACGATATTGATCATACTATCAGGCACATGTTTAAACATTTTGTATGTTACACAGTCATCACCGGGCGGTTGTCTTTTTGGTCTTAAGCACCTTATATAGTTCGTTTTTGTTGAATGGAATATTAAACTTTGACCTGTTGTGTGGCTCCTCATCCCTATTAATTGGATTTTCTATTTCGGATTTTATTCTATGTGTTCTGAATTTAATATTGTTTTTCAAAGTACTCTTAGTTGTTTATTGAAACAATGAAGAAGGAAATGATATATCGTCTTCAACCCTATTACAACTATATACTTGGTGTTCACCTTGAAATATTTTTATATGGTCCTTGTATATACTGACCTCTATAACCAAGATAATCTTGTAGAATGTCCAACATGTGGGTCATCTGTGAGAACAATAACACTTTATGTCCCGCTGACTTCAGATAAGACAACATTTTATCCATTAATGCTAGTTTTCCACTCACATCTATTAAATGATCTCCAATCATAAAAGGTTCTGGTTCAACACCTAAGGAGAGATAAAAGACATTCCTAGGCTTCACACTAAGAGTAAAAAATCAGTTGGAAATACCTTCTTCAAAACATATATTCCAGGATTGGAAAGTAAATTGTGTATATAGTTGTGCTTGGTGTCCTTGTGATTAAGACAAATTATATGAAGTTTCTACATATAAAAGTATAGGAAAACATGCTATAACTGGCCACATTCTTTGTGTCCTTGTCCCAAGTCACGGGCATGTAACTCAGCGGTTGTTGTTGGTTGCTGTCTGCCATGAGTGTTTATGCATTTGTTTTTTAGGTATAAATCAGGCCATTGGTTTCTCATTTGAATTGTTTCCCATTTCGTCATCTCTGGGCTTTTATAGATTTCTATTTATAGCTATAATGATATCATCTCTGTTTTTCAAAGGCGTTTGCTCATGCATCAAAAATTTTAATTTTTTTTTTTTGTAAATAAAATAAGTATAGAGCATTTTGATTGCTTAATATTTGAAAGGGTGATTTAAACCGCAGGAAAGATATTTTGATCGATTGATTGAAGCTGGACTCAGGGCATGAAAAAAGGATGAAATACTGAAAACAGGTTTTGTCCTAGAAGTTATGAAATAAACACTGTGAAAATAAAACTACTTTACAGTAGTAAAAGCTGTCTATTTTGTTAAAAAAGCTACTTTAAAAACTAGATGTCTTTTAAATATTTGTGTAGTTGGGTTGCTGTCTCATTGAATTTATACCCCACATCTCCTTTTATAATATTCATAACCTTTAAAAACTTACCATCAAACAGATAAGGATGATTGACACATTTTCTTAGCTGCATTAAAATGTTCATTAAATTTGGAGCACTTATTTCTCCACGATAATTTACCGTTTCAAACGCACCTATAAAGAAAGATGAAACTTATTTTTTATTTGAAGTTATGTTCTTTAAAAATATTTTTATATAGCAAGCTGTCCTGCATTTCTTATTTTTCAGATAACATTATATTCTTTAACAACTTTTTGAATTAGCTAATTGTATCTTATAAATTAATGAAAAATATTAACGTCTCCAGGAATAAAATTTGAGGGTTTGAAAACCATAAATTTTCACAAGGGATGATACCCCTTTGAAAAATGCACTGTAATATAACAAGAGTGCACACGCTGAAATGTCTCGCCTTCTTTACTAATCATTGATATTATGTTGATAGTCCTAAATATAAAGTTTTATTACAACTGTCACATAAACTTAACATTAACCAAGTAAACTAAACATTGACCAATGAACCATGAAAATGAGGTCAAGGTCAGATGAACCATGCTAGGCAGGCATGTACAGCTAACAATTCTTCCATACAACAAATATAGTTGACCTATTGCTTATAGTTTAAGAAAAACAGACCAAAACACAAAAATTTAACACTGAGCAATGAACCTTGAAAATGAGGTCAAGGTCAAATAAAACCTGCGTGACTGACATATAGATCATAAAATATTTCCATACACCCAATATAGTTGAACTATTGCATAAAGTATTAGAAAAAAAGACCAAAAATGAGGTCAAGGTCAGATGACACCTGCCAGCTAGACATGTACACCTTACAATCATTCCATACACCAAATATAGTAGACCTATTGCATATAGTATTAGAAAAAAAGACCAAAACTCCAAAACTTAACTTTGACCACTGAACCATGAAAATGAGGTCAAGGTCAGATGACACCTGTCAGCTAGACATGCACACCTTACAATCATTCCATACACCAAATATAGTAGACCTATTGCATACAGTGTTAGAAAAAAAAAACAAAACTCAAAAACTTAACTTTGACCACTGAACCATGAAAATGAGGTCAAGGTCAGATGAAACCTGCCAGCTAGACATGTACACCTTACAATCATTCCATACACCAAATATAGTAGACCTATTGCATACAGTATAAGAAAACCAGACCAAAACACAAAAACTTAACTATAACCACTGAACCATGAAAATGAGGTCAAAGTCAGATGACACCTGCCAGCTTGACATGTACACCTTACAGTCCTTCCATACACGGAATATACTAGACCTACTGCTTATAGTATCTGAGATATGGACTTGACCACCAAAACTTAACCTTGTTCACTGATCCATGAAATGAGGTCGAGGTCAAGTGAAAACTATCTGACGAGCATGAGGACCTTGCAAGGTACGCACATACCAAATATAGTTATCCTATTACTTATAATAAGAGAGAATTTAACATTACAAAAAATCTTAACTTTTTTTTCAAGTAGTCACTGAACCATGAAAATGAGGTCAAGGACATTGGACATGTGACTGACAGAAACTTCGTAACATGAGTCATCCATATACAAAGCATGAAGCATCCAGATCTTCCACCCTCTAAAATATAAAGCGTTTAAGAAGTTAGCTAACGCCACCGCCGCCGCAGCCGCCGGATCACTATCCCTATGTCGAGCTTTCTGCGCAGGCTCGACAAAAATGCTAATGATAAAAATCTTAATATACTGCATCTTGTTTACCAATATATTTCTATAAACAGACATCTCTGGACATTTGCTTAAGGACAATAAATGACTCACTGATATCTTTGGTAAGTATTGCCTTATACAATTTTTTCTGTAATTTAGATATTCCATGAAACATAACAATCTCTGACTTTTTAGGAAGATCCTTTAAAACTTCATCTTTTGTTCTCCTTAACAGATAAGGTTTTAAAAGACTGTGAAGTTCCTTCATACCTGTAAGTGTAATTGAGATAAAAATGTTATTTTCCACAAAGAAGTTATCCTGACAATATACATATATATATATATTTAATTAACAGATAAAACTGTGAGCTATTGCTTGCTAATGATACCCCAGCTTTAAGTATTCGGTAAAAAGGAAGTTGAAGAAAAATGAATCTGAAAACACATTACATGGTAAACATGTTCACATGAAGCCTGATAGCAAACTTCAGGAAGCTCTTGTGTGTAGTTCCATAGAAAAATGTGATAAATATTTCAAGAATTGCCAGTATGTGTTAAATTAATATAAAGAGGCAGTTGATGAGAAATGAATCTGAAACCATGTCACACAGTATAGCCTGCTGGCATGAAGTCTTATAATAAAAGAGAATGTCCAGTTAGAGCTAATTTCGACTTAAAATTCGAAGCTCATCTGATGAAAATTTTTTGACATTTTTTAAACACAAGTGTCTACTTTAGTCGATTCAATTATATATAAATAAGAAGACGTGGTATGAGTGCCAATGAGGCAACTCTCCATCCAAGTCACAATGTATAAATAGTTAACAATTATAGGTCAAAGTAGGGCCTTCAAAACAGAGCCTTGGCTCACACCGAACAGCAAGTTATAAAGGGCCCCAAAATGACTAGTGTAAAATAATTCAAACAGGAAAACCAACGGTCTAATCTATACAAAAAACGAGAAACACTTATGAACCACACCAACAAACGACAACCACTGAACAACAGACCCCTGACTTCGGACAGGTTTAGTTCATGTTAAAGATTTGAACTGATTTTGGTAAAAGATGCTCAAATTCAAGCTTAAATATAAAGAATCTATCAAGTATGCCATAAAACGTCTCTTTTCAGATTGTTTTTGTCTAAAATGGAAGTGGCCACATTCGTGTTCAGTCTCAACATTTGTATATGTTATGTATTATCATTAAATACAACATATATATAAATATTAAGACTGAACACAAGTGCGGCCACTTCCATTTTAGACAAAAACCGTCTTAAAATTAGCACAAATGCTAAAATTGTGAAGATTTCAGTATTTTTGCATGAACTAATGATGCTAGTACCTGATTCATGTCTATCGTATTGTCAAAAGACAGATCATTTTTATGTAACAAAAGTATTCTACTTTCCAATAAATAACTAAAAGTTTACATTTTTAACAAATTTGTAAAAGCTCTATATTTTGGTGCCAAAAGGGTTCTTACCAGGCCTACTCCTTTCATAACAAATTCAGGAAGCAATTATTTGTAGTTCCTTAGAAAAATATGACAAACATTCATACATCGCCATAATGTTTAGAATAGAAAAGTATTTGTAAACAGGAAGTTGATGATAGATGAATCAGACACCATTTTCTCTATAAATAATTCAGTGATTTGTTTATAGTGTTCATTACAGGCAGGTATCTGTTTTTTTGTTTTTAAAGTTTTATAGGGTTTCATTTCATATATAGGTTTCACTTTCAAAGAAATTTGGTTTAGATAGGTATCTGTTTACTTATAGTCCATATTAGACAGGTATCTGTTTACTTATCGTTCAGATTAGCCAAGTTTATGTTTTATCAAGGGTTAAATCTTAAACACTTTCACTTTTTAAAGGCGTTCAGTATAAGCAAGTATCAACAAACTTACCATTCTTATCCATATCACTGAATTTATCAACAAATTTGTCTTGCCCAGATTTTCTGAATTTTCTTGGAGCTATAAAACTCAGTAGTGAATACAGTTCCTGGAGGTTGTTCTGCACAGGTGTACCTGTCAACAACACACTGTGTGGTATATCCCACTGTAAATGCATAATGTTTAATGGTAATATACATGTAAATTATAAACCCAACAAGTATAATAAACTGCTGACACAGAGATATGTCTCGCCTGTATGTTATTTCGATAGAAAATTCCAAATCTTGAAATTTACATAGCAATACTTTGAAATGTAAAATATGAAAAATATTCAAAGTTAATGAACCATGACTGGTGCAGGGCCAAATAGTTTCTGTGGAAATAACATATTCCAATGCTAAAACAACTGCATACCAAAAGTTTCCCTTAAATTGACCTAATCACAAACTTTAACATGTAAACTAAGCTCAAGTTTCAAAATCAACAGACCATGACTGAGATTACAGGGCCAAATCATCTTCATTGAAATGAAATGTACAACTTCTTGTACAACTGCATACCAAATATCATTACCTTTTCATAGGTGGTTCCCTTTGAAATGACCTTATCATCAACTTTGACATCTAAACTATGCAAAAGTTACAAAGTCAATAGACCATGACTGACGGGGGCAAAGCCAAATAATCTCCATACAAATGAGATGTTCCAATGCTTGTACAACTTCATACCAAATATCACTGACTTATCATAAGTGGTTCCCCTTAAACTGTCAACCTAATCACAAACTTTAACATGTATACTATGCAAAAGTTTCAAAGTCAATAGACCATGACTGAAGGGGCAGGGCTTACTCATCTCCATGGAAATGAGATGTGCCAATGCATATACAACTGCATACTAAATACCATTGATTTACTATTAGTGGTTCTCAAATTCACAAATTTTAGCAAATCGTTGATGCCGCAGGAGCCATCTTTTCTGTGGACATACATGACATCATAACTTGATAGAGGTTATATGTGAAATCATTGCAGCTTGTATTTTTGTTATTGTTATCAAATCCCACTTTTACTGTTTCACAAACTTTGTATCTTTTCTAAATTGAAATTTCCACATATTTACTCCCTGCATTGCACAAGAGTCTGCTTTTTTACAAAAAAGGAGTGAGATCTCAGAAAAGAAATCTTACTTTTCATCATTTGTTTTCAGATATATACTTATCAACTGAGCTATTTATAATTTACAATAGTATTGTCCATATAAGAATCATGCAAAATCCAAATTTTGTGATACACTTCATGAAAGACTACAAATGTTTATTTTTGTCAATCAGTTGTAGTATGGGTGTAGATGAAAGGAATGAGTAATATGGTCTATTTGCTGACTTACAAGAGCAGATAATTGGCAAACATTTTACAATAGATTCTATAGGATATTAATGGAGTTATCTCCCTCAACATGAGTTTTATAATGCATTCTATAGAATTTATATCTCACCTTGTAAGAGTCCATATAAAAAACTATATACAAATTTCAACATAGTTATATATCCTAAATCAGATATTAATATTTTTTATTTGTAAGCGTTCCTCTCATGAATCAAATTTTGCATGATTCTTATATGAGCTGGTACGTACCTCTTTAAGTGTCAGATGAAGTTGTGATTCATTGTTCTTTAGTCTGTGAGCTTCATCCACTACTAAACAGGTCCAAGGAATAGACGATAAAAATCCACTGTCTTTCAGACATAACTAAAATGTGTATAAAACAACATATCAAAATGTTATAGTCTGTCTAAATGCATTTTGAAGTTTGAATTTTTTTTGTTACTGTTAACGTCCCGCTATATAGATGTTCTCTCACTAATAATACAAAATTTGGTGACTATGTTGAACGAATCTATCCCATCGAACTAGAGATAAAGGATACTACAGATACAATTAAGTCTGCCTCATATCTTGACTTACATCTAGAAATTGACAATGAGGGTCGGTTGAAAACAAAACTTTACGACAAAAGAGATGATTTCAGATTCCCAATTGTGAACTTTCCATTTCTATGTAGCAACATTCCAGCAGCGCCTGCATACGGAGTATATATCTTCCAATTGATACGATATTCCCGGGCTTGTATTTCCTATCATGATTTCCTTGATAGAGGATTGCTGCTCACAAGGAAGCTATTAAACCAAGAGTTCCAAATGGTGAAGTTGAAATCATCCCTTCGTAAATTTTATGGACGCCATCACGAGTTGGTTGACCGTTATGGAATAACCGTTTCACAGATGATATCGGATATGTTCCTTATGTCGTAACTTCAATACCCTTCCCTTTTCATGAATGTGACCTACCAAATAAGACTATTTACCGGATTTGTAATAACATAAGCAACACGACCGATGCCACATGTGGAGCAGGATCTGCTTACCCTTCCGGAGCACCTGAGATCACCCCCAGTTTTTGGTGGGGTTCTTGTTGCTTAGTCTTTAGTTTTCTATGTTGTGTCATCTGTACTATTATTTGTCTGTTTGTCTATTATTTTTGGCCATGACGTTGTCAGTTTGTTTTCGATCTATGAGTTTGACTGTCCCTCTGGTATCTTTCGTCCCTCTTTTAGGTTCTTTATTATGTCAATCAGTATAATGTATTCATATTTACAGGTAACACATAACTTTTCTAAAGAAGAATTTCAGTCATCAAAAGTTATGATTTTTTTATGAATTATTTTTAATGATTAAAATAGTTATGATAATACTATTCTCATGTTTATCATTGTCAAAAGTGCCAACTCTGAATTATTACTGGGGTTCCAACGTACCAAGTTTGTAATATCTGATTCCAAGATTTTATTCTTTTTGGCCTGAAGCAAGTACATTTCCGCTTATCCAACAGATGCTGTTATTTTACTCCAGATAAGATTCATTTATTTAATTGTGTTATAAAAAATAGTTTTTAAACCAAAACAATATTAGTTTTTGGTCTGTTTTAACTACCAGCAAAAATACCTGAACTTGGAGCCTGTTAGAATTTTATGAATAAACAATGATATATTCCTTTTTCTATAGTTTTTACTTACGTATTAAAATAAAAACCAAAATAATGTTTGAATTGCTTCATAAAAAACCTTTCAACACAAACATGACTAAATGGTTGTAAGAAAAATTCAATATATTTCAGGTTAATAAGGTCTAATCAACAGGTGCTTTATGTTGTATCTTTAAATACTTAATCTCTGGCTCTGTGATCATTTCCCAAAAAGTCAAACAATGTATGACAATGCCTTAGCTATCCCAAAATAGAAGGACACAATTCCCCTCTGCCCTTATATAACTGCATTATGCATTTTTGTTTTCATAATGACCAAACATAACTTGTAAATGTATTTAAACTCTGTTTTCAGTTTCCCTTAATGTTGTATGATCTATTTGTAGTTTGAAAAGGATCAATACATGGTTATATAAAGTCATAAGACCTTTTATAAATGCAAGCCATATGAACACATTGAACAGTCATATAATACCTCATATGTTGTGACTAGTATATTGATATTATGGGATTTATTCTTCATATTCTGAGCTAACTCGTTCCTCTTTTCTTTGTCTCCTGTATAACATAGGACCTTCAAAGTTGGTGCAAACCTACATTATAAAATAAAACAACTGTGCCATACTCAGAAATAAATCTTTTACATAATTGTTTAATGACTGAAAATATCAATCAGTCAACTGATAAGATTCTGTACTGGTGTTCAGACAAGTAATTATTTTGATGGCAGAGTATATTCAAACCTTATCTGTAGAACCTAATTGTACTATAATATGTTCAATTATTATTCTTATCTGTAGAACCTAATTATACTATAAAAGAAACACATAAGAGGTTTAATATAGAATGTTTATTTTCTATTTGATACAAAAGAATTGTTTGATATTATTTAATTTCCTGTTTTAGAATTTTACTGCCATATACTGAATTTTGAAGACAACAAGTATGCAAAACAAAAAATTTCATAATCAACCTCTGAATTATATCAAAAACTTTCAAGAAGCAGATATTTTGTTTAAAAAGGCATAAACCTCTGTGGAAATTTGAAAGAAACTCCAAATGAAAATCGACATTAGAGAATATAAAATAAGGAGATTTGGTATGAATGCCAATGAGGCAACTATCCAATCGAGTACAAATGATGTAGATGTTAGCAATTATATACCTTTTTAAGCAACTATAGAGTATGTCTATTTTAATTGAACAAAGTCCTATTATTAACCATGTTTAATAACAATAACAAAAGTTAAAATGGTAAACAGTACATATGGATCTTCTGACAACCATTTTATAATCATATGCATGGATGGATGTATTATAAGGAAATAGGTCATCACTTAATAACTTCTACTACCATTGGTTCTTGTCTAACGTGTAAATATCTACTCTGTCTTTATTGTTAGACTTTTTTAATTTTTGATTTACCTCTTAATTTCTGCATCCCAGTTTTCTAACACGGACCGTGGACATACAACTAGACTCGGCTGAGCTTTCTTCTTTGACCTCTGATTATACAGTATAAAAGCTATGGTCTTAAAGAAAATAAAACTCATGTGAACAGTGCAACATGTGTAGTAAAATACTCAACAAATGAGGATGAGGAAAATCAAAGATATCTCATTGTTTTGGTTTAGTTTCCCAAAAATTTTAACAAGAAATAAACATTTGGACAGTAAATAAATTCTAATTTTGGCATATAATTGTCATGAATGAATATTTTCTCCTGTTGTGAGTTGTTTCGATATGAGATTGCAGCAGAGAAACTCCCTTTAGTTTTGGAAATGAGTATACTTCATGTACTTGCTTGGTTATAACTGGATATAAATAAATCTTGCTCAAAACAGGATGAAAATAAATATTCTGCACCACAAAATATAATTGTGTACAAAATAAAAAAAATGAACAGAATATTTTATACAAATGAGTCCTTCTAGCAACAAGTGAAAATCAATAGTTATAAAAAATTCTCATACACAACTAAAACAACCCATAGCCCTGGAAATCAAATGTTCATCCCCATAAAGCTATAAATTGTTGCATTTTGAATTACCAGCATATTGTCATTATTGCGAGAGACGATTTTACTCACACATATTTTAAATTAGTTTAAACCAACTGGCTGGCATGTATTAAAATTTTAATTAAAAATAAAATGACTTAAGTCAGCAGATCGTTTGTGTTTAATACCTGACAGGTTTTACCAAGACCCATTTCATCTCCTAGAATAGCTCCATGCTCCTTCTTGTAACAGTCAATCAACCAGTTCACTCCTGCTAACTGGTAAATTCTCAGGGGAATACTATCTGCAAAAATTATAAAACAAAAATACTCAAATTCATGCACTGTTTATCAGATCTTTACACTTAATCCATTGAATGTGTACTGATGATATTTGAGTCTTGGATACAACTTTTATATCACTTGTTCTCTGGTGAAAAGTTATCTCATTGGTAATCATACCACATCAGAAAAAGAAGAAGGTACAAAAATAGAAAGATTATATATAGTCTCCCACTAGAAGAATAGACCTATTTTACAATTGGGAAATATGTGATAATTTTTACTGTCAACTTTTGAAAATCTTCATTTATGTCCATGGGTGAAAGGGTTTCCTTTTTGGGGGGCGTTTTTTCTAGCAGGTTATTTTATTCTCATATCTTCATGTCTACTCTTTTGGTGGTCCAGTGAGCTTTTTTTTTGGTCTTTTTATTCGTATGATTCTTGTTATTTTCTTGTGTAGAAATAATAGTAGCTAGAATACTAGCAAGATCTTTTCTTGTGTAGAAATTACTGTTGATCTTTTCCATACATAAATGTTGACACAGGACATGCATGACATCATAGACATATGCATTTATACGATTCCTTGTGAAAAATTACAGACATTAATTTGATAATCAAATACAAACTAGAGGCTCTCAAGAGCCTGTGTCGCTCACCTGTATTTACTGATGCTTTGGAAATCATGTAAAATAAGGTTAAAATCAAAATTAATAATATTAGATATTAGATATTATAATGATATCTAAGATAATAACAAAAAACTGCAAAATTTCTGTAAAATTACTAACTCAGGGGCAGCAACCCAACAACGGGTTTTCGGATTCGTCTGGAAATTTCAGGGCAGATAAATCTAAATCTGATGAACATTTTTGCCACCTGTCAGATTTGCTCTAAATGCTTTAGTTTCAAAGATATAAACCAAAAACTGCATATTACCCCTATGTTCTATTTTTAACCATGTCGGCCATGAGGGTTGGAAGGCAGGGTCATCGGACAAACTTTTTAAACTAGATACCCCAATAATGATTATGGCCAAGTATGGTTAAATTTGTCTCAGTAGTTTCAGAGAAGAAGATTTTTGTAAAAGATTACAAAAATTTACGAAAAATTGTTAAAAATTGACTATAAAGGGCAATAACTCCTAAAGGGGTCGACTGACAAGTTTGATCATGAGACTTATTTGTAGATCTTACTTTGCTGAACATTATTGCTGTTTACAGTTTATCTCTATCTATAATAATATTCAAGAAAATAACCAAAAACTGCAAAATTTCCTTAAAATTACCAATTCAGGGGCAGCAACCCAACAACGGGTTGTCAGATTTGTTGTCTGAAAATTCCTGGACAGATAGATCTTGACCTGATAATCAGTTTTACCCTATGTCAGATTTACTCTAAATGCTTTGGTTTCAGAGATATAAGCCAAAATCTACATTTTACCCTAATGTTCTATTTTTAGCCATGGCGGCCATCTTGGTTGGTTGGCTGGGTCACCGGACACATTTTTGTCGAGCCTTCGACTTTTGTCGAAAAAGCGAGACATAGCGATCCTACATTCCGTCGGCGTCGTCTACGGCGGCGTCCACAAATATTCACTCTGTGGTTAAAGTTTTTTAAATTTTAATAACTTTCTTAAACTATCCTGGATTTCTAGCAAACTTGGAAAGAAGCTTGTTTATGATCATAAGATAGTATCCAGAAGAAAATTTTGTGAAAAAAAATTTCCATTTGTTCCGTATTTTACTTATAAATGGACTTAGTTTTTCTGCCAGTTAACATTACATTCACTCTGTGGTTAAAGTTTTTAAAATTTTAACAACTTTCTTAAAACTATCCTGGATTTGTACCAAACTTGGACAGAAGCTTGTTATGATTAAAAGCTAGTACAAACATGTATCTAGAAGGAAATTTAGTTAATATTTTGTTCCATTTTTTCCGTATTTTACTTATAAATGGACTTAGTTTTTCTTCCAGTTAACATTACATACAGTCTGCAGTTTAAGTTTTTAAAACATTTATTAGATTCATAAACTATCCTGGATTTTTACCAAACTTGGACAGAAGCTACTTACAATCAAAAGATAGTATAGAGAGAAATATTTTTATTAATTTTTTTCCTCATTTTTGTTGAGCCTGTGATTAACAGCAAAAGTAGGCGAGACACTGGGTTCCGCGGAACCCTTACGAATTTTTTAAACTAGATACCCCAATGATGATTGTGGCCAAGTTTGGTCAAATTTGGCCAAGTAGTTTCAGAGGAGAAGATTTTTGTAAAAGTTAACGACGACGGACGCCAAGTGATGAGAAAAATATATGTGTGGTTCCAGTTACATCCTGGAAAAAATAGGGTCAGAAGGACGGCATTTTTTTAAAAATTTATTTTGGATTGAAAAAATCCAGAAAAATTGTATGTTCACCGTTTCTGATTCCAGTATTAAACACGCCCCTACCAGAAGTTCGCCATTTTCTATATGTTTGGTTGTAAACAAACACACATTACGGTTTTAGTTAATTTTGTTGCATTCTGTTAAGAATTTGTTGCATTTATAGCCGTAATCAGTCAGGGGACTTACTTAAATGAGTGATTTTCTAAATCACTGATTCAAGTAACATTATGTCCATAAAGGTTGGAAGTAAGAGTTGTCTTTCTGTAATAATCACCTATTTAAGTAGTACAAATTAACTACTAGACTAAGTGATTTAATTTTATTGTAGCTTTAAATATAGAATACAACTGATCCAGGGACTAATTATGTTGCTAAAATTATCAGAACCAACATCTGTGTTGATAGGATGACGGGGTCATGTCAGGTGATGACCTTGTACTAAATCTAGGATAATGACATAAAAATCACTTGTTTATGTATCATACCTCAATTTCCTTCCAAAAAATCACTTCTTTAAGTATCATTATTTTAATAACCCCCACTTAAATTTCAACACCCCCAAACAGTGAAATTTTGATCGCGAACAGTAGAATTTTATTACATAATCTATAAGATGAAACCTTGAATTTTACAGGAAAAATACTCCCACTGCTGGGAAAAATCTGTTAAGAAAGTATCAGTTCATTATGTAAAGCCATTTTTATAGCATTTTTTCAACTAAAATAGAATTTGCAGCTAATTGTTGCATCAACGGCATAAACCTTGCTGCTTAAAAGAAGCAAAAGTTCATTTTTTTCAATTTTACTAATGAAAAGATATTATCTAAATCTATGTGTTTAAAATTTTGGTAAAACTACAAAATCACAATTTGTGACAAAACTTCGAATTTGCTACTTAAATAAGTGATTTAAAAATCACTTATTTCAATAAGTCCCCTGACTGGTAGTGGATACTTCTAATGCAAATTTAGATGATAGAATTCTGTGAATTTAATTATTGAAATTCACATACCACAAAGTGGGATCGTTCAAAATTTATTGTTCAGAAATGAAAAAAAAGTTCTGGGGACGGGGTTTAAACTAGGGTTAGTCGGGTAACTGGAACCACACATATATTTTTATTTGGCCTAATGATTTATATCAGTCGAAAAATTTATCTTTTACCAATATGTTACATTTTGATGTTGCAAAAAATAACATTTTAAGTTTTTACATTTTATCTCCCCTGTAACTGAATAGTACATATGGCCTGAATGTGAATGTCTGGGACGTATGTAGTAATCTTATGCCAAGTTATGGCAGATAAACAGGGATTTGGTGAATCACAGGTTTGTGTGTTTGTGAACATGTATTCCTTTGGGAATGAAAATCGGTTTATTTAATTTGGCCATTTAACATATTAACCACCAGCCGCAGAAGAAGTAAATAAGGATACATTGTACTGCAAGGTTACAGGCACTTGTTTCATTAGAATGAAATAGGAAGGGGACCTAGACCATAGCATGTGTGGAAGAAAATTCTTAGGCAGCCTAAAGCCATTGAGCAAGGGAAGTACTTCTTAAGCTCAGTCTATTAAAGAGCTGACTTGTAAATTGTAATGGAGGAGACCATGTGATTTTCTGATTAGAATCATGCTCTCCCAAGGTTACATTTAACGACCAACTAAAAAACCAACGGTGGTTAGAGAGGATATCTAGCAGGGTATTTGTTGTGAGAGTCATAATGGTATGATGACTGTTAATGTGAAGGAAATGTTACGGGATTGCTTCCCTTGAGTAGTAGATATTATACACCTTATCGCTATTCCTGGCTGACCCGAGAATCTGTCCCGCTTGAACTATTGACGTCATACAACAATCACTTTTCCATTGTGGCGTCATTATTTTGTATTATGACGTCAAAATTTTACGGCAACCTGTGTGATGTCCAGTAATGGCGGACAAATAGCGATAAGGTATATTACTAAGCCTGTCGTAAGGTGGTAAGCAGTTGAGCTATGCCTATGGAAGTACTTCTTAGCTCAGTCAATTAAAGCCCTGACTTGTAATACAGAGGGTTCGTGTCTCGGAGGAGACCATGTGATTTTCTGATAAGAATCATGCTCTCCAGTTACACATGAAACAAGTGCCGTGTTTGTGCAAGGCTCTAAAAAGGTGATCAGTTATGTCTTGGATTTACCTGCCCATCCTATCGCATTCAAATCTTTATTAGATTTAATATATTTCTCTATGACATTTTCATCCTCGCTGTCGCTTATTTCCATCTTGATTGTGTTCAAATATCTCTTAGTGTTCAGAATTTTATATTTTGTTGAGCTTGCATTTTCCCGGGTTACACTAATGACTGGACCGAATGACAGGACCGAATGACAGGACCAAATGAAAAATGCTAATTACTTTTTTATTTTTCAAAGGATTAATTTCAAATTTGAAATATAATAAGATTTCATCATTTAATATATAAATTTTAAAAAAAAAATTATATTTTTTTTCAAAAGCTTGCGAAAACGTGACCTAACCTACGCTGACAATGACAGGACCAATATCGAGAATGACAGGACCAAATGAAAAATGCTAATAACTTTTTTATTTTTCATAGGATTAATTTCAAATTTAAAATATAATAAGATTTCATCATTTAATATATAAATTTAAAAAGAAAAAATTATATTTTTTTTCAAAAGCTTGCGAAAACGTGACCTGACCTACGATGACAATGACAGGACCAATATCGAGAATGACAGGACCAAATGAAAATGCTAATAACTTTTTTATTTCTCGAAGGATTTGTTTCAAATTTGAAATTTAATTAGATTTCAACATTTAATACATAAATATAAGAAAAAAATAGAAAAAAAAATATTAAAGCTTGCGAAAATGTGACTTGACCAACGTTGACATTGACCTGACCAATATCGACATGACCTGACCGATGAAAAGTCCTAATGTTCTGTTATTTAAATAACAAAATTAGAAAATTGTTAAATTTTGATCATTAATAACTAAGAAATTACTAAATAATCAGAAAAACCATTTTTTTTTTGGGGTAATAAACTTGACTTGACCAACTTACGTTGACTGTGTCATAATTAACCGTTATCATGACAAGGAAAGATGCCTAATTACATATCTATATGTAAAAGTATTTACTTCAAATTTTTCGAAATATTAAGATTTTAACCATTCATTTTATCAAATTTAAAAACTATAAAAAAAATCCTCCTGATCAATGTTCTTATTATTTTCATGTCCAGACTAATCTAAATTCAATTCTAAAGTCCAGAATAGTTTAATTCCTATATCAAATTTGTGTATAATCTAAATACTGATTCTGTAAAATAATATTTAAACTGTTTTGCTAGCATTCTGCATGACATTTATAGTCATCCCAGGGTACAGGACGAGGACCTAGCTAGCAGTGTACCCCACCCTGAAATAAAGAAAAAATAAGTAGGATTACACATGCAAATAGATAATTAAAAATGTACTTGTAAAAAGAAGATATAAAAACTGAAAACTTTAAATTATAGATCACAATAAAAAAAACTACGTCTATGTTTGAAAGCATTTAAATCAAAATTATGTGATAGAAATTATCTTACCTAAAAAATAACTGAAAGGTAATGCATGTAAACTATTATCAAACATATTTACAAACGAACATTTATAGACTTTCGGGAAAATTTAAAACTAAGAAAGATGAAAGATATCCTGCACAAGGCTCGGGCATACCTCAAGTAGTTCGCGAAAATGTTTATTTATTTTTTATGTAAATATTTTAAACTACCAAGACATCCTGCACAAGGCTCGGGCATACCTCAAGTAGTCCGCGAAAATGTTTATTTATTTTTATGAAAATATTAAAACTACCAAGACATCCTGCACAAGGCTCGGGCATACCTCAAGTAGTCCGCGAAAATGTTTATTTATTTTTATGAAAATATTAAAACTACCAAGACATCCTGCACAAGGCTCGGGCATACCTCAAGTAGTCCGCGAAAATGTTTATTTATGTTTATTAAAATATTTAAAACTACCAAGATATCCTGCACAAGGCTCGGGCATACCTCAAGTAGTCAACGGAAATAACTATTTACTGATATGAATTTAAAATATTAAAAAAACCTATATATGATGCTAATTACTGTAATCACAAACTATTTTGGATTTATCAACTTATTTATGGCTTATTTCACACCTATTGTTTGTTACTTTATAATTGTAAATCAAACGTGTCAAATCATGACCGGTAATGTACAACAAAATTTACAACACAGTTAGATACAATATACTACTATAAATACAATAAAAAGTTCAAGTAACACGGTGCTCGTCACAGTACCAATCTTCTAAAACTCCTGAACATGTCTGATGAACCCACTTAGCACAATTGATTCTTCCACGTTTTGCCTCACATCCTATCATGTTCTCAAAAACATCTGGTTTGCCACATTGACAGTTACTTTCAATCCTTCTTGCAATGTCATTGTGATAAAGCTGCTCTGTTACGGTGTAAAGTGTCACACCACCACCTACTAAAATTCGTGAAGGAGAATTAGAAATAAAAGCATGTGAACTATTAGAAGTGGTAGCAGGTGAACTGTTAGGAGCGGAAGGTGAGCGGTTAGAAGTGGAAATAGGTGAGCTGTTAGCAGTGGAAACAGATGAGCAGTTAGCAGTGGAAACAGATGAGCGGTGAGAGATGGAATCATGCGATCGGTTAAAGATGGGAGCAGGTGAAGGATTAGAAGTGTTAATAAGTGAAGACACAAGACAACATACCTCTGGAAGAGCAGGCCACTCTTCAATTACCTGAGTGTCAGCCGACACCTTTGGAGTTGGTGCTGGTGGAAGTGCTGGTACTGGTGTAGTGAGTAGCGCTCTCTTGTACGGTGCTAGGTCAAAATACTTGCCCTTGGCCTGGGAATGGCCAGCAATCATCACTGGAAATGAAGACATGATTAGAATTGAACAATATGAAAAACAAACAAAATATATCCTAACACTTTTCTTTATCTGAAATTATTAACACTAAATATACTATTTTATATTAGTCTTTTCTAAATTAATTACAATAATAATAAATACTTTAAAGTAATACAAAAATATTTGATATAAAACTATATAGCAATTCGAAATGATAAAAAGCACTGTGGTTGTATAGCACTATGAAAACTTATGAAAGGGAAAAAAAAGGCCACACATTTATAACTATATGAGTTCTTTTAATTAAGTTCACTCAAATTTTAAAAGCTGACCAAGTTTCCTTTATTCTTTTATTGAGAAAATGATCACCAATTATCCTTCTAATCAGTAGTTGATTGCACTGAATGTTTATTGATATTAATTGGATTAACAAGCCAGTAATCAAATCAGATCTAATCTCATTAAGCTGATAATTAGATTAGTTTCGACAACGTGTGCATTGGTCAGGTCACGTTTTTAACCTCTAAACTATTTTTTCCACAGTGTTTTTTTTTTTATTTGATAATTAACTGTACTGATTTATGATTTTGAAGCAAATCCTTAACAAAACAATAAATATTAATTAGTTTCACGTACAACGATCAGGACACCGTTGGTAGTCAACGTTGGTCAGGTCAAGTTTTTTTTATCCAAAATTATTTTATTATTCTCGTATATTTATGTTTAACATGGTGACATCTTATTATATTTTGAATTTGAGATAAATTCTTTGAGAAATAAAAAGGTTATAAGAATTTTCATTTGGTCCTGTCATCGCCGATGTTGGTCAGGTCATTGTCAACATTGGTCAGGTCACATTTTCGCAAGCTTAAATATTTTTTTTCTCAATTTTTTCTTATATTTATGTAAAACATGCTGAAATCTTATTATATTTCAAATTTGAGATAAATCCTTTGAGAAATAAAAAAGTAATTAGCATTTTTTTTCGGTCCTGTCATTGTCGAGGTTGGTCCTGTCATTATCAGCGTAGGTCAGGTCACGTTTTCGCAAACTTTTGAAAAAAAAATATATTTTCTTTTTAAATTTATGTATTAAATGTTGAAATCTAATTAAATTTCAAATTTGAAACAAATCCTTCGAGAAATAAAAAAGTTATTAGCATTTTTATTTGGTCCTGTCATTCTCGATATTGGTCCTGTCATTGTCAGCGTAGGTCAGGTCACGTTTTCGCAAGCTTCTGAAAAAAAATATAATTTTTTTTTTTAAATTTATATATTAAATGATGAAATCTTATTATATTTCAAATTTGAAATTAATCCTTTGAAAAATAAAAAAGTAATTAGCATTTTTCATTTGGTCCTGTCATTCGGTCCTGTCATTCGGTCCAGTCATTAGTGTAACCCCATTTTCCCGGGTACTAATATAAACAAAAAAGTAAAATCACAAAAATACTGAACTCCGAGGAAAATTCAATCGGAAAGTCCCTAATCACATGGCAAAAGGGAGGAAACTCTTCATAAATAATATTCGGTTACGCCCCTTCATGATTTCCGGTTGGATGACATCAAAAATGTTTATTTACAAAATTTTAGATATTATTTGAAGAAAACCTTCAATATGTCTGCATTAAGTTTAGACATAAAGAAAAAGTTTAAATCTCTGATTGGAAAACAGGTACACTGTGTGTCATTGTCTTTTTACGCACATAAATAGGCCTTCTTTTACTTTAGTTTAGAGGTCCCTCAACTGAAGGGTTGGGGTTCATTTATGACATCATGGGTTTTGGTTAGGGTTATCATATGGTTAGTAAATTATAGCTCTATATAAGTTGGAACCCCATACTTAAAAGATAAAAAGAATAGTTGCTTTTTAGAAAACTTTATGGTGTAGATTAGATTAACAAGACATTAGGCACCTGCCATCCATGTTTTGTTGCGACATGGTTTTTGGAAAATGACGCAGTCAATTTTCCTATACTGCTGACCAGAAGTCATTTACCGCTTCCAAGCCGCTTTCCGTACTCGGTTCCGTATTTTACATACTTATGTACTATACAGAATTACATTCTTAACCTGTCCATATGTTTATTGTTATTAAATGGTATTTTGAGCTATCCATTTGGTATATTTTTCATATCTATACGAGCTTTCGCTTTTATGTGCATGTCTTTATAATCCGTAAAAAAATCAGAATATAAATAGATCCGTTTTCTTATGGTTTTGGACTTTTTGCATACCAATGATAACCAATCGCTAGACAAAATAGTTCTTGAAAGAATGTCAACCTTTCTTGTCAGTTGAACTTTAAAATCATTAAAAAAAATAATAATCGGAATCATCTTGATAACCATACAAAAGATAATGCTCTTTATCAAGATTTACGAAGTTTTTAAGAATCGAAAATTAGTAATACGGTTATACCCACGCGGTGCGTATGTATTTTGTTTACAAAGTTATAGCTGCAGACAGTTGAACGGCAAACGCCTGAATCTGACAGATAGAGGTCAATCTGTCGACACAAAAACTACCCGTATGTAAAATGTTCACGCCCATAAACAGCGCCACCTATATATCTAACCCTCGTCTTTGAGAACGATTTTCTGTTCTGTTTGAAATTAAAACATTAAATTAACTTAAACGTAGAATAGTAAGTGTAGAAAACAAATTAAAAGATATATTTATACATGACTGATTATGCATGATATGCTGGCAATGTGCGCAATGTCCTTTAATCCAAGATTGAAAATAAGTTTGTTTCCTACGTCAAAATGGCGGATTTCAATGTTTACATTTTTTCCATCAAAACAAAAGCTGACACAATTGCGTGTCCGGCCATGAATATGCAAATTATTTATTGTTTCGGGTAGCTTATCCAATTGCATTTACTGTTATATAAGTGGCTACACGTTACCATCCATCGTTACAAAAGTAGGATGTGTCTGGTGTGTATATCTCTGGAATATTGTGTATTCAATTTTTTACGGTAAAAATCTATGTTATCTTCATTATATTTCCATGCAAACACAAGTCATAACAACAAATAATTGTTTATAAAACTTATAATGTAAACAGACATGTTTAATCGTCTTTCTTAGCAAAAATTCGTGTAAATAAATCTGATGGGTTGTTTTATAATTCAAGCACAGCAGACAAAGTAAGTCCTCAACATCTTTCTTTTCTGAGTATAGATCAGCAGCTCCTCTAAGGATTAGTAATGGAGCACTTTATATTTAGTCCAATGATTTAGTCCTGTCTTTTTTGTCTCTCTTATTTTCTTATTTATATGATTATTATTATATTTCTTATATTTTCTTGTAAGCCATCAAGCCACAACTCCTCTTTTTCCTATGGTGCCTGAAAACAATGAACCATTTTGTTGATTATTGAGGTCTGTAAAGTGACTTATAACTGCCAACAGCCACATTATTTAGACTCTGGTGGAAAATTATCAGACTGTTTTCTCATTGGCAACCATACCTCATCTCCTTATTTTAGTACGGGTAAATTGTTTGAAATAAATGACTAACAAACATTAAATCATTTGAAAAAAAAAATTCTGCAATAATTTATGTTGTCATTTTAAGATTTCAGTTTATATATATATATATATATATATATATATATCAACAATAAAATTTGGTTGTATAAATGTTGTCCCTATGTTTGTAATTGTCAAACTAGTATAACAATACTATTGTCTAAATCTACAGAAATGGATCATGCTTCAGGTAACAGAAATAACAAGGTCGCTAGGTCACTTGTAACTTATCTCTTAAATAAGGACTATGTGGGGTATAAGAGCTTGCTTACTACAGGCTCTTCATAATCATTTTGTTAATTAATTCTACAAAGAAGGGGATAGTCTGTTAATGTATCCTTGACTAAGAATAATGAAATTGCAAGAAACAAATTCACATATTACTTTGAATATTATAGATCGTTCAGGTAGTCTTGAGCTAGTTCTTTGTACAAAAGAACAAACAGTAGTCATCTTCACTTCACACATATATTATCTTGACAAACAAATAAAAAAGCCATAGACATTGAAAACAATTCATATCTATTCTATTGTCAGTCAGCCTACATACCATGAGCTGAAACGTCTCATAAGATTCAGTAGGTAAATTATGTGAAAATTAAGACTTGCATCAAAAATATCCTAATATTAGAGACAATGGCGTCATTTTTCCTAAGAGCTTTCAGCTCTTTGATTTTTCTCGGGACAAACAATTTTTTCTAGCGAAAAAACAAACTAATTTGTAATACATTCGCCCAGGACTAACAGATAAAGGGACATGCAACATAAAGCTTAACAGGTCATTGTCATCCTGGGTACCATAAAAAAAGTATCTTGAGAACTTTAAATATTGATTCAATGATTGGTTAAACAGGTTGGGGAGGATCCTCATAAATGGGTACTATCCTTATTTATGGGTATTATACCCCAAACCGGGTATCAATTTTCAGTGATAAAAATGTAAACTTTGGAATTAAAGATATTTTCTGTCATCATGGTCATGGCACAAACATTCAGGTAAAGATATAAGAAGATGTGGTATGAGTGCCAATAAGACAACTCTCCATCCAAGTCACAATTTGTAAAAGTAAACCATTATACATGTAGATTTATTTGTTTCAGGATTCATTTACATCACCGGTTGATGAACAAATTGATCGTGATTCTTTCCCTGGAGATTTGCCAGCAGTTGCTAAATACAAGGTAAATTGTTTAAGTACATGTATTTAAGGATGGTTATTCATACCCAAAGCAGTATAATATGACTTATGAAAAGTAAAACTTTATCTTAACTTGTCCAATAATCAGTAACTTTATAAAACTGTATGTGTAAACCAATTTTACTTGTTGGAGTTGGTGAACAGTAGATTACATGTATATAGTCAGTCAGGGGTACTACTTGTACAAGTTATTTTTATTTACTTGACGAAGTAAATATTGATATACTTATATAAGTAAAATTGCAAGATACTGATACAAGAGTATTTTATTTACTTGTATAGGTAAATTATTTTAATGGCTTAGTTATGTCCCTTAGACATTCAGATTTTTATACGACCGCAAAAATTGAAAATTTTTTGGTCGTATATTGGTATGACGTTGGCGTCGTCGTCGTCGTCGTCGTCGTCGTCGTCGTCTGGCGTCGTCCGAAGACACATTGGTTTTCGCACTCTAACTTTAGTTTAAGTGAATGGATCTCCATGAAATTTTACCATAAGGTTCAATACCATGAAAGGAAGGTTGGGATCGATTTTGGGGGTTTTGGTACCAACAGTTAAGGAATTAGGGGCCAAAAAGGGGCCAACAATAAGCATTTTTGTAACTTCCAGACAATAACTTGTGTGTAAGTGTATGGATCTCTCTGACATTGTACCACAAGGTTCCATTTCTCAAAGGGAAGGCTGTAATTGATTTTGGGGGTAATTGCCTCAAAATGTTAGGAATTAGGGGCCAAAAAAGGGGCAAATAACAAGCATTTTTCTAGTTTCATGACAATAACTTGTGTGTAAGTGTTTGGATATTTCTGAAATTGTACTACAAGGTTCCATATCACAAAGGGAAAGCTGGAATTGAGTTTGGGGGTAATTGCCCGAAACGTTTAGGAATTGGGGGCCAAAAAGGGGCCAAAAATAAGCATTTTTCTAGTTTCCAGACAATAACTTGTGTTCAAGTGTATGGATCTCTCTGAAATTGTACTGCAAGGTACCATACCACAAAGGGAAGGCTGAGATTGAGTTTGGGGGTGATGAATCATAAGGGGGTTCAAAAAATTTTGGGGGGGGATTTTTTTTTTTCTTTTTTTCCTTTTTTTTTCTTTTAAAATTTTCAATTTTAAGTTGGTTATTTCTGATTTATATTTAAAAGCAAATAATAATGATATGGTAGGAGATACACACCAAACAGGATGTGTAAATTATTATATAATAAGTATTGTGCAATAGCAAGAAATTTTCAATTGCACAGTATTGCACAATAGCAAGAAATCTTCAATTGCACAGTATTGCGCAATAGCAAGAAATCTTCAATTGCACAGTATTGCGCAATAGCAAGAAATATCCAATAGCACAATATTGCGCAATAGCAAGAAATTGTCAATTGTACAGTATTGCGCAATAGCAAGAAATAATCAATTGCACAGTATTGTGCAAAAGAAGATTTCTTGCTATTGTGCAATACTGTGCAATTGAAAATTTCTTGCTATTGATAGATACTATGTATAAATTGCTTATTTCTTGATCAATTTCAATGGGGTTTTATTCTTGAATTCTTGGGGTCCTTTAATATGCTGAATCTAACCGTGTATTAAGTTTTTGGATTTTGGGCCCCGTTTTTAAATTGGTCCACATTGAGGTCCAAAGGGTCCAAAATTGAACTTTGTTTGATTTCATCAAAAAATGAATTATTGGGGTTCTTTGATATGCCGAATCTAAACGTATATTTAGATTCTTAATTTTGGTTCTGTTTTCAAATTGGTCTACATAAAGGTCCAAAGGGTCCAAAATTAAACTTAGTTTGATTTCAACAAAAATTGAATATATGGGGTTCTTTGATATGCTGAATCTAACCATGTATTTAGATTTTTGATTTTGGGCCCAGTTTTCAAGTTGGTCCAAATCGGGGTCCAAAATTAAACTTTGTTTGATTTCAACAAAAATTGAATATATGGGGTTCTTTGATATGCTGAATCTAACCATGTATTTAGATTTTTGATTATGGGCCCAGTTTTCAAGTTGGTCCAAATCGGGGTCCAAAATTAAACTTTGTTTGATTTCAACAAAAATTGAATATATGGGGTTCTTTGATATGCTGAATCTAACCATGTATTTAGATTTTTGATTGTTGGGCCCCGTTATCAACTTTGTCCACATTGAGATCAAAAGGGTCCAAAATTAAACTTTGTTTGATTTCATCAAAAATTGAATATATGGGGTTCTTTGATATCCTGAATCTAACCATGTATTTAGATTTTTGATTATGGGCCCAGTTTTCAAGTTGGTCCAAATCGGGGTCCAAAATTAAACTTTGTTTGATTTCAACAAAAATTGAATATATGGGGTTCTTTGATATGCTGAATCTAACCATGTATTTAGATTTTTGATTTTGGGCCCAGTTTTCAAGTTGGTCCAAATCGGGGTCCAAAATTAAACTTTGTTTGATTTCAACAAAAATTGAATATATGGGGTTCTGTAATATGCTGAATCTAACCGTGTATTAAGTTTTTGGATTTTGGGCCCCGTTTTTAAATTGGTCCACATTGAAGTCCAAAGGGTCCAAAATTTAACTTTGTTTGATTTCATCAAAAATTGAATTATTGGGGTTCTTTGATATGCCGAATCTAACCGTGTATTTAGATTCTTAATTTTTGGTTCCGTTTTCAAATTGGTCTACATAAAGGTCCAAAGGGTCCAAAATTAAACTTAGTTTGATTTTAACAAAAATTGAATTTTTAGGGTTCTTTGATATGCTGAATCTAAACATGTATTTAGATTTTTGATTATGGGCCCAGTTTTCAAGTTGGTCCAAATCGGGGTCCAAAATTAAACTTTGTTTGATTTCAACAAAAATTGAATATATGGGGTTCTTTGATATGCTGAATCTAACCATGTATTTAGATTTTTGATTTTTGGGCCCTGTTATCATTTTTGTCCACATTGAGATCAAAAGGGTCCAAAATTAAACTTTGTTTGATTTCATCAAAAATTGAATTCTTGGGGTTCTTTGATATGCTGAATCTAACCATGTATTTAGATTTTGGATATTGGACCATAATAGGTGAATGTCCAATTTAAAATTTTTAAGTTCTTAGACCACATTCATTCTGTGTCAGAAACCTATGCTGTGTCAAATATTTAATCACAATCCAAATTCAGAGCTGTATCAAGCTTGAATGTTGTGTCCATACTTGCCCCAACTGTTCAGGGTTCGACCTCTGCGGTCGTATCAAGCTGCGCCCTGCGGAGCATTTTATTTTACTTATACAAGTAAAAAAGTCATACTATCTTCTTTTCTTGAATTTCTCGGGACTTCTTTGCTCTAATAGAATAGAAAAATTGTCTGTCCTTTGCAGATGTCTTTACTAATCATTGAAGTGTAATTTCATGGACAATGAAAATCTCATGTGTCTGTTATCTTCAAAACACTGCTCATTTACAAGCCTCCAAGGGGCAATTTTTGAAGGCCTTGCACAATTACTTAAGATCTTTGAGCAATTAGTTTCTCTGTTGAATTAATGAGATGAAACATTGAACTCTAATAAAAAATTATGAGCTAACCAGAGAAAAATTGTTTAAGGCATGTTTTACATCCCAAAACTTGAGAATTTTAGGGATTGTAAAAAAAAATTACTTATGCAAGTAAATTTTTTGCGAAAATTAAGGGGAGATTATTCCAACTTTATAAGAAAATATGAATATAACAAATTTACTTATATCAGTATATTATTATTTACTTCTTCAAGTAAATAAAAAAAACTTGTAGAAGTAGTACCCCTGACTGATAGTATGCCCCTGGTAACTATCTCTTATATTTATAATTTGATTTTCCATTGTTTGGTGGAATAAGTTTATGGCAGGACTACTTGATAGTAATTAATGGCAAAAATGTTCACATTTATTGGAACAATTCCATAGTATTTGAAATATTCAATTCCCTTCCTATCAATTCAGTAACATGAGTAATGCACTCAGGGACTGATGAATAATTTTTGTTTGTTAAAAATGTTAGGAGTACAAAATGAACAATCATGATAATAACAGACTGAATGTCTACCATAATTAAATAATTGGAAATTTAACTGCTGTGTGATTATGATTTTCAATGTATTAACCCAATCTGAAATTTTGAATCAATAAGGATTGTACATGTTGTATTTGACTAGAGCATATATGAAAAGGGTGTGTGGCACATCATAAATTGATATTTGACAGAAAAATGTTTGAGTTATGTAAACATAAGATTTATGCAGTTATAACCCTTTTAAGGCTGTTATTAATAGATAGAAGTTGGGGATAATTTAACTTTAAATTACATGACTTTTATGCATTTATTGTCAGTTTTTTTTTTATTACAGCATACTGTACTTGCTAATCCTCATGAAGAGCAGGAAGTCTTAGAAGGCATAGAAAATATATACTACAGTCATACAGATACTAGTTTGTATGAACTAGAGGTGAGATAAAAACAGAAAACTAGTACAATTAAAAATAGATCTGCGGTATATACCAATGCAACAACAACCTAACAACATAATAATAAAACAACATGAAAAGGGCGAACAAACAGACTTCAACAATAGACAAGTGTCTATACAATATGTCTAGCTTGTAATTGCTCTGATTGCTTCTTGCTTCAGACCTAAAAATTAGTGTTAGTAGCTAGGAGACATTTTTATTTTTGATTCATTTAATCCATTTTCTGCAGGCCACATATTCTGACTATAGAAGTGTTTGTTCAAAGTCATTATACAATTATATTTTTTTTTAAATTGAATAAACTATACCATAGCCTTTAAGGTTAGAGAGACCAGTATATATGTATGATAGAAATATGTCAAATACCACAAGTCAAGTCAAATTCAAAAAGAAATGTGTTTTTTTTTGTATTTAGAAACTTCCAGAAGTATTAGATTTACAGGATATAGATGCAGATAGAAACAGACTTAGAAAACAGCTGAATGTGGTATGTAAACAAATGAGAATATATATTGTCTCCCCTTGTATATTGTCTCCCCTTGTTCGTTACTAGATCAGAAAAATAGTTTGCAGTAAAGATATAAAGTAAACACTCCTGTAGCAATGCTAGAATTTGGTCAAGATATTACATTTGAATAAAACTAGAGTGTTTGCTAGATCTGAAAAAAAGAACCATACAGAGGATATGTATTATACTTCATGTCAAAATGCCAGATTTTGATTGGTTAATACGAGGGAGACAATTTACTCTATCCCATGGCAAATACTCTATCACCCTTCACGGAGACGCTTGATCAAGTGTGCGCTTAATCAAATACGGATGATTGTTATGTTTAAGACGTCATAGTTTATTACTTTGAATTTGAAATTTAATAGACAGTAACAACAGAACATTCAGTACAATAAATTAAATAACACATATCTGAGAGGGTGATAGAGCAGATTGTTACCCCTCGAAAAAGCATTGTCAACCTTGGCTTCACCTCAGTTGACAATGTTTTCTCGGGGTAACAAATCTGCTCTATCACCCTCTCAGCTATGTGTTATTTATATAGTGGTATTGTAAACCTTAGGGGAGTTGATAGCCAGAATATTTTAAACCAGATACCATTTGTTTTGGAGATGGGGGAGTATATGTGTAAAATTATTCAACATCAATAAAATGGGGTATGTAAAGTATTTGAGATTTCTATTAAATTTTTTCATATTTCTAATGTTTCCATGACAAGTTAAAACATTAAATAATTAAAATAGATAACAACTCACTAAGAGTTTAGTAATGCTTATAATTACTTAAACATAAGGATTTCCTCTTAAATAATTTAAGAGTGCATCATTTTGGTTTTTTAGGTGTCAAAGAAAGTTTCTGACCTTGTCCTTCAAAACCATCCTGCTTATGCTAGGGAATTACAAAGGGTTATGGAGCTTGAAAAGACTCTTCAGCTAGCTAGTGTTATTTGTGCCAATGGCAGAAGGTAAAATATATATAATTTGACTGATTGTCTCCCCTTGTTAGTTACTAAATCAGGAAAATAGTTAATTTTGTAATGACAGTAAAAACTCCTGTAGCAATGCTAGAATATGGTCAAGATATTACATTTGAATTCAACTAAAGTATTTGCTAGATGTAAAAAAAAAACATATCGAGGATATTCAAGATGTGACAGTTGGGAAAATGGGAAGTCATTATTACTCATGTGATACTAATTTACTTGGTTTTCAACAAAATACAAGTTTCCTATGGGTTTGTATACAGATGTATGAAAACTTTAATTCTTCTTCAATGCTTGTAGATTAGAACCCAAAAAAATAATAGAATCCACGGTATAACTATGTAAGAGACCAGATTTAAAGTTCTTGATTCTGATTGTATTTAATTTATTAAAGGAAAAGAGATTAAACCAGAAATGATTCATAATTGAAAGATTTTTTGAAAATTTATTTAGGAGAATTTCAGAGAAATATTTTTGTATATTTAACATCTTTGTTTATTTATAGAAATCTATCAGATGCCAGACAAATATTTACTTCTGCCAGTCTGAAGATGCTGGCCAATGTTAGAAAAAGGCAACAACTAACAGGTCTTCTGAAGTCACTTAGGACAATTAAAACTCTGGTAATTCTATTAAAAGATAAACATAAATTTGTATGCAAACACACACATATACATCATGTACATACATGCTTACACTAGCCAATAAAAGAAAAAGTCAATAATTTACAAGTTACTTTAAATACAGGTATTTGGTTAAAATTCACATTTAAAATTATGATTGCATTGCTTTTATGAAGCATTTCTTGACATTGCATTACAAGGCTCACAAAAATTACCATTGCTTTACACTGTTTTAGTTATCTCCCTTACCATTTAAATTCTGTACTCTGAGTACATGTCTGGTCACAGTTTAGGAAAAACTTCTTTATAAATTCCTAGAGGGCAGCATGTTGTTTACGACAGTGAAGATAAAATGGTTTATTATGTCCCCGCCGTAGCGGAGGGGGCATGAAGTTTTACCCTTGTCCGTCTGTACGTCCGTATGTTCGTCCGTACGTCCCAAAATTGGATTCTGTTCTCTAACTTTAGTTTGCCTCAACCAAATGTTATGAAACTTATCCACAATGCTTATTACCACAAAACACAGATCAAGTTTAAATTTTGGTGGCATCACTTATACCGTTCTAGAGTTATGCCCCTTTACAAATGAAAAAATTGCTGATTTTTTTGTTTCCGTTCTCTTACTTGAGTTTGCCTCAACCAAATGTTATGAAACTTATCCACAATGTTTATTACCATAAAACACAGATCAAGTTTGAATTTTGGTGGTGTCACTTTCACCGTTCTAAAGTTATGCCCCTTTACAAATGGAAAAATTGCTGAAATATTAGTTTTTGTTCTCTAACTTTAGTTTGCCTCAACCAAATGATATGAAACTTATGCAAATTGCTAATTACCGCAATATACAGATAAAGATTGAAGTGTCACTTTTACAATTCTAGAGTTATGCCCCTTTACAAATCTCAAAATTGCTGAAATATTTGTTTCTGTTCTCTAATTTAAGTTTACGTCAACTAAATGTTATGAAACATATAAACAATGCTTATTACCACAAAACACAGATCAAGTTCAAATTTGGGTAGTGTCACTTTTACAGTTCTTGAGTTATGGCCCTTTATATCATTATATGCAAGCAGGGGTATCATCTGTGTCCCATGGACACATTCCCCATTCATTGTAACCTTAATCAAATTGTGTTTATACAATAGTTTTAGAATAAAGTCAGATATCTCCCCTGATCTTTAAACAGTTAGTGCATTATGTTTAAATCATTTGTTTGTTTTGCAAGGTGACATTTGACCATGGTCCTTGGTTAAACGTATATCCAATTTTATGAATCAAGATATATTTTACGAAACCAGATCTGTTTGAAATGACAAAATGTTTGAAGTTTTTAAAATTTCTTTTCTTAAAAAATCTTATTACAAAAATTTATCGTAAGTAATAACTAAATGTTCATGATGACTAACGAGTATTTTTTGTCTAAGAATTTTTGTGAAATGAGTCAGATACTTTACGCATATATATATATATATATATATATATATATATATATAAACAGCTTTGTATAGGCACACATACTTTCGGATTAGTTTATAATCTTATCGCTGTAAAAAGAAGCATACTACAAGTTTCAGTATTAAGCACACTTGCCATAGCACTGGTATGACCATTTATTTTTAAAAAGTGGCAAAGAAAACAAAAGAATAATTGATATGTGGAAATCCTTTTTATACGACCGCAAAAATTAAAAATTTTTTGGTCGTATATTGGTATGACGATGGCGTCCTCGTTGTCGTTGTCGTCGTCGTCCGAAGACACATTGGTTTTCGCACTCTAACTTTAGTTTAAGTGAATGGATCTCCATGAAATTTTACCATAAGGTTCAATACCACGAAAGGAAGGTTGGGATTGATTTTAGGGGTTATGGTACCAACAGTTAAGGAATTAGGGGCCAAAAATAAGCATTTTTGTAACTTCCAGACAATAACTTGTGTGTAAATGTATGGATCTCTCTGACATTGTACCACAAGGTTCCATATCACAAAGGGAAGGCTGTAATTGATTTTGGGGGTAATTGCCTCAAAATTTTAGGAATTAGGGGCCAAAAAAGGGGCAAAAAACAAGCATTTTTCTAGTTTCATGACAATAACTTGTGTGTTAGTGTTTGGAGATTTCTGAAATTGTACTACAAGGTTCAATATCACAAAGGGAAAGCTGGAATTGAGTTTGGGGGTAATTGCCCTAAACATTTAGGAATTGGGGGCCAAAAAGGGGCCAAAAATAAGCATTTTTCTAGTTTCCAGACAATAACTTGTGTTCAAGTGTATGGATCTCTCTGAAATTGTACTGCAAGGTACCATACCACAAAGGGAAGGCTGGGATTGAGTTTGGGGGTGATGAATCATAAAAGGGTTCAAAAAATTTGGGGGGGGATTTTTTTTTTTTTCTTTTTTTCCTTTTTTTTTCTTTTAAAATTTTCCATTTTAAGTTGGATATTTCTGATTTATATTTAAAAGCAAATAATAATGATATGGTAGGAGATACACACCAAACAGGATGTGTAAATTATTATATAATAAGTATTGTGCAATAGCAAGAAATTTTCAATTGCACAGTATTGCACAATAGCAAGAAATCTTCAATTGCACAGTATTGCGCAATAGCAAGAAATCTTCAATTGCACAGTATTGCGCAATAGCAAGAAATATCCAATAGCACAATATTGTGCAATAGCAAGAAATTGTCAATTGTACAGTATTGCGCAATAGCAAGAAATATTCAATTGCACAGTATTGTGCAAAAGAAGATACTTCGTATAAATTGCTTATTTCTTGATCAATTTCAATGGGGTTTTATTCTTGAATTCTTGGGGTTTTATTCTTGAATTCTTGGGGTTCTTTAATATGCTGAATCTAACCGTGTATTAAGTTTTTGGATTTTGGGCCCGGTTTTTAAATTGGTCCACATTAAGGTCCAACGGGTCCAAAATTTAACTTGTTTGATTTCATCAAAAATTGAATTATTGGGGTTCTTTGATATGCTGAATCTAAACATGTATTTAGATTTTTGATTATGGGCCCAGTTTTCAAGTTGGTCCAAATCGGGGTCTAAAATTAAACTTTGTTTGATTTCAACAAAAATTGAATATATGGGGTTCTTTGATATGCTGAGTCTAACCATGTATTTAGATTTTTGATTTTTGGGCCCCATTATCAACTTTGTCCACATTGAGGTCAAAAGGGTCTAAAATAAAACTTTGTTTGATTTCATCAAAAATTGAATTCTTGGGGTTCTTTGATATGCTGAATCTAACCATGTATTTACATTTTGGATATTGGACCATAATAGGTGAATGTCCAATTTAAAATTTTTAAGTTCTTAGACCACATTTATTCTGTGTCAGAAACCTATGCTGTGTCAAATATTTAATCACAATCCAAATTCAGAGCTGTATCAAGCTTGAATGTTGTGTCCATACTTGCCCCAACTGTTCAGGGTTCGACCTCTGCGGTCGTATCAAGCTGCGCCCTGAGGAGTATTTTATTTGATGTAGTTATTTATTTCTAATTCATCTATTTTTTTTTAGCAAAGAACAGATCTGAGATTGAGAGAACTGTTAGAGGTAAGTAATTAAATTCAAAAAACTTATTCAAACTGAATATCCCCTGGAAAATTAATTTTAAATTAATTGTAAAGATGAATGATTAGATATGAATAACAGAAGATGTTGGGTATATGTTAATGTAACGGCAAATTAAAGCAAAAAGAAAGAACAAGAAACACACAGGTTGTATTTAAAGGAAGGACTCATTACTATGGAATAATTCAAAATATCATTTACAAACCTAATTGTAAATTACTCTATTACAAGTTTGTAAAATATACCAGCTAATTGAATGTGTCAGTCGGCCTTTAATGAAAATAAACGTACTACACTGGTTGATAAGGAATAAAGTAATTTCCTGGTCAACTGACAGTTGAATAATAACCAATCTTTCACATCTGAAATGAATCCTGTATTTTAGATCTCAGGTGACATACACAAGCAGGTGTTGTCAAGAAGTTAACAAAGTTGTATCGAATCATAATGAGAACACCTAAAAAAATTCAGTTCCTTGCATTTTCTACTGTATTTGTATTTAAAAACCCAATTGTGGAAAAAAGAATAGTTAATACAAGAATTCAAATATCGTGACCAAACAAAACTCATATATGCATTCTTGAAGTAATTTGTTGTTCCATAACTTGATGAATATTTTTCAACATTAGAATTGTTAGATTATTTATTTTATAATTACATGGATGCAATACATGTATTGTGTGAACATTTGTATTGGAATGAATAAATTCCTTTATTTCTGAAGATTAATATATTTTGGATTCATTTATTTTCGTCAGTACCAATTTTCCATATAAAAAATTTATACTTTGTTGAACATTTTAATTCATGGATCATTTTGATATATCCACGAAAACTGGTATCCCACGAGTAATAATGAATCCACAATATGAAACGTTCTCAGGTAAACAATTAATTGAGTAAAATGTTTCTATAATCTGAAATTCCATTTAAATTAAACTGTTAATATATTATAGGAAGAAGATTACTGTGGTGCCATACAATTGTGTTTGGAATGTCAACAAGCTGCTAGCACTTACAGACATTTTAAATGTATCAGGTGAGAGATTTCACTCGGTTAAGTCTGTGGTACCACATTCACACATTAAGGGCTGTTAACTCTTGCAGTTCCACTTGAATTGCTACCATTTAAGTTCTGTCAAGCTAATCATCTTCCAGTATGCTCTTTTTTTCTTTTAAGACAAATTCTATCTCATGGGCAGTTCAAAAGTAAATATAGGCAATTCTATTCACTGCCTACTGTTACTTCAGTGTGAACATTGATGAGATATTGCAGTTTTTGAAATGAACATTTATCAGCTGATTGATTCATTGATTACTTTGAAAACAAAAGGATATCAACACCCTAAAAAGAAAAGTCTGAAATAGAAAGTTTTTAAACAGATGGATAGTGTAAATCAGCTGTTAATTTTTTTTTTATTCAGAAAGTATAGAATATCTGAAAATCCTTGAACTCTCAATTTTCAGACAACAGTTGATATTTGTAGAAAATGACTATTAATACAAAAAACAGCATTGAAATTGATTTTATCTTTTCAGTGAACTAAATTCCAAGTTACAGGATACCTTAGTTATGATAGAGGAACAGTTAGATGTAGCCCTGTCTAAAACTTGTAGTAATTTTGATGTTGTACATTATGAGAAAGTACAGAAAGCTTACAGACTTCTTAATAAAACTCAGGTAACTTAATACTACAGGGCTTTCTTACAATTACCTTGAGGGTCTGCTGTGCTTATTTCAGTAAAATTTAAGATATTTAATTTAGCTGCAAAATAAGAATACTGTGTTGTCATTCTTCAAAAAAATTGGAAAATTCTTAAAATAGATTGGATAATGTAATGGTCAATACTTCTTAAACCATTTTACAGTTGCAGTTATTTTGAAACAGTTGCAGTTATTTTGGAATCTAATATTTTATCTACATCAAACATGGCATAGTGTTTTCCATATTTAAGTATGCACAATGTTTAAGAACTTGAATAAAGGAAATGGCAGGATAAACATGGAAAGGATAAAAATGTGAAGGCATGATTGAAAGTGGATCTGTGTGTGATATTTTTGAATAAATGATTGATTGATAGATGTATAATGTCCAGCTGTAAACATAACATACAAATTCATGACAATAATATGTTTATTTCATATAACTACACCTTGTTTTGATATTTAATGCACTTAATTTCCTGTTAACGATCTACATAAAAACAAGTCGTACTATCAAAACTGTGATCTGTGAATAGCCTTTTTGTCTGCCAGAAAGCAGTACATGTATTAATATGATCAAGACATGTGATAATTGAGTTTTTTATAGTGATATTTATAAATGTGTATTTGATATATTGCCTATGACATCAGTCTTTGTGAACTATTTGAATTTTTGCTGCATGCACATGTAAATTTATTCCTTCAGCTCTACGAGTATACTTATATCAGAGTAACTCAAGTCAGTTTGCAAGTATGACCGCTGTATTTACAAACATGTGTTACATAATAAATCTGAGTTGCTTTCACTCACATAACTGACATTTATTAATCAGAAATATCTATTCTTTTATATGACACAAATGTACTCACATTCTTTGAGTTTTCCTATGGTATAATACAGTGTATTCACATACTATAAGTTTTCATGTTTTATTTGATATAGTGTACTCACATACATTGAGTTCCTATGGTATAATACAGTATACTCACATACTTTGAGTTTGGTATGGTATGATACAGTATACTCACATACTTTGAGTTTCATATGGTATAATACAGTGTACTCACATACTTTGAGTTTCGTATGGTATAATACAGTGTACTCACATACTTTAAGTTTTTGTGTTAAATGGTACAGTGTACTCACATATGTTTAGTTTCCTATGGTATAATACAGTGTACTCACATACTATAAGTTTTTGTGTTATATGGTATAGTGTACTCACATTCTTTGAGTTTTCCTGTGGTATAATACAGTGTCCTCACATACATACTTTGAGTTTTCCTGTTTAATGGTAAAATGTACTCAAATTCTATGAGTTTTACTGTTTAATGGTACATTATACTCGTATATTTTGAGTTTTCTTGTTATATGGTATAGTGTATTGACTGTATTCACATATTTTGAGTTTTGCTGTCATATATTATACAGTGTACTAACATATATTGAGTTTTCCTGTCAAATGATAGAGTGTATTCACAAATTTTGGGTTTCCAGTTGTATGGAACAATGATGAGTTGTCTTTTCTCTTACATGAATCTAATTGGTATATATGTAGGTTTCACTCTGTTAATAGAACTGTCTTTCCGGTTACATTATTCAGTATTGTTATATTACTTTTGATGCCTCTATTCATACAGTTGTCTTACCTACACAGAAAAGGTCTTTATTTGATCTATTGCAAGTCAAATGTAATATTTATCTTAGGCTTTTATTTATATTTTGTTTCTAGTTATTCCTGGTGAAGTTGACTTTACATACTGTGTAAGACCCACATGGGTTATACAGGTGGTTTTCACCCCCATAGTAGTAGTTTTGATTTAGAAAATTACTAGGAGTTTAGATATTTTTGATGTAATACACAAGCAGATCTATAAAAATCCTGAAAGTCTTTTGTAATAATATGTTTTCCTCTGTGTAGAAATAGAACACTTCAGAAACATCTTTCATCTATTGCCGAACTTTTATATACAGTTTGAACATCTAACTTTATAAATCTGAACTAATATAAATATCTTCCTTCTAACTCAAAGCTGAAAATTCTTTACTATTTTACTAACATATTATTTGTTTATGGTTATATGAATAACAATTCCAATTCATATATTTCAACCAATATTTTGGAGAATCTAGCCTGAAGAGGAAATACATTTGTATCTAGACATTATTATCACATGTATATTGATTGATGTGATTTGTCAACAGGTGATCAGTATACTGGTAATGTCGTGAATAATTAATGTGATTTTAAATTTTCCAGTGTAAAAAATTATCTGGCAAAGTAAGTAGGTGCTTATGGCATGTATCTCAGCCATGTTTGCTCAATATAACTTGATTTTCCAGATGTCTTTCTGGGATAACCTCTCTTCATGAAATTATATTTTTATAGATGTAAAATGTAGACATCAAATTCCTTGATCTTTATAAAGAAGAGACGTTTGAGTTAATGTTCCATTCATCATTTTTATGTAGGCATGCCTTTGTTCTAGTCATTTCAAGATTGGCATTCATAATATAGCAATATAAAAAAGGAACAAAATAATTTTTATCTATATCTTTGAATATGTTCTCAGTTTGAATTGATTTTTGTTATTCTGGTTTATACACTTTATATATACTCTGTGAATATCTGCAAACAAAATATTTTAAAGGGGAGCCATGCATTTTTGATTTTTTTTCATTTATAAAGCCGAGGCCCTGCCTGTATCCATGAGAAACTATAATAGAATGGTTCAAAATATTCTGCATTCCCTTTCTCCTTATTGCCCCCTCCCACATCCTCAAATGAATATTATAATATTTGGAATAACTATCAAAAGAAAAGAAAATAACAAAGTGTACTCTTTTAAGTACTGTAGAAAGTCAATTAAGTAAAAGTAATAATCTGGCATGCTTAAAAGACTGTTCTGGTTGTTATTTATATTTTACGAAGAATATTTGCAACATAAATTTCAAATGGTGATACAACATAGCAACTACTGATACTGCAAATAACTTAGGGTTTTGTGAAAAATAAAAGAAAAGGAACCAGAAATAGTTGATAATACATGTAGTTTAGATTCAATGTACATTCTTATGATGACACAAATTAATTTTCAATTTCTTTTTACAAGATGTTTTCTTTATTTTTTACATACAGTTACATCTTGGAACTCATATTCACCATATTTGACCAGAAGAACTATTTTATGTGTAGGAATATTTTTCAGAGAAGATCTTCAAGTATTTCACTACAAAGATGCACAATTAAAACTATATGCATCAAATAAAAAAAAAACAATTCACGTAATTAACTTCAATGTAATTTTAGATACACAGTTTCTACATGTCACATTTAAAAAATGTGTCGTAAAACCTGATCTGGTATTAAATTCATCTTTGAATCTCTTTTACAGACTGCCATGGACCAACTTCATATGCATTTTACCAGTGCTATTCACAATACAGCCTTTACTATAGTGTTAGGATATGTAGAACTGTGTTCTGGGACCACTAATTCTAACTTCCATAAGCGACAGTATACAGATTTATGTAAGGTAGAGTACCAGCACATATTTTACTCTTAAACAATTGGTAGGATATATATATTTATATGAAATATTTCTTACTTTATTTATTGGAAGACATGTTTGGTCTCAGATACTTGATCTTTACAATGTAAAAAGTTTTTGACCATTCTTTTTCTTTTGTATATATTTGTATGTGTGTCCCCTTTGATCATTAAAGGAAACACTGTAATAATACCTTTTTTCTTCCACAGAATGTAACTCAGGATAGTTTTACACCATGTTTGATTGACTTATGCAAAGCATTATGGGAAGTAATGAAAAGTTATTTTAAGACGATGCAATGGCATGAACAGAATGATATCAATGTACAAGATAAAGATGGTACGTTTAATAATTTCTCTAAAACTACTGTGTATTTTATGATTAACGCAGTAGTGATATCGGTGAATTTTATGATTAACGCAGTAGTGATATTGGTGATTTTATGATTAACGCAGTAGTGATATTGGTGATTTTATGATTAATGCAGTAGTGATATTGGTGATTTTATAATTAACGCAGTAGTGATATTGGTGAATTTTATGGAGTATAGATGTACTATAATTTTCCATATTCTAGAATGTCAAAATTATAAAATCAAGTAGCCACTAAAATATAATTTTCTGTCAATGCACAAAAACATGACCCATGGAAATTTTAAATGAATACGTATAAATTTATATTTGTTATATGTGAAGGAGGACAAAATTTTTAAAAAAATCAGTTAAGTCTTGTTCTCTCTACTCTTTTTAATGTCCTTGGAACATGAGCAAAGAAAACAAATCAGAACTAAGGTTGAGATTGAGCACTACAAAATTCTTTTCTGCATTTAAAATTACAAAGGGAAGAAAAAAAGTCTTGTTAAAATAAGATTGTTTCACTTGGACAGCTAGGGGGGAATTGTTTACTGAGCTCAAAACTGACTTGAAGATTAAAAAAACAACACTAGAAATTGAATGCATCTGAAGTGCTTTCTTGATTTACCTTCATTATGTGAATTTATATTGTGTAGAATCAGAGGAAGGAACAGAAGAGATAGCATTCAATAAGAAATACATTAAACAGAAACTTGACCATGGACTGACCAGGATCTGGATGGACGTCCAACAGAAGGTCAAATTATTTGTCCTTGGCACTGATCTGTCACATTTTAAATTAGAAGAGTTCATTAGAGTTTTAGATATCATTCATAGGTAAACTTAATTTAAAATAAAGATGCATACATTACGCATTCATGTAATGTAAAATGGTGTGTTAAATATATAAATAATCATGTCATTTTCTCATGTATAATATTGTAAGTTTGTGATTATTGTGTCTATTTTTTAAGCCTTCAGGGGAAAGCATATATGAACCATTTATATACTTTGACTACAGAATCACCTGCTGTTGGAATTTGTTTGATTTGAAGTTTTCACTAAAAGAAATAATTTTATTGCAAATTAATTCTGACCTAGCTTAAATATCAGATACTTGAAATACTAAACCTCATAAGAACAATATTATTCTCTGATTATAAAAGAGAAAGCTTACTAGTTTTATATCTTTTCAGAATGATAGAGATCGGAGAAGAATTCTGTGGTAGTAAATCTGATGGCTTACAGGATTCTCTAAAACAACAAAGTCTTAATTATTTTAAAAATCATCACAGGTAATAAACTTAACAATGTATATAGTAGGGAATTTTTAAAAATTTATCAGCTCACTTGAAATTCAAATTTGAATTTGAGGCACCAAAAAGGAGTTTGTGTATACACCTTATTGCTATCTGTCTGCCATTACTGGACATCACAAAGGTTCCCGTAAAATTTTGACGTCATAATACAAAATATCTGAAGCAACAATGGAAAAGTGATTGTTGTATGACGTCAATAGTTCAAGCGGCGCAGATTCTCATGTCAACCGGCACAGATTTCCAAATAGCGATAAGGTGTATTATGCATAAATACATTTTAGAATTCTATACAAGAAGATTTTTTTTTTGTAAACAATCATTTAGTAGGCATGGAATTCCCTTTCTTTCTCATCTTGTTTTAAGTTTGAGTTTCTTTATAATATTGGTAGTTTCATTTATTCAGATACAGAATGGATGAACTAAGAATGTTTCTGGAGAATGAAGGTTGGGAGCTGTGTCCAGTGAAAACTAATTTTACATACTCACGTCTGTTGGTAAGTACATGTACTCAGTAAAAGTTGATAGTGTGAAAACATTATTACTCACATAAGTTTAGATGACTGTCAGCCAAAGTGATGGTTGAATCAGAATTTTCACTGTCATGTAGGATAAAAAGGTTAGTAATACCCCTGGATTGAAGTATTCTCGTTAACCTCTATCAACTCATGAAAACAGTGATGCGATTTTATTTTTATCAAAACAAGAAACTAGGTCAACATGACCTCAAATTTGCATTCTATCTCTTCACACCAAAAAAAAGAAGTCTAAATTTCAGTCTGATAACTTGACTCTGACACAAAATCTATTTACAAAAATGAAAAGATTTGTGAACAACATGAATCAAAATATAATATATATAAGTTTATAAATGTCTATCATTTTAAGACAAGTAGGTGAGTGGGGCTTTGCCTAGTTGTCTGCTCTCAAATTTTGTATTTATAGTTTCAATTCCAGATTTGAAACTAAAAGTTGCAATAGTTCATATCCTGGATAACAAAGGCAGTAAAAGCAGACTTTTAAATAGAACCAATGAAAAATTAATTACATGAATCTGTATTTATTTATATACATAATAGCAAACACATGTGCTTCTATAACATAATTGAATAAATTTATTTAAACTCGCATATATTTTAGGAATTCAAGTTTATGAAACATTGGAACAAATCACCAGAGCTCTCTCCAAGAGGTGATTCTTCCCTGACAACAGATAATAAAGTTGTTTACTTCAAAGACTTTACAGATGGAGCCACTCCATTTGACGTTCATCCTGAAGATGATGAAAATGAAGATGTATTCTCATACAGTTTTGTAAGTAAAAGACTTATGATAAGAGAAAAAAGGACTTTTGAACAAATGAGTGATAATGCTGGAGTAGTTCTATTAATTATTGTTTGATTTGTGTCCTGCTGCAAATATTTCATGCATATATATCACAAAAACAAGTAAACAATAACACTTATGGTCAAATATGTTTATAGATTAGGAGAAATGGTTGAGTTATTTATTAGTTGTTATGTGTTCTGTGATCTGTTCATTTGTCCATATCAGGTTAGAGTTTTGGTTTAAGAGAGTTAACCATGAAGTTGTGGTCACATCAACATTAAAGTTAGTACATATATATGATGTGAAATTTTTAAAATGTATGCTGAAGAGGGGCGGAAGATCCCAAAGGGACAATCAAACTCTTTTAAGTCGAAGACAAACTGACAACACCATGGCAAAAAATGAAAAATGTCGAAAAGACAAGCAACAGTCTACGAAACACAACATAGAAAACTTATGTGATAGTGTCAGTGTAACTTGGTGATATCTTCAGTTTTTTGGTCAATTTTGTAAGTATTTTTTTTACTGATTTATACTGTGATCAGACATTGGTTCTAGTATTAAAATATAATTGGTCATAGTCTTTCAAATGTTTTATTTTTGAACAGGATAGTGAAGGTAATGATAGTGATAGTGATTCAGACATTCCAGATGAATTAAAACAAGATTATATAGATGAAATAACTGGAGAAGCTCGCTCTCATAGGTAAGTCACACTATTTACTTAAATCATGCAATGATAGGTCATGCTATAATTGATTGATTGCTTATGATATGCATTTCATGTTAAAGATATACCAAGAAATGGTCAACATACAACCACTAATTATAAAAGGCAAAACAACAAATTCAAAACACAAAGCAATAAAAACAAAAAAACGGCAGCTTTTTGCATAGATATAGGAGTAGTGAATTGTTTGTAAGTTTTAGACAAGATTAATTGAACAATGGCTTAATCTCAATGGTTTGACTAACAGGCAATCAAATAAGAAAATAAATATTGTAAAGCATTCACAAAAATACGAAAGAAATGTCCAACCAATTAAATTGAAAGACACCATACCTTTAAAAATAACAAATAATACGTACTGCTGTATTAATCATCTATTTTTCTAACATGCATTTCTTTGTATGATTCATTACCTCTATACCACATTATTTAGTTATTCTTCTGTATAAAGATCATATTTGTGTTAGAAAAATATTTCAGTACAATAAAAGAGAGATGGAAGATACCAGGGGACATTCAAACTCATAAGTCGATGACAAACTTACAATGCCATGGCAAAAAAGAGAAAAACATAAGACAAACAACAGTATACAATACACAACATAGAAAACTAGACACTGAGCAGCAAAAAAAACAGGGGTGATCTTGGGTGTTCCAGAACGGTAGGCAGATCCTGCTCTACATGTGGCACCTGTCATATTTAGTATTATTCATAACCAGGAAACATCCAAAAAAGGTAAAATCTTGAAGATTTTTTTGCCTATACCACACATTATTTTTTTCAGACAGTACAAGAGAAGAATATCTCATAACAGAAGCAGAAAAAATGTTCCCATAGTGACCAATACCACAATTAATTTATTACGAGTTATAGGTAAGATCTGAAAATTCCAATAGTTACTTATAGCTGAATCAATTTATAAAGAGTTCTAATCAAGGTCTATTATTCCATTAAAGATCAATACCACAATTAATAATGAGTTATGAGGAACACATGTAGATATTATATTTGGACAAAACTACATACATCAAGGGAACCAACCCCAACCTTTTCCCTAGAGCTATAATGTACCTAGATGTTTGATTTTATCTTTAAGGTAAATACATGCAAAGCCTTTGATATATATTGTATATTGTAGGTAAATACATGAAGATGATAACAGTACTAAAGCCTATAGCCTTTGATGTTATATATTGTATATTGTAGGTAAATACATGAAGATGATAACAGTACTAAAGCCTATAGCCTTTGATGTAATATATTGTATATCACAACTATTTGATTATTATCTTTATACAGTAAGTACTAAAATCTTTGATGTTATATTTGTATTTCACTGATTTTTTTCTTTTCCATTCTTTTTTCAACGTTTTATCTGGATCATGAAAAAACAATGTCTTCTTATCATCTGACAATCAGTTTAGAAACAAATTTTCAAATGGTTCAAGTTAAACTACAATTATAGATGAGATATAACTCAAATTCAAAATATTGCCTTAAAATAATCCATTGCAATTCAATGTTTATTTACGAGAGAGGCGAAAGATACCAAAGGGACATTCAGACTCATAAGTCGCAAATAAACTTACAACGCCATGGCTAAAAAAGAAAAAGACACACAAAACAACAGCACACAAAACACAACATAGAAAACTAAAAACTGAGCACCACCCAGAAAAAAAAAGCAATCTTTACTCTGCAGCTCTCACAACCACTTTGAGTTTTATACGTTAGTTCCTATGTCTAGAACTTAATTGATATGTATAGAACATACAAGACCATGAACAATACAGAATAACAAAACAGGTATTCATAAAAACATATTTATTTGTTATTATAAAAACTTTCAGGTTTACAGTTTCTTTGGTTCTCATGATTCTGTAAGAAATGAACGAGCTATAAATCAACGAATGCACCTTACACTTCAGAGGATACATAGTAATGTGATAGCAGAGGAAGCAACACCTGGAGCGCCACCTGTTGACAGTGAAGAGAATCAGGTAAAGCGTTATGAATAAAACTAAGGTATTAGATGAGAATGCATATTTGGAGCGCCACCTATTGACATTGTAGGGAATCTGGTGAAGTCCTATGGCTACTTACAATATAATAACAGAGGAAGCAATTCTTGATTTATTAATTGATAAATGCTTTAAGTCCAGGGGAAAATAATACATGCTTATTGAAGGTGATAACATGTTAACGGACATGAAAACTGCCTTCTTCTAGTCTGACAACTTGGATTTTTCAACATGATGGCTGACTATGTAGCAGTCTTCAGGTAGAATTCTAATCATATTTAGGGTGCCACCTGTTATCAATGAACATTACAAATGACATAACATTACAATACTCTCGATTCATTATTATTCGTGGGATACCAATTTTCTTGGATTTCATTGGTTCAGATGACAAACCAGGAATTTAGATATTCAACAAATTGCAAATTTTCTATGGGCTTGTCTGCAGACTTTTGTGCAAAACTATGAAAACAAATATTCACCAGATTGTAAGATTTCTTCAATCCACTAAAATTGGTACCCATGAAAATAACTGAATCCACAGTAAAATTTTGCACCATTGTTATGTTTAAGATATAAACATGAATACTAACTCTTAAACGTCATCACATTAATATACTGTGTTAAATTAAGGGATCATAGATTTATTCTTACGAGGAAGCTCCAAGCATGCCCGGAGGATGCTCGGAGCTTTTTAAGTAGGCTCTTCTCAGCAGTTTATGTGACAATAATTATCATGATCCATTAAGATGTCAATCAAATCTATAGCACTTTTATAATAAGGAAAGTAGAGCATTATAGAGGAAGCTCCATTAGCACCTGTGTAAACATCTGGTCTATTCAAACAAATCTTGCATTAATTTTACAAAACTATAAAATAGATGAGAAATTCTTCAGTATTACTGTACAATGCTTGGTATCAAGTCTTCACAGAAAGAAAATGATTTTAAAACATTTTCTTAATAATTATCAATACATATGATACAAAAAAACACTCAAATTTTATATTTTATATATATAAATATAAAAGTCATCAAAGACACAAACTATGGTTATTGATTTAAAACCATACTACCAAAACATAGTACATTCAGTTTCATGCAAAAAAGGGTTGATCTTTTTTCATATTCTATTTAATTTGACAGTTGTTTGAAATTAACCCTCCATTTCAATTCAGAAAAGTTTTTTGAGTCATAAACATGTTTCTTGGGTGTTTCAAAGCAATAAAAATATACTATATTCTACAGGGAAAAAGGGGGATCGAATTTGATTGGTTAACTTCTGGTGATGTTTACTTTCTTATATGCACTGAAAAGTTATGCTATATTTTCACTGTAGTACAGGACATTTATTTATGTCAAGTATTTCTTTATTTAAAACATAGATAAATTCTGCACATTTTTTTGAAATATAACAATCATGACAATTAAAGACTTATAGGGGGAAAATAATTTTACTCATGCCAAGTATTTCTTTATTTAAAACAAAGCTAAATCTGCACAATTAAAAAAAAAATGCCAAGTAAAGAGAGACGTACTAGAGGGAAAACAATGGTGGTATTACCCCCTCAAACCAGGATTCCACTAATGAATTACAACTTTTCTTAAAAGTAGCCATAATTTTCTATAAAAGAACTTAGTTTGCTATTTAAAAAAAACATTACCATTGTTTAGTTAGGGGCATTACTTAAACAAGTAATTTTCAAAATTACCTATACATGCTATACAAGTTATGTTGAAAACGAGGCTGTTTCAAATATTACTTCTATATCATGAATAAGTAACTTCTGTTAATATCATTTTAATAGGTGTCCATTCATACAGGTTTTACTAGCTTTAACAAATTTTCACAGACATCTGGTTATTTTCCCCATGAAATATACTGTAAATCTATTTAAATCCTCAACAAGCACTAATTGCTTTTCTGATGCCACACTTCTTGGTCAAAGATTGGCCTCTTGGGGCTATTAAAATATCATTTCCCCTTAAAATCTTAGAGATAGACAGTTATAACTAGATATGGAACCTTTAATTAAAACTTGAAGTTATTTATAATTTGAATCTTAATCAAAAGCAATTACATATATTCCTTAAATAATTGTAAGGACTAAGTTTTTTGAAGTTGTATAAAATAATTTATCATAGTAATATTTTTGTCATTATTTTTAAAGTAACCTCTCTATACTCATCTAAAATTGGATAAATACTTAATTTTATTTAATGAAATGATATAAAAATTCTTAAAAACTACATTTAGTCCATGCTTTATTTGACATTTAAAATAACTATTGAGTTATTAATTTTTAAAAACAAAAAATACTTATAAAAGTGACTAAAAAAAATTACTTGTTTAGTATCGCCACATGACTTGTTTGTGTCTTGATAACTTTTATGTAGCATATTATATCATATAAACTATTTTTAAATCATATCATTTAATTAAAAAAATTATTGAGAATTTTTTTATTATAACAAGAGGCTCTCATGAGCCTGAATTGCTCACCTGTATTTCAGAGAAGATTTTTAAATGTTAGCAAACTTGATGAACAAATTGTGTAAAATTGTCTTTAAAGGGCAATAACTCCTTAAGGGGTCAATTGACAATTTTGGTCATTTTAACTTTTTTGTAGATCTTACTTTGCTGAACATTATTGCTGCTTACAGTTTATATATATCTATAATAATATTCAAAATAATAACAAAAAACTGCAAAATTTTGTTAAAACTACCAATTCGGTGGCAGCAACCCAACAATGGGTTGTTCGATTCGTCTGATAATTTCAGGGCCGATAGATCTTGACCAATTAAACAATTTAACCCCATGTCACATTTGCTCTAAAAGATTTAGTTTTTAAGATATAAGCCAAAAACTGCATTTGACCCTTATGTTCTATTTTTAGCCACGGCGGCCATGTTTGTCGATGGATACAAACTTCGGATACAATTTATAAACAAGATACCCTAAGGAACATTTATGAAAAGTTTGAAGGTAATTGGCCCAGTAGTTTCAGAGAAGATTTTTAAATGTTAGCAAACTTGATGAACAAATTGTGTAAAATTGTCTTTAAAGGGCAATAACTCCTTAAGGGGTCAATTGACAATTTTGGTCATTTTAACTTTGTTGTAGATCTTACTTTGCTGAATATTATTGCTGCTTACAGTTTATATATATCTATAATAATATTCAAAATAATAACAAAAAACTGCAAAATTTTGTTAAAACTACCAATTCGGTGGCAGCAACCCAACAATGGGTTGTTCGATTCATCTGAAAATTTCAGAGCTGATAGATCTTGACCAATTGAACAATTTTACCCCATGTCAGATTTGCTCTAAAAGCTTTAGTTTTTGAGATATAAGCCAAAAACTGCATTTGACCCCTATGTTCTATTTTTAGCCATGGCGGCCGTGTTTGTCGATGGAACAAAACTTCGGATACAATTTATAAACTAGATACCCTAAGGAATATTTAGTTAAAGTTTGAAGGTATTTGGCCCAGTAGTTTCAGAGAAGAAGATTTTTGAAATAGTTTACGACGACGACGCCGACAAACGACGCCGACGGACGACGACGAACGCCAAGTGATGGCATAAGCTCACATGGGGCCCTTTGGGCCCCAGTGAGCTAAAAAAAGGAATGATTATTAAACATAATAAGAAAATATTTAAATGACTTTTACTTTTTGTGGAGACTTGAGATTTCTTTCCAAGCATTACACAGCACTGTTGAAGAATTTCTAATCTATTTTATAGTTCTGTAAAATTTCATGCAAAATGTATTTGAATAGACCAGATGTTTACACAGGTGTTTATGGAGCTTCCTCTATAATGCTCTACTTTCCTTATCATAGAAGTGGTGAAGATTTGATTGACATCTTAATGGATCATGATAATTATTGTCACATAAACTGCTGAGAAGAGCCTACTTAAAAAGCGAATAAATCTATGATCCCTTATTAAGAATTAATCTGTATTTAGGACAGAGTTCCTCAGCCCCATCTTTCCCCTGTGGTGGACCTCACCGCTGCAGATAAATTGTTTGGGTTGTCAGAGAGAGTTGTCGCTGCAGAATCACTGTAAGTATATATTTTATGGAATTTTCTATAGTACTAAACTGAATTTGAATGAAAACTTTTAACCTGTAAATACACATCCACAGCCATTTCTTAAAAACTCGTAATCGTAAGACAATATTATATGGTATGTATCATTGAGAGAGTGATTGTATGCTGGTAGATGGTGCTGAGATGTCTAAGTAGTTCACCTTCTGTATCACTAGCCTGTATCACTAGCCTGTCAATACTGAGATTGTGAGTTTGAACACTGCATGTGGCAGGTCTGTTGAACTTCTGATTGTCAGTGTTCCTGCCAAGGGTCTGCAGTTCTCTCTGGGCACCCTGGCTTCCTCCACCAATAAAAATTGACTTCCATGATATAGCCAATAGTGCTGAAAGTGGTGTTAAACACCAATCAATAAATCAATCATCGTATAATGGTAGATAATGATCAGATGATATTTGTTTTTTTTTAATGAGTGGGTTTTAATAAACAAAATCTTGAATGTCCAAGCACTGCTCTTAGATATTTTGAGCTACAATCATATAATCATGAATGATAGAGTAAATATAAACCTCCTGTAAATGTAGGTCACTCTGACTTTGTTTTTAGTCTTCATTGATTGGCACTGAATTTATTGTCTAAATTCATTTCTCAGATACTTGCTGATCACATTTGGTTTCATTTAACAAATATGTTTTGATAACTGTTTTAATATCAAATTGGTATGATAATATTATACAAGTAAAAGGAGTTGCTGAGTAAATGCCAATTGGACAGCTATCCTATGAAGGAATATATCAAAAAGACATCTACAGGTCAATCAGGCCAATTACTTGATGAACTATGTAATTAAAGATTACTTATGTTTACACATTTCAGCAACAGTAAATTACATTTAAAAATTGCTTGAAACTATAGCTTCACATATCTTACTTTAGAAAGCAAAGACAATTTATTGTTTTACTTTTTGATAGTTTAAAGAAAGCTAGAATTGTGAAACTTGGAAAAATTTTTAATGTTCATTTCAATAAAATCTTAGTTTTGACATACAAGATTATCTATTTCTTTGTAACTTTCAGTGTTTTTCTTGCCAACCAGTTTGAGCAGTTACAGCCTCACTTTGAAACTATGATTCCTTCTAATAAGAAAGCATTCCTACAGCAGTTTTATAGTCAGGTAAATAAATAATTTTCTATGGTTTATATAGTTTAATAAATCAGTTTATATTCATCTTAATATGTAAATATGTAGTATATACACAGTATACTAATACAGGTAAGAGGTACTTCTGCAATATTGTTTATAGTCCAATAAGTACTATAGGGGTTATTTAGTAGTTTAAATGTTTATGTAACAGTAGAATGTCAGAAATTCATTAAAACAACAGATTTGTAATAAGGTATACAGTCAAACCTACCATAACGGTCACCTAGTTTCAGCTGTCACCTGCCTCTAACGGCCACTTTCAGACCCTCCCAAGCATTTTGTCTATATAATTTAACTCTTTTCAGCAGTCACCTGTCTAACACAATCAGCGGTCACCTAATTTTCGTACAAAATCTTCATTTCAACTTTTCACAACGGTCATTTTTATGTTTTTAACAACAAAAATATTATCATGACAAAAATTTATGTTTTCAGTCTCATTGATAATTGTTCCACATATTCTTATTTTTATATTATTAAACTTAATTGTCCTGAGATATATTTTCTTACATTTCAGACAATATCGATAGCTGCTGAATTACGAAAACCTGTGTACTGGGCAGTGTCAGTCCATGCTATAGATTATAATGGTGTTATCAACCTAATGGCCAATGTACGATGGGATATCAAAGATATCATGTCACAGCATAATGCTTACGTTGATGATATCCTAAAGGTATGCTATAGACTTTAATGGTGCTATCAATCTGATGGCCAATGTACGATGGGATATCAAAGATATCATGTCACAGCATAATGCTTACGTTGATTATATGCTCAAAGAAAGTAGTTGTTTTATGGTGTTATCAATCTGATGTCAAATGTCCTGTCAGAATATGTTAGATATTATCACTATTGTCAAAAAATTTTCTTTGATCTTTCTGTTTGATGATTTTCAATATCACGCTACTCGAGTGATATGGGTTTTTCTCAGTCAAGAAGAAAGAGAACATATGACATCATAGGACTTAATCATTTGAAAACAGCAATAAACATATTATTAATGGTCTTTAAAACTTGAGGATGTTTCTAGGCTTCATCTCATTGCCCTTTGATGAGATTGTAGCTGACAAAAAACCCTCTCCTTTGAAATACCATCAATAATCTATAATTACGACCAATTAACAATGATATTTATAAATAATTTATCAGTTTTGATTTTAGCAACACTCATGACAGTAAAGTCATCAATCTCGATTTAGCTCCTTGGCAATATATTATCTGGATTGTTTGGAAACAAGATAGTTTTGCTTTAGCTTTAAACTTCTAATAAGTGTAGTAAATGTTGTATTTTTTATTTTAAAATGGTTCCAACAAAGATTAATATAAGCAGAAAAAACAATGACCATAAGGCACCAATTCTAGTAGTTATTTCAGCACTTTATTTTAAAATCATCAGCCTTATTTAATATTAGTTCTACCATTCTTTTATGTTTGAATGGTTGTTAATAATTTTTTCCAGAAATTTGAGAATTTAAACAGAAAACTAAGTGATATAAGCAGACGATTACCTATTCCTAGGGTTGTTTATACAAGTGTTTGGGAACATTGTGTCAGATTAACTAATAGAATACTTGTTGAAGGGTAAGTGTTAAGACTAAAGTTTATGGTTAAAAGGTAAATGGTAAAGATATTTCAGAAGAAGACAGATATAAATTTATATCTCTTAATTTTGAGCTGGTTTGGCACCTGGTGTTTGGCATTATTTTTTTTTTTGTCATTTTCATTTCACACTCTTTGAGGATTATTGATAATTTGGGATTATTACTGTAGAGATATGATGTGTCCTAATGTCAATCAGTTCATCAAACTTAGTTTTGTTTGAGGTTATATCTTATAGAATTTTTAATATCTGTTGCACATTTTGCACTTACAAATTTTCAAAGGAGATTTGGAGTCAAAATTAATGAGACAGCAACCAAACTACACAAAAAAACATAAGACATTTGGAGGTCATCACACTTTCTTCGACAATATTCAGGGCCTTGGTGGCTGAGTGGCCGAAGTAGTTCAACTTCTGTATCACTAGTCTGTCAACACAGAGGTTGTGAGTTTGAACCCCACATGTGGCAGGTGCTTTAGACTCTAATCTTAATTGACTAGGATTATCAGTTTTTCTTGCCAAAGGTTGGTGGTCTGTCTGGGCATTCCGGCTTCTACCACCAATAAAAACTAACTGCCATGAAAAAGTAAATAGTGCTGAAAGTGATGTTAAACACCAATCAATCATCTATATTCTAGAGCCAATACAATATGTCAAGCTCTTAATCACTCTTAGTCTAGAAAAGCACATTATTTAAAATGGTCAGTTAATTTAAATTGTGATGTCACACTTATAAAGGTGGTACCAAACACCTTGACTAACATTAATTTGGCTCGTTTAAATTTCATAAAATTTTGACAAAATATTTACTTTGACCCTTTGACAAGAATATAAAGATTTCAAAAAACTTGAACCACACACTTTATTGGAAAAATTTCATTGGATATATAGCAGTTTGACAAACACTAATTTTGATCATTGAGAAACTTAATATTTCCTTAACAATAGAATGTGAATAAAACGTTCAGATGATTTTTACAGAGTTATCTCCCTGTAGTGTTATGTACCACGTAAAAGACTAAAGAATATAAAATTAACTGTAAGAAAGAAGAATGAGGGGAAATAAAACCAGGATAATGCAAGACAAACACAAACTCAAACACCTGCTCACAATAACATAAACATATGGAAACTAAAGATAACACTTAAAACTTATGTTTATACAAAATAAGATAACAATGAGAATAATCAGGCTCTCCAAAACAGTTTGTAGGTCTGGCTTTGATTATTGTAGATACTCTGCAGCATATCATTAAAAGAGGAGTTTCCTTAGAAACATGTCATATGTATTAAGTTTTGTATTGCCTATATTTCAATGATTTAAAAGAAGTGTGAAATGTTGTGAAAATAATCAGAGAGTAGAAAGTGATCCATGATCTGTATATGTAAAATAGTATGTAAGGTAAACATCAACCTAACAATACCAGTTTAATTTTAATTACCCAATATTGACATTAATGGGTCATCATCAAGACTTCACTGGTCTCAAATCAAATCAAATAATCTTAATTTAAAGTTGGCTAGAAAAATAACCAAATAACATAGGCATGCATTGAGCTTTGAACCATACCATATTCATTTCTTTACTCACTTTGAGTGAGTTTTGACTCAAAAATGTTCCTTTAGTAAGGGTCACAAAGTCCGTGAATGACGTTATTGCGACTAAGAATCAATATTTCTATATCCATGGTTACTGTTGAATGTTTTTGATATATTTTACAGATACTCTAATGCCAAGAAATGTAGTAATGAAGGGAGGGCATTCATGCAGTTAGATTTTCAACAATTACTGTCTAATTTAGAGAAAATGATTGATTTAAGGTTAGTACCTCTTATGGTTGTCCAAAAAAATTATATAAGAGGAAATTGTGTGTGAATGCTTTCCACTATCTATGGATATAACTGGTCAATGAACCATGGCTTAAGGTACAGGGTGAAATCATTTCCATGGAAATGAGAAATGCCATTGCTAATACAACTCCATAGCAAAAATTATTGACTTATCATAAGTGGTTCCCCTTAAACTGACATAATCACAAACTTTAACATGTAAACTATGCAAAGTCAATGGACCATGTCTGAGTGGCAAGCCAAATAATCTCCATGGAACTTAAATGTGTCAATACAACTATACAACTCTATATCAAATATCATTGATTTACTATTTGTGATTCTCCTCAAACTGACCTAATCACAAACTTAAACAAATTGATGATGCCAATGCCAGAAAAAGGACACCTAAGTCTCGCTTTTTGATACCATCAAGGCGAGACAAAAACTACATGCTAATATTATTAATTCTTGAAAATTGAAATAGTTTTTGGATAATTCAATTATTTTGCAGGATATTACAATGTGATCTCTACTTTCCTTACAGTATATGACTATATATGTGTAAATATTTAAGGCCAAGCAAACAAATACTTTATTTCTCAGATACTGCATCATTAGGAAAAACATCTGATTCTATGTGAGGATTCCTGTAGTTTTTAACCCATGTTTTCTTACTCATTTCAGACCAATACCAGAGAAAGAGTTTGTAGAAGGTTATATAAAGGCATACTATCTTCCTGAGAGTCAGTTTGATTCCTGGTTGTTAGATCACAAGGTGTGTACTACACTCCCCCTTTATTCTGTAGAAGGTTATATAAAGGCATACTATCTTCCTGAGAGTCAGTTTGATTCCTGGTTGTTAGATCACAAGGTTTGTACTACACTCCCCCCTTTATTCTGTACATGGTTATATAAAGGCATACTATCTTCCTGAGAGTCAGTTTGATTCCTGGTTATTAGATCACAAGGTTTGTACTACACTCCCCCCTTTATTCTGTAGAAGGTTATATAAAGGCATACTATCTTCCTGAGAGTCAGTTTGATTCCTGGTTGTTAGATCACAAGGTTTGTACTACACTCCCCAATTTATTCTGTAGAAGGTTATATAAAGGCATACTATCAGCCTTAGAGTCAGTTTGATTCCTGGTTGTTAGATCACAAGGTTTGTACTACACTCCCTCCTTTATTCTATAGAACATACTATCTGCCTGAGAGTCAGTTTGACTCCTGGTTGTTAGATCACAAGATTTGTACTACACTCCCCCTTTATTCTGTAGAAGGTTATATAGAGGCATACTATCTTCCCGAGAGTCAGTTTGATTCCTGGTTGTTAGATCACAAGGTTTGTACTACACTCCCCCTTTATTCTGTAGAAGGTTATATAAAGGCATACTATCAGCCTGAGAGTCAGTTTGATTCCTGGTTGTTAGATCACAAGGTTTGTACTACACTCCCTCCTTTATTCTGTAGAACATACTATCTGCCTGAGAGTCAGTTTGACTCCTGGTTGTTGATCACAAGATTTGTACTACACTCCCCCTTTATTCTGTAGAAGGTTATATAGAGGCATACTATCTTCCCGAGAGTCAGTTTGATTGCTGGTTGTTAGATCACAAGGTTTGTACTACACTCCCCCTTTATTCTGTAGAAGGTTATATAAAGGCATACTATCAGCCTGAGAGTCAGTTTGATTCCTGGTTGTTAGATCACAAGGTTTGTACTACACTCTCCCCTTTATTCTGTACATGGTTATATAAAGTCATACTATCTTCCTGAGAGTCAGTTTGATTCCTGGTTGTTAGATCACAAGGTTTGTACTACATCCCCCCCCTTTATTCTGTAGAACATACTATCTGCCTGAGAGTCAGTTTGATTCCTGGTTGTTAGATCACAAGGTTTGTACTACACTCCCTCCTTTATTCTGTAGAACATACTATCTGCCTGAGAGTCAGTTTGATTCCTGGTTGTTAGATCACAAGGTTTGTACTACACTCCCTCCTTTATTCTGTAGAACATACTATCTGCCTGAGAGTCAGTTTGATTCCTGGTTGTTAGATCACAAGGTTTGTACTACACTCCCCCCTTTATTCTGTAGAAGGTTATATAAAGGCATACTATCTTCCTGAGAGTCAGTTTGATTCCTGTTTGTTAGATAACAAGGTTTGTAATACACTCCCCTTTATTCTGTAGAAGGTTATATAAAGGCATACTATCACCCTGAGAGTCAGTTTGATTCCTGGTTGTTAGATCACAAGGTTTGTACTACACTCCCCCCTTTATTCTGTAGAAGGTTATATAAAGGCATACTATCTTCCTGAGAGTCAGTTTGATTCCTGGTTGTTAGATCACAAGGTTTGTACTACACTCCCCCCTTTATTCTGTAGAAGGTTATATAAAGGCATACTATCTTCCTGAGAGTCAGTTTGATTCCTGGTTGTTAGATCACAAGATTTGTACTTCACTCCCCCTTTATTCTGTAGTAGAAGGTTATATACAGGCATACTATCTTCCTGAGAGTCAGTTTGATTCCTGGTTGTTAGATCACAAGGTTTGTACTACACTCCCCCCCTTTATTCTGTAGAAGATTATATAAAGGCATACTATCTTCCTGAGAGTCAGTTTGATTCCTGGTTGTTAGATCACAAGGTTTGTACTACACCCCCCCCTTTATTCTGTACATGGTTATATAGAGGCATACTATCTTCCAGAGAGTCAGTTTGATTCCTGGTTGTTAGATCACAAGGTTTGTACTACACTCCCCCTTTATTCTGTAGATGGTTATATAAAGGCATACTATCTTCCTGAGAGTCAGTTTGATTCCTGGTTGTTAGATCACAAGGTTTGTACTACACTCCCCCCTTTATTCTGTACATGGTTATATAAAGGCATACTATCTTCCTGAGAGTCAGTTTGATTCCTGGTTGTTAGATCACAAGGTTTGTACTACACTCCCTCCTTTATTCTGTAGAACATACTATCTGCCTGAGAGTCAGTTTGACTCCTGGTTGTTGATCACAAGATTTGTACTACACTCCCCCTTTATTCTGTAGAAGGTTATATAAAGGCATACTATCTTCCTGAGAGTCAGTTTGATTCCTGTTTGTTAGATAACAAGGTTTGTAATACACTCCCCCTTTATTCTGTAGAAGGTTATATAAAGGCATACTATCACCCTGAGAGTCAGTTTGATTCCTGGTTGTTAGATCACAAGGTTTGTACTACACTCCCCCCTTTATTCTGTAGAAGGTTATATAAAGGCATACTATCTTCCTGAGAGTCAGTTTGATTCCTGGTTGTTAGATCACAAGGTTTGTACTACACTCCCCCCTTTATTCTGTAGAAGGTTATATAAAGGCATACTATCTTCCTGAGAGTCAGTTTGATTCCTGGTTGTTAGATCACAAGATTTGTACTTCACTCCCCCTTTATTCTGTAGTAGAAGGTTATATACAGGCATACTATCTTCCTGAGAGTCATTTTGATTCCTGGTTGTTAGATCACAAGGTTTGTACTACACTCCCCCCCTTTATTCTGTAGAAGATTATATAAAGGCATACTATCTTCCTGAGAGTCAGTTTGATTCCTGGTTGTTAGATCACAAGGTTTGTACTACACCCCCCCCCCCCTTTATTCTGTACATGGTTATATAGAGGCATACTATCTTCCAGAGAGTCAGTTTGATTCCTGGTTGTTAGATCACAAGGTTTGTACTACACTCCCCCTTTATTCTGTAGAAGGTTATATAAAGGCATACTATCTTCCTGAGAGTCAGTTTGATTCCTGGTTGTTAGGTCACAAGGTTTGTACTACACTCCCCCCTTTATTCTGTACATGGTTATATAAAGGCATACTATCTTCCTGAGAGTCAGTTTGATTCCTGGTTGTTAGATCACAAGGTTTGTACTACACTCCCCCCTTTATTCTGTAGAAGGTTATATAAAGGCATACTATCTTCCTGAGAATCAGTTTGATTCCTGGTTGTTAGATCACAAGGTTTGTACTACACTCCCCCCTTTATTCTGTAGAATGTTATAAATGCATACTATCTTCCCGAGAGTCAGTTTGATTCCTGGTTGTTAGATCACAAGGTTTGTACTACACTCCCCCCTTTATTCTGTACATGGTTATATAAAGGCATACTATATTCCTGAGAGTCAGTTTGATTCTTGGTTATTAGATCACAAGGTTTGTACTACACTCCCTCCTTTATTCTGTAGAACATACTATCTGCCTGAGAGTCAGTTTGATTCCTGGTTGTTAGATCACAAGGTTTGTACTACACTCCCTCTTTTATTCTGTAGAAGGTTATATAAAGGCATACTATCTTCCTGAGAGTCAGTTTGATTCCTGGTTGTTAGATCACAAGGTTTGTACTACACTCCCCCCTTTATTCTGTACATGGTTATATAAAGGCATACTATCTTCCTGAGAGTCAGTTTGTTTCTTGGTTGTTAGATCACAAGGTTTGTACTACACTCCCTCTTTTATTCTGTAGAAGGTTATATAAAGGCATACTATCTTCCTGAGAGTCAGTTTGATTCCTGGTTGTTAGATCACAAGGTTTGTACTACACTCCCCCCTTTATTCTGTACATGGTTATATAAAGGCATACTATCTTCCTGAGAGTCAGTTTGATTCCTGGTTATTAGATCACAAGGTTTGTACTACACTCCCCCCTTTATTCTGTACATGGTTATATAAAGGCATACTTTCTGTCTGAGAGTCCGTTTGATTCCTAGTTATTAGATCACAAGGTTTGTACTACACTCCCCCCTTTATTCTGTAGAAGGTTATATAAATGTTTCTGAGAGTCAATTTGATTCCTGGTTGTTAGATCACAAGGTTTGTTCTACACTCCCCCCTTTATTCTGTATAAGGTTATTATCAATACTTAGTTGCACAGTTGAGCTGTCAGAGAATATATAAATCCAGCAAATTTTGAGTTATTCTATTTTTTGGTGACATAAGTACAAATACCTTTCATTTACTTATAAGTTATTTCTAAGAAACCAATTGTGAATAACTATGTAGAATAGAGAATGGAAACAGGGAATGTATCAAAGAGACAATAACTCGACCAAAGAGCAGAAAACAGCCCAAGGCTACCAATGGCTCTTCTGCACAGCGAGAAAATCCCCACCTGGAGACGGGCTTCAGCTGGCCCATAAACAATAATGTCTACTAGTTCAGCAAAATGGACAACACACAAATGAACCAAAATTAAAAAAATATATTTTGTTTTTCCATTTTTAGGAATATTCTCCTAAACAGCTGATAGCTCTAATCAACTCTGTAGACCATTTAAACAAGAAAGCCAGACAGAGACTTATTACTGTTATAGAAGACATGGAGAGGACGAGAAGATAGCACATGATTAATTCTTTATGATATAGTGTTTAAATTCATATACAAACAAATTTCTTCTTTATGTCAGAACTTTTTTTATTCCTATATATATCATTAGAACTTAACAACATCAACTTTATAACCATACATGTTAACCTGCTGGATGTGACTATTAAGTTGGAGATAACCTGCACTGACCCTCTCATGCTGACCCACCCCCACCACTCGCACATGTCCACCCTCCAAATAACTCTGATCTGAAGCAGATTAGTGTAAGGACCTGTTCTGTATCATTACTTATATTGTATTTGTTAATATTATTTAATAGACATTTGTAAATATCATCAGAAATATGTAAAATTATCCACCCTTCTAAAAATCATGAATTTAGATGATTTTTCCATATAAACAGAACTGTTTCCCTATTTACATATATTATGTTAAAGGAACCAGTTACGTACTGTGGTTTCATTATTAGTGGCATACCAATTTCATGGATTTTGTCAGTAGTACAGGTGAAACACTAATTTAACTATTCAACCAAATACAAATTTTCTTTAGGCTTGTTTGCAGACTTTTGTGAACCACAAAATCAAATATCAACAAAAATACAATTTTTCCCTTCCACAAAAATTGCTACCCGCCAAAATAATTGAATCCACAGTATAGCCAAAGCTATTTGGTAATGAGGGGAGATTATATGGGTGTTAATGTTTGATACATTTTCCTCCCTCAATAGATGCATGTCTAAATGGGAAAGGTCAGTGCAAGTGTTGGAGTCTCCTGCCTAATGGGGAGGGTTAGTAAGTATGCATTAGTCATAATGTTAAGGTAAAATATTTATTTTAAGTGACCAACATGTTTCTTGTTCAAAGTAGCAAAATCAGATTTTTTTGTATACTTTTGTTCTGTCTATTGATAGTCTGGAACGTCTTGTTGTCTTTTTATCTTTTTCTGATCTATTTTTATTGTTTTTTTTTATAATTCAACAACTATATTACTCATGCTGATAACAGTGATATTTCACTGGTTAGACTATCTCAGTGAAGGTCCCCGTTTATTAGTACAATATTACCAGGGAACCTTCAAAGTCTTCACTGCAATCTTTCTTAAAATACAATTCTCTTCACATTTTTTTCAACTTTGATGAGGAAATTATATGCTAAATTCGTTCAGTACCTTCATCTCCTTAGAAGCTTGGATAGACAGAACTATTTCTCTGTTAAGGGAAGTAACTCACTTTGTCAAAATTGTTACTTACATCAAAATCATGTAAAATTGTCAAAGTATAGAGTAATAAGCACCTCACAGATGTGATGTAGTATAGTATGGAATATCTAGATTTATATCCACAATGGCAACTGTAGACAAATATGATAGAAAAATCTTAAGTGCAATAAAATTTATTAGTTGTATGACCTTTGGTTATAATGAGTATAAATGCTATTTCTTTAATTGCCACAGAATCACTCTTTTACTACACACTTTTATTTATCTTTTTGTCTGATATCATGTATAGTCGTATGTTTACAATGCTTAAAAAAAAGGTGCATATTGATTCTCAAGATGTCTTCAAAATGAAGATTTATAAGTATTGAATCTATGAAATTGTTGCATTATTTGTTAACAATTTCTATCTTTAATACATGAGGAAAATAGTGTATCCTTTTCCACATCATAATATAATTGAATCCTGAGAATCTCAAATTCCGACAATTTAACTGGCTATTCCCAAATTCAAACATATAAAAGCCTCAATCCTGAATTCCTGAAAAAAGTCCTCCCTCTGATTGGTTGGTTTAACATCCATAAAGTGATAGTAAATTTTTATAAAATGTGAAATTTAAAAGAAAGCAATATGAAACACACACATAGCACATATTTCCTGTTACTTTGGGTGAATCAGGAGAAGTCCGTCAGATTAATTACATATTTAGGCTGGTAAAAATTGATTAATAGTTCTTATAATTTGCTCCCTCCCAAATTTTGGTAACCTCAATTTTAAATGTACTGCAATTCCCTGAAGACTTTCTTAATTATCACTCCATTTTAAAGAGATCAACAATTTGATTTTTCAAATGTCATCTCTTGCCACATAATTCATAGAAAAGTACAACTCTTTTGGGTTAAAAAAAAAAGTTTACGTCATGAAAACAGATTTTTATGAAGAATAAAATGTGAAATATGTGTTCTTCTTTATTGCTTGCTAAAATATTCAGTTTTCAGGGAAAAGAAAAATCAAAACTACACTCCCTCTCACTAATATTGGTATTAACAAGTTTGAAAAACAATATAATTTTGTCAAAACCCCTGAAACTGGTATACAGAAATTTTAACAAATCTTTAGTTTACACAAACGTATATTCATTTGTGATGTAAACTACTGTCACCATTATGGCATACTTAGTCCTGCTCAGATTTGTTTCAACAATGTATAAAATTGTAAATGTAAAATGGTTGTAATCTGTACCTCTGTTTTATTTATTCTGTTACACCAAAAATAAACAATTTAATTATCGTATTGTTTTGCATATATTATGTTTTAAGACAGGTGTTTCTCACTTGAAACTGTGACTATAATTTGAGTATCTCTTTTAAGTGAAGCTATGTTAGCCTTAATACCAAGCAAATATTTAAAACAAATTCCAAGTAGTATTTCATTCATGGCTGAGGGAGAGGTTCAATATCCAAAGATAAACAATTTTCACACTATTCAATGATTTGAATTGACAACTTTACAACATAAACATATATACATTTTTAAAGGTGAAATGTTCAGGATAGCAGACATAATCAACACACTGTTTGTTTACTGATGACGTCCAGGAACTTGTCATATTGGGGGTAATTAGTTCTTAATTAATGGAAAAAAATAATATCTACATGAGCAGTGTCTTATTAACTCGCCATAAAAGTCATCTAGACAAACAAAACAAAAAATTCTGTCAAGTTCTATAATGCAATGATGTTGACGGGTCTCAACTGATTAAATCTTGATGCTTCTTTGGACTCATCTTTAAAAAAAATGTTCAGTCTAAAACTCAGAGGCTGCTCTTAGTAAGAACCCTTGATATGATTATATCTACACATCAGTAAATTCACGAATAAGACAATAAACTGAAGTGAAACTAAGGAGATGTGGTATGATTGCCAATGAGCAATGATGAGAAAACTATCCACCATATCATACAGTAAGTATATTTATTTGTAACATAATTCACAAATGAATTATTGATCACTTATCAATCAAATGTTAAATCCTGAAAATGAGGACCATCTACCTTCTATTAGGAAACCATGAGTGGAATATGTACGTATCCATTCTTTGTTGCCTTTCTTTAACTCCACAACAGCTGTTTGAGAAGAAGATCCGTGACTGTTTCCTGCAATGTTAAAGTTGTAAGCTTTGATAGTTCCATCAACTACAAATTCAGAATCGAACCGACTTCCAGAATATGTCATGGTTGTCCAGGCAAAACTATAGACTCCATCTTCTGGGCATGTAAATATACCTGTAGGGTTTATTCCCGATTGTCCCACTTTTTAAAATTTTAGAGTTCTGATTGTCCCACATGAAAAGTTCTGATTGTCCCACATTATTTTATGAAGTAAAATGTTCTTAAATAAACAAGGAATATATTGTTTGTTTTGCTAGATAAACAAGAATTAATTATTGCTTGTTCAAACTTTTATTTAATATAAATTTTATAAAAGCATAAGATATGATTTTTTTGGTATATCATCAGATTAATGCACTTTTGAGTAAATAATATAACATTTATGAGTTATATTTATAAGCTTACGTTTATTTATATAAAACAAATATCAATACTGTGATTTTAATTTAAATTTTTTTTCGAAAGTTTTTAAAAGGAATAAAGATATAATCCATTCAATTTAAAGAAAAGTGTAACTTAAAACTTAATTACGCTGTACACTATAAAGCACTAGTTGATGGAGAGATGTTTCCACTAGTCTTTGCACTTTTACCAGTGAAGTCAGATGCCATTTACACAAGATTCTTTATCATACAGAATACAATCTGATGGTGGTGACGGCAACACCGTTAACTATTTGTAAAGCTTTATATTTCAGGGGGTAGAGGAATCGGATGGCTCATATTTTGTATATAGATCCATTGTGTTACGAAGTTCCCGTCTGTCAAAAAAGCATTGTCCTTGACTTCATGATCATGGTTTGAAGACTGCTAAAAACTGTATAGCTTGTTTTCGTCATGTGAATGTCTCGTTTATCATAGGTTCTAGGATAACTATACTTGGCTACTAGTCTAATATATGGTATCCTTGCAATGCCTACATGTCCGTCAGACATCTTCGTTCACATGACCTCGACCTCATTTTATGGATCTATGAACAAGGTTAAGTTTCAATGGCCAAGGCCGTATCTCAGATGCTATAAGTAGTGGGTCAAATACGTGGTGTATGGAATGGTAGCAGGGTGTACATGTCTTTGTGACAGAGTTAATCTGACCTTACCTCATTTACATGGAACATTGATAATGTTAATTTTATGTAGTACTAGTTGTATAATATAAAAATAAGGAGATGTGGAAGTAAGCATTTATAGGCAACCGTATGGCCTTCAACAATGAGAAAGCCCATACAGTATGGTCGGCTATAAAATGCCCCGATATGGAAAATTTTATATAATTCATTTGAGAAAACTAACAGCCAAAATAACTTAACAATTTACCAAAAAATTATGACAAACATGAACCAACGACAACCACTCAAATACCGGCACGATACTGACTTGGGACAGGCATATACAGAATGTATAATCCTTTTTTCAAAGACTTTCTACAAAATACAGTAAGTAAGTAAAACATGCTGTAATAGTAGAATCCTAGTTTTTACGGTAACGATGTTTATGATCATACTTTTCTAAGACTATTGATGACGTCCTTACATTAGCTTTCAATAAGGGGACGACCATTTGATTTCGAAAGGGGGAGGGGAGGAGGATTTTGAAAATGAATAACTTGGCCTGGTATTAACTGAAAATAAATGACTTTGCACAAGACAGGATGAAAAATTGATATGTGATGTTTTTTTACTTAATATTATATTCTATGATTGATGATACTTCAATTGTACACTGATTGTTTACCTGTAACTATTCCTTCTACACCCTATACAAACAAATTAATCACTATCAAAACAATTCCCGATTGTCCCACATTTAAGCTTCCCAATTGTCCCACAAACATATTCCCGATTGTCCCACAAAATTTCATGACTTTTTTACCTGTAATTTTAAAAAGTGGGACAATCGGGAAGACATCACCTGTAGATGGGTTATAAGCGCCACCTATGTTAGTAATCACTTTGTCAAACTTTACTACAGCTTCCTTTGGAAGGTTTTTCAAAGCTGCATCCAACATAATTTGGAAAGCTATAGTTCTTCCCTCTGGAAATCAAATACATTATAATGTAACGACAGTATTGAACAAAATTGTAATATATAGAATATGCTTATTAGAATACATGTACATGTACACGTGTATAATGACAGAGACATATAATACAACATAATACAAACATTCGTCCTTACTTCGAGTACTTTTAATACTTTTATTAATGACTTTATTACCTAAGGAGATCTCGCGAGGTTTAACTAGTGGCCGCGTGTTATTACGGGATTTCGCCGAGTTGCGAATCTCTTGTATTATATGTCTCTGATAATGATAAGAAGATGTGGTATGATTGCCAATGAGACAAAAGCCAAATGAGGTAGAACAAAACAACTGAGTAAGTTATATGCTTCTTGTGTATTTTTGGGGCCTCGGTGGTCGAGTGGTCTAAGTAATTACTACTGTAATCACTAGCCAGTCAACACTGAGGTTGTGAGTTCGAACCCCGCTCGTGCGGGTGCACGCGACCTCAGTCTTAATTGACTAGGATTGTCAGTTTTCTTATCGAAGGTCGGTGGTTTTCTCCGGGAACTCCGGCTCCCTCCACCAATAAAAACTGGCCGCCACGAAATAGCCCAAAAGCGGTGCTTAAAAGTGGCGTTAAAACACAAAAAATCAAAAAAATCAAAAATCTTGTGTATTTTACAGAGAACAACAAATTATCAAAATTACGAGTTTATTAAAATGTCTAGAATATAGATAGATTTAGAATTTCTACACAGAATTTGTTCCGTAAAAAACAGTTATCACTTTTGTGGTTTAATTGTCCAATGTCAGAGTACTTTAATCAAATGTCACTTCTATTTTGTTTTTGGTCACACCTAAATTGAGACCATCCTGAAATGGTGTAAAAAACGTTTTGGAATAAGAATGTCTACCGTTTAGGTTGCAGTTCATTCACTATTCTGGATTGGTCACAGTACATCAACAGAATGGTCAATTGTCAGGTGGTTGAGGATATGTAATTAGACATTCAAGATTTATCCAACTTGTGTTATTGGAAGCAAAACGGAAATGATATTTGCTCAAAGGTACCCTGACATTAGATAATACACAAATGTATTTTTATGCCCCACCTACGATAGTACAGGAGCATTATGTTTTTCAGTGTGTGCGTCCGTTCGTTCGTCCGTCCGTCCGTCCAACCGTCTGTCCGACGTCAGGTTTAAGTTTCTGATCAAGGTAGTTTTTGATGAAGTTGAAGTCCAATCAACTTGAAACTTAGTACACATGTTTCCTATGATATGATCTTTCTAATTTCAATGCCAAATTAGAGTTTGACCCCAATTTCACGGTCAACTGAACATAGAAAATGATAGTGCGAGTGGGGCATCCGTGTACTATGGACACGTTCTTGTTTTAAATATAAAAGGGTGACCATAATTAAAAATTAAAAAGAGAGAAAATATTTCACAGGTAAATACTATCCAGCTGTTTAAATTGTTTTTGTTCCTACATATTGATGTGGTTTGACTCGTCTGATCTTGTCACATTTTCAACAACTACATTACAAATTAAACTGAATTCTCACTTGATCCAATGCGATATTCTTGGGAATTCAAATAGTTAAAAATATCATCATACTCTGAATCCTCCATTACTGTAGTGATGCAACTATATTTTTACCTTTACTTTTTTAATTGTACTCCCATCTGAAAACAACTCACTTGTACCTGTTTATCACTTACAATATTTTTAATGGATCAGGGGCCTTGTCAACGAAGCTGTCCTAGTTGAACATAGAAAATGATACTGCCCGCTTCAGGTTAAAGTTTTTGGTCAAGGTAGTTTTTGATGAAGTTGAAGTCCAATCAACTTGAAACTTAGTACACATGTTCCCTATGATATGATCTTTCTAATTTTCATGCCAAATTAGAGTTTTGACCCCAATTTCATGGTCCACTGAACATAGAAAATGATAGTGCGAGTGGGGCATCCGTGTACATGTACACATTCTTGTTTTTTGGGGTAAAAATTGCATTTATGCAATCAAAACCCTCGTGTTGCTGGCTTGATAGCTATCAATTTTCCTCATTTCATCAGTAGTTTTAATACACTTAAAACATAGTGCATTGAGCACTAAAATTCTATACATCCTACCTAATGAAATATATACTCAAATACTCCAGTTACAAAATGATGTGTATATGTATAACCACACTTCTCTGTTAGATATATAGTGTTGTTTAGGAAAGAAAACCAGGTGTTTATTTCTCAAAAAATGGTGTCCATATATTTCTAGCTGAAGAAACAAGAAACAAGAATAAAACATCCACATCAAATAAGGATGACTATACCTTTTGTTTTACAATGACATTTTTGCGGTGAGGGACTGTTACATCCACCATTAGAAATCTCCATCTGCCATTTTATGTATTTCATGAGATCAGATTCTGCTTCCGAACATTTGTTCTTCTCAGCAAGTACATCGGTCAATCCCAAGATACTGATGAAGGAACAGAACCAGGGGATAATCATTCTGAAATAATTGATTTGGTGATACATTGAGTTTATTGAGTTACATGACAAGCTTAACAATGTGTATGATAAATTAAATGCAATTTAAATCATTATGCTTTGCTTGTATTTATGAAACAAAAACAAGAAAAACAACTTCATAAAGCATTTAAATTTAATCCCTATCCAGTCAGGCCTAAAAAGGCCGTTAGATAACACATCAGTCTCAGACTACTAACCGGGTACCTTCATCAGTTTAAAGTTTCTAAATTTAGTCCTACCTGATTTGAGATATAGACAGGCAGAAACTAAACAACAAAAATTATCAGCAATACAAGATCTTCTAAAAACAAATGCCAGCTTAACTAAAACTATTGATTGATTAGTACTCCTTTTTGAGTTATTGCCCTGAAATGACAATTTGTATCTATTATTTACATCAAAGATTTTCATCTCGAGTACAACTGAAACAATTGAAAGAAGTTTTAATAAACGATCTTAAGTGAATAAAGATTTTAGTTTGTGAATTGTATTAAAATATATATTATAGAGTGTACACATGAATGATGCCACAACCCCAAGATGACAGTAGTTTTCTCAAAATGGAATGCATATAACAGATAGAATTTATAAAATAATGACACAAATTACAGTACCTTGCATAGATTCTCCAAAACACCATGTACAGTAGTTATCATTTACATATGTTTATATATATATATATATATATATATATATATATATATATATATAAAAGATATTCAATTTCATACTATTGAAAATCTATAATTACTTTAAATTTGATATGAAACATGTTGTTCCGTTTTTATTTCTTGGAATACACTTAAAAAATGAATTTTAATATTGCATGTACACTTATATATACTCTTACATATATTTGTGCAATCAGAGACAAATAATACATGTATTGTATGTCTCTGGTACAATGATTTAATTTTTGTTTTTCATTTTACATATTTTTTAAGTTTTTGAGTAATTTGCATCTCTATGGTTCAACTTTAATCTTACAAAAGATCTTAAATCTTAACTTTTAACAGGTATTAATAAATGCCAAACTATTATCATTTTGCAATAATTTATAATTTGACATTTTCAACCAATTCTTATTCCAATCCAGATAATGATCTTTTTCGATGCAACTTCCACACTTGAACATTACCACTATGAAAATATAAAATCTGGCCCAAATGAGGATCGACAAATCATCTAATAATTCAACAGAAATTATGTCAGTGACCAACTTATGTAGAAATATCCTATTTCAGGCATTCTTACAGTATGCCCATTATAGTCCTGCTAGTATTTTACATTCATAATTTTGGAAAAAGAAAATATCTCTAGCAAAAATCTTATAATACAATTTACACCACAGAACTGGCGACATTGAAAAATTTCATAAATAATAAATTTTGGTGTATTTTGAATGGAGCATACTGCTATCATTTATACATTGCATAAAAATTCATTAGAGTCAAACAAACTCGATCACTGTGAATATTTTCTGGTAAGGAATTATTCTAATGATTAAATCATATTGAAACAATATGTGGGGGTAATCATGAAAACATTTTTCAGGAGCTATTGTATATCATGCAGCATAATCTATCATATCCATTTTTTTTGTCTAAGATAATATAAAACAAGAGGCTCATGAGAGTTTGATATCGCTCACCTGTAATTTCAGTTTCAGGCATTTGACTTATTTGTAAATCTTACTTTGCTGAACAATTTTGTCATTTACACTTTCTCTCTTTCTATAATAATATTAAAGATAAAACATAACCCAAAACTGTAAAATGTCTAAATATTAACTATTTCTGGACAGTAACCCAACAATAAGTTGTCCTATTGGTCTGAAGATTACTTGACAGGTAGATCTAAACCTGTTTTATAACAATTTCACCTATCTCAGTTTTGCTCTTACTGCTTTACTTTTTGAGATGAAAGCCAAACCTATGTTCTATTTTTAGAAATTGCCGCCACGTTTTTAAATGGATCAAATCCCCGAATACAATCTATAAACTAGATACCCTAAGGAACATTCAATTAAAGTTTTTGGGTAAAGATTGCATGAAATGCAATCAAAACCCTGTGGGACTGACTTGATATCAAAATGTTCCAAAAGAGGGGCGAAAGATACCAGAGGGACAGTCAAACTCATAGATTGAAAATAAACTGACAACGCCATGGCTAAAAATAAAAATACAAACAGACAAATAATAGTACACAAGACACAACATGGAAAACTAAAGACTAAGCAACACGAACCCCACCAAAAACTGGGGGTGATCTCAGGTCTCCGGAAGGGTAAGCAGATCCTGCTCCACATGTGGCACCCGTCGTGTTGCTTATGTTATTACAAATCCGGTAAATAGTCTAATTCGGTAGGTCACATTCGTGAAAAGGGAAGGTTATTGTAGTTACGACATAAGGAACATATCCGATATCATCTGTGAAACGGTTATTCCATAACGGTCAACCAACTCGTGATTGCGTCCGTAAAATTTACGAAGGGATGATTTCAACTTCACCATTTGGAACTCTTGGTTTAATAGCTTCCTTGTGAGCAGCAATCCTCTATCAAGGAAATCATGATAGGAAATACAAGCCCGGGAATATCGTTTTAATTGGGAGATATATACTCCGTATGCAGGCGCTGCTAGAATGTTGCTACATAGAAATGGAAAGTTCACCATTGGGAAGCTGAAATCATCTCTTTTGTCGTAAAGTTTTGTTTTCAACAGACCCTCATTGTCAATTTCTAGATGTAAGTCAAGATATGAGGCAGACTTAACTGTATCTGTAGTATCCTTTCTCTAGTTCGATGGGATAGATTCGTTCAACATAGTCACCAAATTTTGTATTATTTAGAGAGAGAACATCATCCATATAGCAGAACGTAAAGTTAAAGGATATTGCTAACTTCTTATCTTTCTTCCTAAGAAGTTCCTGTATGAAGTTAGCCTCATAATAATAAAGAAAGAAATCGGCAAGAAGAGGGGCACAATTGGTTCCCATTGGAATTCCGACAGTCTGTTGAAAAACGTAACAAATATGTTGTCAATCAAGAAATCAAGCATCTTGATAATGCCAGTTTCAGAGAATTTTTTGTTTGAATCAGAGTGATTTTTTACAAAGTAGTATTTATCCCTCCCCAAGACAAGATACTTAAATCTACGTTCGTCATTCTTTTTTATGAAACAAAGCAATACCAACTCTTTCAATTTGTCTTTTAGTTTGGAATGGGGAATACTTGTGTAAAGTGTAGAAAAGTCAAATGTTTTAGTACTATTGCAAGATGAGATAGTCTAAGATTGTATGTACTCTAAAAGATCTTTGGAATTTTTTAGTATCCACATCTGATTCACGCCACCTCTAGTATAGGCAGTTTCACAATAACTTTGAAGCCCGGCTTTGATTGCTGAGAAAATAGATGTTAATAATTTAGAAAGAGGTTTCGTGGAGCACTTGGAAGACCCAGCAATATACCGTTGTTTGTAAGGACATTTATGTAGTTTAGGTATCCAATACAGTGATGGAAGATCCAGTTCTTCATCTTTAGTTGAAATTCCAAAGGAACATAGAACAGACCTATGATTATTCAGGATTTCCTCTTTGGTAAGTGTCGTGAGGGTATATGTTGAGTTTCCAAGTGCATTGTCAAATACCTAATTCATTTATCAAGCAGTTTATGTAATGAGATTTAAACACAAAAACGATGTTGTTTGGGGCTTTATCTGCGGGGACAACAACATATTTGTCATGGAGGTAGGACAAGTGTTTTGCAACATTTGGGTCTTTAAAGATTGACGTTACATGGGTATTGATAGACCCATTTAGTTTCTTAATTCGGATTTGTATCAACGACCTCACAGCCTTAATCCATTCGGAAAGAGTATCTACGTTTTCTTTCTCGAGTTTAGCCCATTGCCTGGCATAATCCTCGACTGAATCCATCAGTATTTTGAAGTTGTATTTCCAATTGATGGATTAAGGCTCACGATATTACGGACCTTTGGATAACATATTTCGCAGGGAAGTGTTATTGACAATGTTGAGGTCTCCGGTAATAACGTGGCCAGCCGGATTATATGTGAATTGGGAACTAGCACAGGTGCAATCAGGAGGTTTAGACTTGAAGTCGTCAATGTTGAGATCCTGCAAAACGTGTTTGTAATTGAAAATTTTAGTTGCAATTGGTTTGGTATAGGTATAAGAAATTATTGGTACAGACTGATCTTTAAAATAAGGAGGTATTTTTGAGTGAACTAATTTATGATGAAGGATATTGCCTAAGTTAACGCCATCGAGACCTTTGTTGGCAAAGGAAAGTTTAAGAAAAGATATTTTCTCTTTTTCATCTTTTCCATCATTTAACCTTTGAGATACACAAAATATGGTGCATTGATCATAACATTCTATACATTCTATCGATGAACATTTCCAGAAATTTATCAATGAAATATATGCTCAGATATTCAAGTCACAAAATTATGTTATACTTGTCAAGAAAATTACATAACTTTTGCAAGGTGCAGGAATCTAATATCTGTTCTAAAAATATCAATGATGTCATTGTTAAAGTCATCTTTAAAAATTGGAGTTACCTTCCTCTGTCCAGAATTGTAGTTGAATCAACTACTTGTAACCAATGCTTTATACAATGCTATATTTAATTTTACTTCCCACTGATAAATTAAAGCAATCTTTACCCTTCAGTGCTTACAAGCACTTTGATTAAGTATTTGGCCAAATAGTTTCAGAGAAGAAGATTTCTGAAAAAGTAATTAAGACTTTCACAAAAAAAGTGAAAAAAATAACGTTTTAAGGGCAATAACTTCTTAAGAGGTCAATTGACTATTTTGATCATGTTGACTCATTTGTAGATCTTACTTAGCTGAACATTTATTGCCATTTACATTTTCTCTCCATCTATTATAATATTAATGATAATAACCAAAAACAGTAAAATTTCATAAAAATAAACTATTTCGGACAGTAACCCTACACTGGATGGTCCAATTGGTCCGAACATTTCATAGCAGATAGGTGATGACCCATTTCTCACTATAACTCCCTTTCACTTTTGCTCTAACTGCTATAGTTTTTGAGATAAAAGCCAAAAACTGCATTTGACCTCTATGTTCTATTTTTAGCCATGGCAGCCATGTTTGTTAATGGATCAAAACTTATAAACCAGTTACCCTAAGGAACATTCAGTTAAAGTTTAGAAGTATTAGGCCCAGTAGTTTCAGAGGAGAATATTTTTAAATGTTAACAAACATGAACAAATTCTGTAAAATTGTCTTTAAAGGGCAATAACTCCTTAAGGGGTCAATTGACAATTTTGGTCATATTAACTTTTTTGTAGATCTCACTTTGCTGAACATTTTTGCTGTTTTACAGTTTATCTTTATCTTCAATCATATTCAAGATATAACCAAAATCTGCAAAATTTCCTTAAAATTACCAATTTAGTGGCAGCAACCCAACAATGGGTTGTTTGGTTTGTCTAAAATTTTTAAGGCTGATAGATCTTGACCTATTGAACATATTTACTCCTGTCGTATTTGCTCTAAATGCTTTAGTTTTTGAGATATAAATTAGTTTGCGACATTGAGGAGTTATGGAACATTATTCTTTGAAAAAGCGACGGGCGTATCA